GGAATTATTGTACTGTGCAGAGATTTGGGGATATAGTAATGTCCTTCCGTTAGAAGTGGTGGAGAACTCTCTCCTGAAATCACTATTGATTGTCCCCAAAGATACACCCGCCCCCTTTTTAAGAGCTGAAACAGGGCTAATTTCCTTACAAACCCGTGTGCATGTAGCGCTAGCCCTATACTGACTGAAGCTGGCTAGCATGAGTAATACTAGGATCCCAAAAAAATGCTTCCTAGAGCAATTGTAATCTATGCTCTGAAGCTCTTGGGCAAACTCAGTCAGTAAGGTGGTGGTGGTGGTTGTTTTGTACCTTGCCCATATAACTTGGCTGCCCCAGCCACTCTGGGCAGTTTCCAGCATATACAAAAACATAATAAAACATTAAACATTAGAAACTTTCGTATACAGGTCTGCCTTCAGATGTCTTCTAAAGACTGTACAGTTGCTTATCTTCTTATCTTCTATGATTCTAAAAGGCATGCAAAGTTTTTACAATGCTTAACACACACATGAAAATGCAACAAGCAGAAAGAAACTCAGGTAGAAAGATAGAGGAGTCGTGTCTGACAATGAAAGATTGCATTTTAAAAAAACCTTTCATATATCACTCTCAATCACCCACATCCAATGTGTGGAGCGGGGGGGTAGGGATTTTTTTGGGGGGGGACCTCTCTTATTCTTAGAGTTGCTTGACGGGCAACTCTGAGACCCTTCATGCAAGATCAACCCAAAAGCGAATTCATCATTGTTTGGTTTCTGTCACCCAGCTGCCCGGGTCAGAGTTTCTCTCTGACCTGAGCTTGCAAGTGATAGACAGGGCTGGCAAGGGTATTATTGCAGTATAATTGGACAGAGTGAAAAGGAAAGCCCTGCACTCTCCTCCGGCCCCCGCCTCCCTGCCTGTTTGATAACTTGAGCATAATATGGCACTTTTCTTTTCACTGCACTTTTCGCTGAGAAATTCTGAAGCAGAGAACTCTTGAAAACGTAGCCGCCAAAGCTGTGATTTGCAAAACATCCTTAACGGAGAAATTCCTAACATAGTCATAAAACGTCTGACGTATATACCTGAACAAGGGCAATGCTGTTCTTTTTAGCTGTAGTCTAGCCTGCCAGTCTGGATACTTGTTGAACAATTATTATTATTATTATTATTATTAAATTTCTATACAGCCTTTCATTCATTCAAACACAGAGCAGTTTACAATGCAAAAGCACAAAAAATACATAACATAACCAAAACAATAACAGACACACACACCATTTTAAAAGGCCATACAGTGGTACCTCAGGTTACAGACGCTTCAGGTTACAGACTCCGCTAACCCAGAGAGCATTCCACAAACGGGGAGCCACTGCAGAAAAGGCCCATTTTCATGTTGCCACCCTCCAGATGTCTCATGGAAGAGGCATGCAAATAAGGGCCCCAGATTATGGTCACAGGTTTCGGATCAGTTCACATGGGGAGAGGTACTCCTTGAGGCACTGCACATGCTTAAAGCTTGGATTTGGCATGCAAATTCTTTTTAAATGCTTGCAATCTCATCTACCGTCCACGCCATCCCATTCAGGGCTGTGCACACGTGTGTTACTAATGCTACATTCACCTTGCAAACTCTGTTTCTAACTACTGGTAACTATTTCTGTATTTCTTTGGTCATGAATACACTGGCCATCTGGTTTAATGCCTCAATTCTTTTCCAGGTTTTTCAAGTATTTTGAGCAAGACATAGTTCAGCTGAGGATTGGATTTAAATCAGGGGTCAGCAAACTTTTTCAACAGGGGGCCGGGCCACTCTCCCTCAGACCTTGTGGGGGGCCGGACTATACTTTTGGGGGGAAATATATATGAACGAATTCCTATGCCCCACAAATAACCCAGAGATGCATTTTAAATAAAGGGACGCATTCTACTCATGTAAAAACATGCTGATTCCCGGACCATCTACGGGCCGGATTTAGAAAGCAATTGGGCTGGATCTGGCCCCCGGGCCTTAGTTTGCCTACCCATGGATTAATTCCTCAAAAGTTCAACCTGACTAACGCATTTCCCAACACTGGAGGAATTCACACATCACAAAATGAGCTTTCAAAATGCCCATTGAGCACCAAGGCGTAACTACTTCACTGGTACTGAAGTAACCTTCTGTTTTAAGTTCTCTAGCAGCATGTATCTCCAAAGGCTAATTCTGGATATGGAATAATGCAAAATCCTCTTAGCTGACCTAGAATGAGACATTTCCACAGTAACTTGAAAGCTTGCATTTTGCCCCCCCCCCCACCGAAAAGTCTTGCAGTCATTGAACTAGGGGGTTGGGGGCACATCTCAGCAGCAATTTAACCAAGGCATACATGCCAACAACTTAATTATTGATTGTGTGCCAAGGGTGCCACAATACACCTATTAAACCAGTCCGCTCTACATGACTAATTCTCCTAACCTTTTTGCTGTCGCCTTATATGGAGGTCACTAGCGGCATCTCTTATGAGTGGATGCTATTCATTCAACATCAGCAAACACATTACACAAACATGGTGGGATCTAGAAAAGATGAAGATAATTCCCCCTGCCCTTCCATCTTCGTAAAGCTTCTACACTACATCCTCTTTTGAGATGAGACTAGCATCTTGCCAGACATACATTCCTGGAACAGTGCCAGACCTTGGCCCAAATTCCAGCAGCTAATTTCTCAGTTACTATGAGACTTGGTTTGAGAAACATTGGGTGCCTCTAAGCCTACTTGCAAAATTGAACATCTAGAAAGGAGATGCAGCTCAGACTCTTGACCTAAAATAGTCACTTGGTGTGGTTTTTTTTTCTAATTTTGGTCTCTGTTATAACTAAGTGCCACCAAAAGTTCAGGAGTAAATAAATCATCCCAAAACAAGATAACCACCTGCTCAGCTTCCAGTTTGTCTATTCAATCACATACTGGCAAATTTAGGTTGTGCAATTGAAGTTGGTTTGCCGCTCTTGTGCAACAAACCTCCTTCCCACCCACCCCCAAAATTAGACTTTTTCTAGTAAGGAAAATGATGCAGGAAATGCACTGGAAAGTGCTGGATTACAAATGGTTGGTGCACCATTGTATAGCCTCCCCCCAAACAAATCAGAATGAATGCTCAAAACACAGGTTGTCTAAAAGAGACTGTTGTGTAGAAACCCAGGCACACATTCTGTTAGGATATTTCCGTTCCACCTTAAAAGGGAGCAGGCTGTGAGTCACAGAGTCTGCGTATTTCCTGTTCACAGGATGTTTATGTTTTCTATTGCTTTCGTTTCTCTCTCTGTGTCTGGAGACACTGACGCAGGCAGTCATGTCTTTCTTTGTTCTGATCGACGCAGAATAAAACTTGTAAATAATGCTCTCCCGGGTGCGACTTTTGCTGTGCATTATCTGCTGATAAAGAGTGTGCATGAGCTCTGGAATGTGGCAAGATATTTTCTAGAAACTCATGTCGCTAATTGCTGATACTGCGTGCCTACGGGAGATCGATGGATCGTCCGGCAGACGGCTTGGGGCCATGATGGACTTTGTCTCCCTGGCAGTATCCCAACACATTCCACCACATAAATCTGAACTTTGCTTATCACACATGAAGTGTAGGTGGGTTCCCACAAGGCAAGACACAGCGATAACAGCAAGAACCTTTACTGAACTACATACCTGGGAAACAGGGGCAAAGCAACTGCTTATATACATTCCTGAAAGCCTGGGCCACTCCCACTCCCAACGTGATTGGCTGTCTAAACTTCCAAGCTGCAAATCACAACCCATGGTTCAAAGGCCAATGGCAGAGGCCCAAACCCTGAAATGTTCTGTGATTGGACATCATGTATCGAATCAGAACACAGGAGCTCAGAATCCTTAGTCCAGCTCAGGTAAACACAAACCACTGAATACAAAACAACAAAGAAGATTGAACAGGCTTGTTCTTTACTGATCTACAGGGCAGGACTAAAACCCGTGGATGGATATTTCAAGGAAGCAGATTTTAGGTAAACATCAGGAAAAACTTCATAATAAGAGCCATCTGACAGCTTTAGATTCACCGTCACTGGGCATATTAAACAGAGCTGGTGCTATTTTTCTGGAAAAAGAGGTACTGGAACTCACCATGAACACCTCCCTCGTTCTCTTAGAATGGCAATGGCTCTCACTTTAGAGGTGCCAGAACTGCGTTCCGGCTGAAAAAAAGCCCTGAGCAAAGCCTAGACAGCCCTATGTCAGGGATATTGTACTTGTACTCCACATTAAAGACCTTGAATTGGATATTAATAGACAGGATAATAAACGGTTTTTATATGCAACAATGGCAGCAAGAGTACTATTGGAACAGAAATGGAAACAAGAAGAACTACCGACGAAAGAAGAATGGCAGACGAAATTAATGGACTATGCAGAATTCGATAAAATGACAGGAAGGATTTGAAACCTGCGGGATCAGAGATTCTCAGAGGACTGAAGTATATATGTGAAATATTTGAAAAACAATTGTAATCAACAGATTACGCTAGTAGGACTACAAGAAGTTTTGTAAGCAGGACTATGTGAAATATTGCAGAGAAAAGCATAAAGAGAATTATTAGTGAAGGACTATTAAAAGTAAGAGTGAAACTAATGAAAAGCAGATTAAGTGATAAAGACTGAAAAATCTTCAGATGTGGTTGATGGAAGTCCAAAACATTGGATAAGATAAGAAAATATGTTGTATGTTTTTGGAAACTTTATGTAAAAATTTATATATATATATATATATATATATATATATATATATATATAAAGACCTTGAATTGAGAAAGGGTTTGTCTAGATCTCCAAGATCCCTTCCAAACCTACAATTCTATGGTTCTACAGTTCTAAATCCTGGGGCCTATTCTCACTGTAGGATTTATTGAGTGGTTCCAGAAAGTGAATTTTTTTTTTAGAATCATAGAATCATTGAGTTAAAATGGACCATGAGGGCAATCTAGTCCAACCCCCTAGAATGCAGGAATATTTTGCCCAACATAGGGCTCAAACCCACAACCCTGAAATTAAGTGTCTCATGCTCTACCGGACTGAGCTACGGAAGATGTGTGAAAATATATTGTAAAACTTTATGGACATTTGGTGGAACTGATGGTGGGCCTTGAGGTCTCAAATGTCAGTGACGCCAAAATTTGGGGCCCCTCCGCCTCTCGTCTTCCATTTGGCAACATAGTTGCAGCAACCCCAAGGCTTCATGCCACTGCAACCAAACAGGTCACACTGCCCTAAATTTACCTCCAGTGGAATGGGTGGCCTTTATGATTTAAGCTTAAAAACAGGTAATTTTTAAAACAGGCTCTGCTGTCCACAGCTTGCACACTGATTTACTTTGCCTCAGTTTGATTTCTGGTCAAACAAGTTTGGGAGGTTTTTGAAGACTTTCAGAACCCCGCAGAGACATCACCTTGCCAACAAAGGTACGTATAGTTAATGCTATGGCTTTCCCAGTAGTGATGTATGAAAGTGAGAGCTGGACCATAAAGAAGGCTGATCGTTGAAGAATTGATGCTTTTGAATTATAGCGCTGGAGGAGACTCTTGAGAGTCCCATGGACTGCAAGAAGATCAAACCTCTCCATTCTTAAAGAAATCAGCCCTGAGTGCTCACTGGAAGGACAGATCGTGAAGCTGAGGCTCCAATACTTTGGCCACCTCATGAGAAGAGAAGACTCCCTGGAAAAGACCCTGATGTTGGGAAAGATGGAGGGCACAAGCAGAAGGGACGACAGAGGATGAGATGGTTGGACAGTGTTCTTGAAGCTACCAGCATGAGTTTGACCAAACTGCGGGAGGCAGTGGCAGACAGGAGTGCCTGGCGTGCTCTGGTCCATGGGGTCACGAAGAGTCGGACACGACTAAACGACTAAACAACAACAACAGAACCCTGCAAAAATAGACACACAAAAAGAGAGAGAGAGAGAGAGAGAGAGAGAGAGAGAGAGAGAGAGAGATGCACAAGAGAATACACAGAAGAGAATACATAGAAGTTGATTCCATGGGAAGAAAAGTCTCTCCCGCCACTGGAAATTAGAATTGGATTTCAGGCCAGTTGATCACCAAGGAAGGATTGTAGGAGTGAAATGACTGCATTGGCCTGGCAATGGCACCAGCCCAATGCTACATGTTTCCAGGGGGAGAAGCTAAGGAGGCAGGAGGAATGTACATAAATCCTGTTATTTCTTAATGGGATTTTGGAGCTTATTTCCAAGCCAACACTTTGAAATGTACCCTGCAGCCTGCTTCATACTGAATTTTCAATCATGCTGAATAGCAATGTCCTTATCAGCAGTTCTTACACTCCAACGCTTTATCCAATATTTCTTACTTCCATGGGCAGATCCACACCATACTCTCAAAGCCCATCCAACGTACGGTACATTTAAAGCACATTACACCTCCCCCCTCAAAGGATCTTGGGAAATGTAGTTTCCTCCTCACAGAGCTACAATTCACAGCATCCCTGAAGAAACCGCAGTTCCCAGGACTCTGGGGAAAGTCATGTGGTTTAAATGTGCATTGAGTGTGTTTTAAATGCATGCTGTGGATCCGCTCAGGACCCACATATAGTTCTCAGTGAAACCAAGGAGGAAAGTTAGTCATGACTCGAGACCCATTGATTTCAGTGGGAACTAAGCGCAATAATAGCAGCCCAGATTGAGCCATATGTCTGTAGAGCCACTGAGTAACTATGAGTAATTTTTAACCTGAAGAAATTTGGAGTGTAATTTGACATCAGGATTTAGACTTCAGAATTAAAATTCATTACCAAACTGATTGCCTTTCTCAGGGCTTCAAGAAATCTTGTACTTGAACTATGAGAACCAAAAGGAAATTGTGTACTGTGTCAATGACAGACTTAGGTGCTCCAATAATCAGGATGCATTCAGTTACCCATCATTCGTACCCTATTATATTTACATTTGACCCATGGCAATCCTCTTAAAGCTGCAGAAGCAACATTATTCTCTTGTGCACCTGGCTACATGACTGTGGCAGGACACTGTCCTATAAACCACTACAGATTGACTGTCTGTGCTGCACTCACTCAGTAGCCCATGCTCCCTGCCTGAAAACAGCAGCTGTTTAGGCTTCAACTCCAAAGAGCAGCTTCTCACACCTCAGCCCAAACACGATCAACCAGTGTGTGCAACAGAAAGAAACAGGAGCCTTTTGTGCTAAAGGAGGATTGACAGCCGAATAGATATGGGTAACAAAAGAGTCCTTTTAACTGCACACAACCTATTGATCTAAGAAAAGATAAGATATCTTTTACCCAAGAGCTTGCACAAGGTGGGATACCATCAGCATTATCCTCTGGGAGCAACTGGGAATTTTGAGTGTTCCTCTACTGGGCGTGTGTAGGATTTAGGGGACAAAGAAACTCCACTTTGCTTTTTGTCCAGTTTAATTTCCCATTTTTCTGTTGGTAGTATCCATTTTGCAATTATTCTCTCTCTCCCTCTCCAGGTAGCATTCTTTACCTGCTTTTGCACCTTCTGCATATCTAAACAAGAAAAGCCAAAAAAGGGGAACCCTGGGGTGCTTTAGCAGAGGGAAAAGACAAATGAGACTGAAAAGGGTGGAAAATTTACAAAAGTACCTACAGAGCTTTTAAAGAGAATTTCCCCCTCTCTCACAAACACGAGGACTCATGATCATCCAATAAATCAGCAACAAGTTCAGACAAAAAGAAATATTTCTTTGTGCAGTACATGGTTAACTCATGCTTTCATTGCCAGAAGATAGGCTAAAAGAATTAGATTTATCCTCTATCAATGGTTATGGGCCACAGTAGAAAGATACAACCTTCCTCAACTTGGTGACCTCCAGTTATTATTGGACTGCCAACTGTCATCAGCCCCAGTCAGCATAGCCAATGGTCAGGGATGATGGGAATTATATTATATTCCTGAGATTACCATATGGCAAGAACATCCACCAAATGAGTGGTGGATCCCCTGAGAAGATCACAAGCAGAGCATGAAGACATCCGCTTGGGAGTCCAAATTGTGGCCATCTGATCTGATTCAGGAAGGCAAATCCTTTCTCATGAGTGGCTCCCAGGATCCTGGCTTGTCCCTAAAAGTAAGGGGATGCTGGCGCCTCAGATCAAATGGGGATCCACTGTCTTCAAGGTGGTTCTTGCCGTTTCGCAAAATGCCAACAAATTCATACATTGCTGTGAGAACGCAGGCCACTAAAGCGGTTTCTTTAATACTGTGCCTCTCTCCAATCACAAAACAAAAATGTTTTTAGAGCCCTGTAAATTTTATAAAACAGTATAAGCTGATGTATACATAGGCTTAGCCCTCATAAGCAGCTGATGTGGTGGCTCAATTCCTTTCTGTTCTGAAGGATGTAATCCACCCTAGGCGGAAGAATATACCGTCTAAACCAAAATTAAACAATGAGATTAAAAGAAAATCCTTATTAATTTACAATTAAAAGCAGCAGCAGAGACAGGCATTCAATACAAATGCCCAGTCCAACGCCCTCCTCCCTTCCCCCAAAGCTGGGGGGAAAGTTTCACCTGCCACAGAAACCTGAAGTGGAATATTTTCCATGTGGTGATGGCAATGGAATCCACTCAGCAGAAGGATGGCTATGGGGGGAGAACCCATAGTTAAGGGGGTTTAAGGTAAGGTTAAAGGTAAAGGGTAAAGGGTAAAGGGACCCCTGACCATTAGGTCCAGTCGTGGCCTCTGGGGTTCATCTTGCTTTATTGGCCGAGGAAGCTGGCATACAGCTTCCAGGTCATGGGGCCAGCATGACTAAGCTGCTTCTGTCGAACCAGAGCAGCGCACGGAAACGCTGTTTACCTTCCCGCCGGAGGGGTACCTATTTATCTACTTGCACTTTGATGTGCTTTCGAACTGCTAGGTTGGCAGGAGCAGGGACCGAGGAATGGGAGCTCACCCCGTCGTGGGGATTCGAACTGCCGACCTTCTGATCGGCAAGTCCTAGGCTCTGTGGTTTAACCCACAGCGTCACCCTTTAAGGTTACCAGATTTTTTTCAATGAATCTGGGGACACTTTACATACATACATACATACATACACACATATATAAATACATATATACATACTACACGTTTAGGACGTTGATGCTGCAGCGATGGCGGTGGCGGAGGGGCCACTGCTGCCTTGACCTCAACCACCACGTTTCCCCTTCCTCTGAGGCTTCCATCTCCTTTCTCCATGAGCCTGGGCAGCCCCTGAGTTGTTGGTTCTTTGGTGGTGGTGGTGGTGGGGAAGCAGTGTGTGGTGGTTGAGGCATGGAAGGCGGAGAAGGAGGGCCGAGGGTGGCAGCAGTGGCAAGGCTCGGGCAGCGCAATGCCTCCCTTCCCATTGGAGCAGCCCCAATCCCATTCCTACCTGCGTGCAAGCAGGAGGGGGCAGGGATCCCTCAGCTGGGAAGGGAGGCTTCCCGTTGCCAAACTGAGAAATCCCTGCCCCCTCCTGCTTGCACGCAAGCTCTGATAGGCAGCGTGAAGCCTCCCTTCACAGCTGAGAGATCCCCATCCCACCCCTGTTTGCACGCAAGTAGGAGTTGGGAGGATGCTCCGATAGGCAGCATGAAGCCTCCCTTCACAGCTTAGTTGCTGGGGTCAGGGAAGGTGGAGGCAGCCCGGAAGCTGCATCTGAGAGCCCCTGCACCACCATCATATGGGGACTTCCGAGCAGCTCCTGAAGCCAGCTAGAGCCAACTGCTCTGGGCTGCTGAAAGACTGCCGCTGCTGCATTTCCCGGGGACATTAGATGAAATCTGGGGACATTACGGGGATGGAATTTGTCCGGGGACCTATTCGCAAATCCGGGGACTGTCCCCAGGAAACAGGGACATCTGGTAACCCTAGTTTAAGGGGCAATGTTTCAGTAGCCAGCACACTGCCTTGCCCCTCCATGACTAGGAGAACACAAAATGAGCAATATGCAAAGTTTACCAGGTCAAAGAATTTAGCCTCTTTTTTTAATCCCTTTGGCAGTGCACAGGTTTCAGCTTGGCTTGCATTTTGTAATGTAAACATACAGAGTATGTGTAGCTCAAGCCCTAAGTCAATCATGTACTGCAAAAATAAATAAATATAGGCTTGCCATACGTCAGGAATATTCCTGACGTGTCCTGGTTTTTGGGTGTAAAAATGGAACCGGGGGGATTTTATCAGGGAAAAAACCCAGATGCATGGCAATGCGGTGGAAAAAGGAGCAGAAACAACTCAAAAAGCTTAAGATCACTAATTTGGGGTTAGGTTCCCTTTAAAAAACTGAACAATTTTGGGGTCTTCCTAAAAAAAGCTAAACAACTTTGTGGGTGTCAGGAATTTTACTTTTTTAAATATAGCAACCCTAAATTTAAAAACATTCTAGCTAATATTTGGGATTATACTTCAGGCTCCCTCCAACATATATTTTACTAATATTACAGTTTTAGGGTTGTTGTTTTTTAATAAGTTTATTTGCTGCTTAGTGCTTACCACAGAAAAAGTTGTCTCAAAGCAGCTAACAGGCTGTTGTCATGTTTTTTGCGTGTGTGTGTGTTTTAAGCATACATTACCAAATACATAAGATAAGAGGACATTATTATGGGAAAGTGCTCATCCCGCAATAACATAAAAAGGACACATTTCACCCCACCCAACTAAAAGACGAACACCAGTTGAGAGCGAAATGTCAGGCAGGGTGAGTAGGAATGTCTCCACCTGGCACCGAAAGACTGATAGCCATAGCAAGTTTTATCACTTGCTATTACCCTACTGGCAGGAAAATATTTTACTCTTCTTTGCTTGCTTCTAGCAGCTACAAAAGTAGGTGGATGCTTATGAGTTTAAGGAGATGAATGGGCAATGGCACAGCAGGTAACAGCATTCCCATATTGCTGCTACCCAGGCAAGAATGCACTTGAGGTCTCTGTTCCTAGGACAAGAATTTGCTCTCTTGTTAAATATGTGGCTGTTGAATTTAAGATTAGAAAGGGCATTTCAGAGAAGCCCTGTGGCATGTTAAGCTGTTCCAAAACGCCTGAGCCGTAACCACTGAATGAGCAGATAAATGGATCTTAGTGACCAGGAGATTCTCTAAACATTGAGCAACTGTTCCACTTGCTACTATATAACAAAACAAACACCTGTAGAAATATTGGAGCTATATGTGTTGGTTTCGGGGTGTTGCCACTGTGTTGCCTAACTGAGAAATCCCTGCCCCCTCCTGCTTGCCCGCAAGCTCTGATAGGCAGCGTGAAGCCTCCCTTCACAGCTGAGAGATCCTTGCCCCCTCCTGCTTGCATGCAAGCTCTGATAGGCAGCGTGAAGCCTCCCTTCACAGCTGAGAGATCCCTGCCCCCTCCTGCTTGCACGCAAGCTCTGATAGGCAGCGTGAAGCCTCCCTTCACAGCTGAGAGATCCCTGCCCCCTCCTGCTTGCACGCAAGCTCTGATAGGCAGCGTGAAGCCTCCCTTCACAGCTTAGTTGCTGGGGTCAGGGAAGGTGGAGGCAGCCCGGAAGCTGCATCTTAGAGCCCCTGCACCACCATCAGATGGGGACTTCCGAGCAGCTCCTGAAGCCAGCTAGAGCCAACTGCTCTGGGCTGCTGAAAGACTGCATTTTCGTTAATCACGTCGGAGGGCGATTCTGGAGGAGTCGCTTGGTCGAACGCAGGCTCCGACAATATGGTCATTAAATGTCTGCTACCAGGCACAATCCTAAAACACAGAGAGACGCAGCTTTGGCAAGGACTGTGCTGCAACTGTGTGGGAGAAGGTCAAGCCAGGTGAAAATTGAAACTGGGGCTGCACAGAAAACTACACACAGTTCCAGCTCAAAAGCTGCTAAGGCTTAGTTCCACAAGGAGCGTGTACTACTGTACCCAACCTAGAAGAGATCAAGAAGACCAAGGGCCGTGGTTTTCCGATGGGCAATCCTGAGATTCCTTGCGAAGTTTCTACAGGTTGTGTCATGAGAAGATCAATCAAAGCAGGAAAGCTTCTCTGAAAGACAGCCTGCCCATCACTACTGCAACACAAAGCCATAGGCGAGCTCTGGTGCCCTCTTGCTGTTCCTACCATTCAATAGAGCCGGCGTGGACCCTCCAGATGTTGCCGGACTACAACTCCCATCATCCCTGACCACTTGCCCTATTAGCTAAGGCTGGTGGGAGTTGGGGTTCACACTTGCTACCCTTACTTTAGAGAATCCTTTACAGCACACAAGGGTCCTCATCAGACAGACCAATGTGAAGAAGGTTCCCAGAAGGTAGGAAACTGGGAAACTGTTGATCTGTGGCAGCATTCCCCAACCTTTGCCCTCCAGTTGTTATGTAATACAACTCCCATCAGCCCGGACTTGATATGAACAATGGGAATTGTGCTCCAAAACACCTGGAGGACACCTAGCTTGGGGAAACTGGTCTAGGGTAATCTGGAGTCAGATGCTGGTCAGCCGAAGAAGCAGAGCCAGTTGTCAGTGAAGTTAACTTTTTATTTAAGGCAACAAGCAACATTCTCAGCAGGTCTTGCCCTATGGAGCAGTTGCCAGGACTGATGGTCCCCATCTTCTACCCTCTCTAAAGTTCCTCCTCTCCCAGATGTTTCCCAAGCAGTCGCAAACTGCATCTGCGCACCTCTGGTTTCTGTTCTGCCATCCTCATTATTCTGTGTGTTCTTGGAGACCAGGAGAGGGAAACTCTCTGGATTCTTCAATATTCCATTGACCTCCCTCCTCTGTTTCAGCCTTAGAGTCTGAACTGCTCCCTGTCACAGGCTCTTCCTGCTCACTAAACCCTGTTGCCCCTTTGGCATCCAGCATCTCCTCCCACTCTCCTCCCCCTGACCTCTTCTTGGTGTCCCATCACCAACCCCTAAGCTCTGAGCTTTCCTCCTCTGGGGTTTCCCTTGGCAGTTCCCCAGCTGTTGTCATCCAGCCAGTCCCTGGCAGATAATGGGTTCATATCCGGAGGAAGCAATTTGGACACCAGGCCTCTATTGAGGCCTTAAATAAGAATTCAGTTATTGGTCTTAACATGAAACCATGGGCTAGCTAAATCGTTATTTGTTTCGACGTTCATACCCAAACCTGCTTACAAACCAGAGATTTATTGGGGGCAGGCGGTAGCAACCAGGATCTGAAATAATGCTTTGAAGTTGGTTTACAAATCCGTTCTAGGTGTGGATTCCAGTTACTGTAAGTGCAAACTCAAAACATTGAGTCCGGAAGCTCAGACCCTTGCAAGCACATAAATACAATGCCACAATCACAACCGCTTTCAATAAGTAACTTTTAAAAAGACAAACAGAAGTACCAATTTTGCGCAGACGTTTTAAGGAACAGGAACAGAGAGACTGAGCTCCCGGTGGTATCATGCACACCCCAGGCATGTTTGACATTAAGGGAGTTGGTTGTTGTAGAAACCAAGTCCCATAGACTCATTAATTTTCAGCAGTAAGCACCATCCATCCCTCTTGCTGTTGTTTAAAAACTATGAGCTGTGCATATTTCACTTATTATACAACAAAACACTCTTCCCTCTTAAGCCGAAAGAGGTGGAATACGTTGTTTCGCCTCTCAGTGCTAAATGGCTTGCATTTCATATTGTTCTCCCAGGAGAGGGTTTTGCTTAAATTTCAAATAGAATGAGGAGATCAGGAGTGGACTGAGGATTGTGAGTCCCCTTTTTCTCAACTTTCAGTGTCAAGGCATTCTGTCACAGCCCTCCTGCCTCCTTCCCCAAACCAGTTCTGCCACACTTGACTCTGCTTCCTTGCCCTTACATCACTATTTTCTTGGAACAACTTTTGTCTGTAAGATTATACTGGTTTGGGGTCTCCCAAAGAGCTCCTGCACTGCTTGAAAAAGAATTCAGTGAAACCCCACAGATTGTACATTATTGATTAAAGAGTCCGCTTCAAGGCTTCCCTCTGTTACTTTCTCTAGAGCCAAAAGCACAGCAACATCCTGTAGTTACAGCTAACATTGCACACAAACCAGCTACCTGAATTTAAAAACCAAGAACCAAAACACTAATAACAAATAAAGTTTCTTCTTTCTCTTTCTCACAAAACCAATGCATGCTGCTTGATCTGCTAAACCCAACTTCATTGATTTAAGCCAGTTTGATCTCTTTGACATGAATTAGACTAAATCGTTTAAGTCCAAGTATGCCAGCTTATTTTAACTGTAAATTAGGTTAGCGTTATGAGAGATTTCCCCTTGAATACAGAAAAGTAATTTAAGTGCAGGATGTATCCTCTTCTGCGCAAGCCCCTTTGGAACACAATTTTTGCACAATTCCCATTTATTTTAATGGGGTATGTGCAAAAGAAGTTCCCTGTGTTTTGCACCAAATGTCCTTTCACTTCACAGTATACCAAAGTACTGAATTAACCACTCAGTGAATCAAAGAGTTCAGAGCAAGCACATTCCTGGACTTAAAAAAACACACCAAAAAACCACTCTCCACCTGGATTACATTTTAACCACAATTTTGGCCCAATCTGCAGCTGAACACAACTTTAATTCAAGTAAACAAGGTTACCTTGGAGATGATTAATGGTTCCCCATGCTCCAGTCCACCTTTCAAAGTAAATCCCCACGGAGGACCTCCTTGTAGCAAAACCTCCAAATAAATGTATCTTCCTTTATGGGTTAAGTTTGCTTCCGAAGAAGAAATAATAGTCCTGTTTATATTGTCCAGCATCCTCATGTTTATATTCTCAAGCACTCACTGAAGCCAAAAGCAGGGACTGGAAGAGTCTGGGGAGGAGGAGGAGGAGGAGAGAGTAGAAGATTAAAATCCCTCACGTCCATGATGAATTGTCTCATAGTCTACAGGATCGCAGGCTGCTAGGATTGCCAGGAGGATATGTTTTCCTTCTCAGCAGAAGTCCAGAAGGCAGAGCTCAATTTGCCCGTCATTTCTATCTCAGAACTTCCAACTTTTTGGATGCAGCTTTTTGAAAACGAAGCATTTCTTCCCGTGCAAACATTGGTCCCGTGCAAGATCCTTCCTTTCACCTCTTCATTCTTTCCCTTAACATTTGCAATCGGTGGCTTTTCAGCATAAAAAGGGGGAAAAAGAGACATTTAAATGCTTTGGGTAGCAAGCTCCTCAAATGCACACCAGCGCTTCATTATTATTTTTTTATATTGATTATCAGCCCTTTCTCCCCTTCTGTGAGCAATTTACCATTACAATGGCCGTTTTTTCCACAGTTCATTGCATCCAAAGAATGAAAGCATCTCCCACCCCCTGTCTGCCAGCTCGCTTTTCTGCTAACTTCACAATTTTGTGACTTGTCAAAAGTAGCAGGGGGAAGGGAGTAAAAGCCTGGACCTTAAACAACTTGTTCCCTCGAGCTGGGGACTTGAAATAGTTTCCCAGCTGAGTTTATAAAGGGGGAAAGAGAGCGTGCCAGGAAAACAGGAAAGGCAGGTGAAATTAATCCCTTGAAAAAATGTTAAGGAGATAGCTTAGCTCTTTTCAGCAGTTTCTCACTGCACTCGCTTGCCCGTGTTGTCATGCCTGCTGCTAAATGAGAGTGTTCAACTGGGGGAAGGAGGGAGAGAGAAGAAGAAAACTTGTCTGTTTTTGCCACTGCATGCCAAAAAAAACTGTGTGGTGCCTCATAACTGAGGTTTCCATATTTATAAGGACCCCAGAGGCTGCTGCCGTCATGGAGTTTCTTCTGCCTTCTGGGGAAAACATCACTTTGCTAATTATTTGTTGGAAAATGCTTCAGAATCTTCACTCCAATTCAGTATTTGTTGGCCACAAATATAATCATGTGTTAGGCACCAGGTGATTTATGGGGGATCCCATCCCAAAACGCTCCATTGATGTCATCGATTCATAGCATCACAGAACTACAGAGTTGGAAGGGACCTCGAGGATCATCTAGTCCAACCCCCTGCGATGCAGAATTTTTTTTAAAAAAAATAATATTTATTAAAAGTTTAAAGATTACAGAAAAAAGAAAAAAGAACAACAACAAGGAAATTAACAGAACATACATTACAATACATAAAAAGAAAAACATAAAAAAATACAACAATACAACAAAAAGAAACAAAAACACTAAAACACACATCCAATATTCCATATCTTTGCCTTTCATTTACTTGTTTCATCGACCTCCTCGCACCTCCCTTTTTTGTATTCTAATTCAATTTTAGCTATTTCAGCAAATCCTTTCCATCTTACTCAATTTTTGTTCTATAATTTACCTTAACCCAATCTGACCTTAAATTTTACACTTTAGCCCATTAACAATCCATTTTTACTTAATTCTTTATAACATTTCTGCTAAAGCCATGTAACTTCATTCCAGCATCCTTCTAACATTCATTAATTTTGCTATATTTTTGTAAATATGCTTTACATTTTTTCCAATCTTCTTCCACCGACTCTTCTCCCTGGTCTCGGATTCTGCCAGTCATTTCCGCCAATTCCATGTAATCCATGCAATGCAGAAATCTTTTGCCCAACGTGGGGCTCGAACCCACGACTGTGAAATTAAAAGTCTCAGGCTCTGTCCCAGCATCACATGAAGCATAACGTTAAGATATTGCTGACACTAAAATACCAGTACATTCAGCTCCAGCAATCTTTACACATAATCAAGTGACTGGGAGTGGCCGCCAAGACCATATAACCACATAACTCCGGTCTTGAAAGACCTACATTGGCTCCCAGTAAGTTTCCAAGCACAATTCAAAGTGTTGGTGCTGACAAGACAGAAGTACTGTTTTTGGGGGACAGGAGGCAGGCAGGTGTGGAGGACTCCATGGTCCTGAATGGGGTAACTGTGCCCCTGAAGGACCAGGTGCGCAGCCTGGGAGTCATTCTGGACTCACAGCTGTCTATGGAGGCGCAGGTCAATTCTGTGTCCAGGGCAGCTGTTTATCAGCTCCAACTGGTATGCAGGCTGAGACCCTACCTGCCCGCAGACTGTCTCGCCAGAGTGGTGCATGCTCTGGTTATCTCCTGCTTGGACTACTGCAATGTGCTCTACGTGGGGCTACCTTTGAAGGTGACCCAGAAACTACAACTAATCCAGAACACAGCAGCTAGACTGGTGACTGGGAGCGGCTGCCGAGACCACATAGCACGGGTCTTGAAAGACCTACACTGGCTCCCAGTACGTTTCTGAGCACAATTCAAAGTGTTGGTGCTGACCTTTAAAGCCCTAAACGGCCTCGGCCCAGTATATCTGAAGGAGCATCTCCACCCCCATCGTTCAGCCTGAGGTCCAGCACCGAGGGCCTTCTGGCGGTTCCCTCGCTGCGAGAAGCCAAGTTACAGGGCAGAGGGCCTTCTCGGTGGTGGCACCTGCCCTGTGGAATACCCTCCCACCAGATGTCAAAAAGAAAAACAACTACCAGACTTTTAGAAGACATCTGAAGGCAGCCTTTTTTAGGGAACCTTTTAATATTTAATAGACTATTGTATTTTAATATTCTGTTGGAAGCTGCCCAGAGTGGCTGGGGAAACCCCGCCAGATGGGCGGGGTATAAATAGTATATTATTATTATTATTATTATTATTATTATTATTATTATTATCACTACTACTACTAGTACTACTACCACCATGTCTTAAGCACCTCCTTATCCTGACCCTCAGAGCTCCTCTAAAAAAGCAAGCACCGCAAAACTCAACATACACCAGCAAATACCACTTCAGGGAATCTATATCCTGAGATTCTTACAGGGGGTTGGTCTAGATCAGGGGTGGCCAGCTCCCAAGAGGCTGCGATCTGAATTAAAATCTGGCAGTGATCTACCCCCGTTTTTGGGGGGTTCAGGTCAAAGTTGTTGAGCTTCTGTGTGGGGAGCCAGTGATCTACCAGTGATCTACCACAGATGTCCAGTGATCTGCCGGTAGATCACGATCTACCTGTTGGACGCGCCTGGTCTAGATGACGCATGGGATCCCTTCCAACTCTCCAATTCAATGACAAATCAAAGGAGCAGCTCCCAATGTCAATATGAATGGAGTGCTTTCTTAAAATTCTTTTCTTACAGGGCCATTAAAGGGCCTCCATCTTGTGGTCATTTCTGCTCATCCTCCAAACTCCTCCCCCTGCTTTTGCTGGCTTAACTTCTGTTATGTACTGAGTTGAATAGGATCCAAAAGGCAGCAGTCTGATTGGTCCTAGAACAATAGGATTCAGAATGCAGCAGTCTGATTGGTCCACAGGAGCCACCCAATCCAGCTCCAGGTGGAAGTGAATCCGCAACCTGATTGGCCTACAGGTGAATTAGCCAATCACGTGGGGCCCATTGTGTAAATAATGTATATAAGGCAGACATTCTGGGGGAACTTCCATTCCTCCTCACTACTATGAGCTGAATAAAGAGCATGAAATCCACTCTCGACTCCAAGTATATTTCACTGATCAACAAACCTAGGTTACCGTTGCCACTATTAACTTGGATCAAACACCACAATGGAATGTCTGGTGGACTTTTATTTTTTTTAATCAGTGAAATTTACTCTTCTTCATTTCATTTCTATACCGTTCTATATTGTAAAGAAAAAATCTCAAAGCGGTTCACAACACATTAAAGCATCAAATCCAGAATAATAATAAAAAATCAAGGTTCAAGGAGAATATTTCAGATCCTTCTCTAAGCGAAATTTTACTTTCCCCATATTTTTTTACCTACTTCAACACAGAGGAAGGGGTCTATTTTTGGTCTCCCTATCTCCATTTTTGAATGGGGGAGCCTTGGGGGTTGCAAGCCTTTTGGAGGGCATATTGCATGATTTTCCTTCTATTTTATAATCATTAATATTTATCATTATTAATTGTAAATACATTTTATTATCAAGCACCCATCTCATAGGAACAGATCTTTACCAGCTGGTTTCTGTATTGGATTTTATATATATATATGTGCTCTGGTTGTTGTTTTAAAATGTAGATAGATAGATAGATAGATAGATTGTTGTTGTTTTAAAAATTGTTTCTATGTGTTTTTATTGCATTTTAAGTCATCGTAATACCTTCTTGTTTCTCTGTGGAAAGAGATGGATGAGATTTATTTTATGAAATTCTTATCATGTTCTTGTACTGCTGAACCATGGAACACGCTTCTATCTTTGATCATAAATATTTCAGTTTAACATTGTGTATCGTCAAAGTTTTCCCCAGTTCCATAAAATGCAAGACAGTGATGCGCTTCTTCAGCAAAGAGCGACAATATAATTTTTTAGTGCCATGAAATCCATATACCAAGCTGAAACTCCTTGTAAAATAGGTTCCTCTTTCAGAGAATAATATGTAACACTTGAGATGTTCAAAAAGTAAGAAGTGGTGATAATATCTGCAGCAGTTTCTCATTTCAGCTTCCCATATGACATGATTGAAGACGATATGACAAATATCTCTTCCTTAAGGGGTTTCAAGCATACAGTGGTGCCCCGCAAGACGAATGCCTCGCAAGACGGAAAAACCGCTAGACGAAAGGGTTTTCCGTTTTGGAGTTGCTTCGCAGGACGAATTCCCCTATGGGCTTGCTTCGCAAGACGAAAATGTCTTGCGAGTCTTGAGATATTTTTTTCACTTTTCCCCCCCTTTATCTAAGCTGCTAAGCCTTTAATAGCCTTTTAGCAGCTAATCCGCTAAGCCTTTAATAGCCGCTAAACCGCTAATAGCGCTAATCCGTTAAGCCGCTAATAGGGTTGCTCCGCTAGACGAAGACACTCGCGGAACGGATTAATTTCGTCTTGCGAGGCACCACTGTATACGGTATATAAGCACCTTATTCCTGCTATTCAAATTAACACAATTACTTAATCTAACTGTATTTTGCTCTCTCTGTCGCTGCACTTTCAGGATCTGAAAAAGAACCCTCTTAGTTGTGGACTGAACACGATCAGTTTCTGTTACAGTAGGTGAAATACAAGCAAAGCATCAAGACAGATAAGTCTGCTACAATTAATACTTGGCTGCATGTTTGATAGAACAGCTCTTCCCAACCATAAACATGAAAAATCTATGAACCTTCAAATGTGGTTTGACGCCAGTTGTCATCAGCTTTAGATGGTATGGTGCATGGGTAGGCAAATTAAGGCCCAGGGGCCTGATCCCGCCCAATCGCATTCTAAATCCGGCCTGCGGACGGTCCAGGAATCAGCATGTTTTGCGTATGTTTTCAAAATTTTTATTAATTTCCCAAAGATTTTTTAAACAAACAAACAAACAAACATAAATCTCAACCGTATTTAAACCAAACTTAATAACATTGTTAGGTGACTTCCTCGTATCCCCTTGGTTGAATTTCAGTGTATATCATTTTAACGGTTTTCCAAAACCACTATTCTTATAAAATTAACTTAATCACTTAACATCATCATATTTTCCTTTCCAATTCAGTATTAAACATATTAATTCATCCCATTACCTAGTTATGTCCTAAGCCTATCTGTTATTTGCAAACTTCTCCAATTAATTTAACTTAACATATTTAACTAAATAGTTTCGTCCATTCTTCCTGATAATCCTCCTCCTTCTGGTCACGGACTCTTCCAGTCAGGTCGGCTAGCTCCGAAAAGTCCATCATCTTCATCTGCCAATCTTCCACTGTTGGTACTTCTTGTGTTTTCCAATTCTTAGCTAATAAAATTCCAGCAGCAGCTGTGACATACAAAAATAATTTAACATCCTTCTTGGGCAATTCCAAACCTGTTATTCCAAGAAGTTTCTTACTGAATGTATCTTACTGAATGTATATTTCAACATTTTTTTCAGTTCATTATAAATCTTCTCCCAGAAGTCTTTCACCTTGGGGCAGGTCCACCACATGTGATAAAAAGTACCCTCTTTATCTTTACATTTCCAACATAAATTATCACTGTTATGGTAAACCTTTGCTAATTTTAGGAATCAGCGTGTTTTTACATGAGTAGAATGTGTGCTTTTATTTAAAATGCATCTCTAGGTTATTTGTGGGTGTTATGTACTGAGTTGAATAGGATTCAGAATGCAGCAGTCTGATTGGTCCTAGAACAATAGGATTCAGAATGCAGCAGCCTGATTGGCCCTAGAACAATAGGCTCCAGAATGCAGCAGTCTGATTGGTCCACAGGAGCCACCCAATCCAGCTCCAGGTGGAAGTGAATCCGCAACCTGATTGGCCTACAGGAGAATCCCGGAATTAGCCAATCACGTGGGGCCCATTGTGTAAATAATGTATATAAAGCAGACATTCTGGGGGAACTTCCATTCCTCCTCACCACTATGAGCTGAATAAAGAGCATGAAATCCACTCTCGACTCTGAGTATATTTCACTGATCAACAAACCTAGGTTACAGTTGCCACCATTAACTTGGATCAAACACCACAATGGAATGTCACCAGATCACATTACATATGGATTCTTCAAAGAATGAACAAATCTCTTTTCATATGTATTCCATTCATAAATTGGGCATCACTACAGCCAGAGGCTACACCCAACGGATACATCTTTTTCTTCATTTTGCTCCCCACCCCTTTTGTCAAACAAGAAATAGTTCCTGTACAAAACTATTTTTGTCACCAAGAGGAAAAAAAATGGGTTGCAGGGTGTCTTTCTGGTTTCCTTCCTAGGATGTAGAGTCAAGAGGTAATACTAGTATAGAGTTATTGTACATCTATTGTTATTAAAGTGTCACTATCATCCGCTTCTATTATGTTGCTCTTATTTATAGTCCATGGAATCTTGTATGTAAGAGGGAATCAAAGGAACAAATGGCTTACAAAGTTAATCCACAAACGTAGAAAAAATGCTAAAGAATGAAATTGTACCCTGAGGTACTTATTCCCTTTATGGATTTTAGGTAAGCTGTAAAAGAAAAGAAAAAAAAGAGTTTTATTGGAAATTTATTATGCAAATATATTTGTTTCTCCTTTGTGATTTTCCTGAAATTCAGTCCTTCTTCTAAAACAAACCTTATTTCTATTACTGGCTTAATTTGCAGGATTTACTGAACCTACGTGATATGCTGGCTGACTTCTAAATGACATTTAACTTCAGTGTCAAAACAGAAGTGGTTTACCACAGCTTCCTCTGCTGTGACTAAGCTTGAACAATGTGATGATCCTCATGATTTAAATCAGACCAAGGATGCACTGCTGAGAGCTACGCACATCAACCCTTGTAAGTTGTTACCAATCCGTCTGTTCGACACTAATTCTAATACGAATCAAACTGTCCGATTTTGTTGAAAAGTCCTTACTGACCAAATTCTTGCAGCTGATAGTTATTTATATCTAGAAATTTCATCCGTGCAGGTTTTGTGCTTGCAAGTTTTCCATTGGCATCTGGTTGGCCACTGTGAAAACAGGATGGCAGAAGCAAAAATGGGCGTGCAATGGACTCCGACATTTGCATCGTAGGCTACATTCCAAAAGGTTTCTACACACAGAGCTGCACTTCTCTGTCCAGGCAACCAAGAAGGATTATCACAGTCAAGGATATATCCTAGCCAGGCAAAAATGACTGAGGTGGGTTGGTGAAGGAAATTGCTTGGGGAGAGGAAATAGCCTATGCGGAGTCTTGAAAACTAAACAGAAAAGCGTGGAGGGCGACATTTGATGCTTAGGCCTGGGGTTCCTTGCTGCTGTAGATGCTTCAGCAATAAATTCAGGATTCTCCAGGGGTGGACAACTCCCAAGAGACTGCTATCTACTCACAGAGTTAAAAACTGGCAGTCATCTACCTTTTGGGGGGTTCAGGTCAAGGTTGTTGTGCTTTTTTAAGGAAGGAAAGTCCCATTTTGGAGGTGTGCAGGGTAAATGTGGCACTTTTTTTAGGGGAGCAAAAGTTGTTGAGCTTCTTTGGGGGGGAACCAGTGATCTACCACAGACGTCCACTGATCTACCGTATTTTCGCTCTATAGGACGCACCGGACCATAGGAGGGGGAGAACAGGGGAAAAAGATTTTTTTCTTGTTCTCCCCCTCTAAAACAACGTGCGTTCTGTGCGTTCAAGATGCATTCACCCGAAGCCTCCGGAGGCTTTGGGTTCCTTTCGACCTGCTCTTTGGGGCTGGCGGGGGGGAAGCGCTGCTTTCCCCCACCGCCAGCCCCAAAGACCAGGTCGGGGAGCAGCGGGAAGGAGGCGCTCCGCCTTACCGCTGCCCCCCGAGCTTGTGGGGCTGGTGGTGGTGGGAAGCGCTGCTTCCCCCCACTGCCAGCCTCAAAACCAGGTCACGGAGCAGCGCAGAGGCGGCGCGGCACCTTCCCGCTGCCCCCGAGCTTGTGGGGCTGGCAGTGGGGGGCACCTTCGTACAGCCTTCGTAGCCTCCGCAGGGCAGCAGGGCTTTGCGCAGCCGTCCGCAAGCTAGAACAGCGAGACGGAGCGCTCCGCAGCACTCCGTCTCGCTGTTCTGGCTGCGGGGACAGCCTTTGTAGCCTCCGCAGGGCAGCGGGGTGAAGGCAGCTGCGCAGCACTTCGTCTCCCTGTTCCGGCTTTGGGCTTAGCCGCGCAGCCTGCATTCGCTCTATAGGATGCACACACATTTCCCCTTAATTTTTGGAGGGGAAAAAGTGCGTCCCATAGAGCGAAAAATACAGTACCTGTTGGACATGCCTGCGAGAGGCTTACAACATGATGCAAACTCCGGATTTCAGAGGGACATTCCTGGAATTACGAAAGTCACCCCAGCTTCTGATTTGAACCTGGAATTTCTCCCACCAGTGCTGCCACCACCAAGCTTGGGGGGGGGGGGAAGGGTGAGCCACAGTTTGTTCCAAGCAGTGGTGGCTGCAATGGAGCATCCCATTGCCCTTGGACTTTACTGCCTATAAAACCCAATTGAGAGAATGGATCCTGATCAAAACCTGGAAGGAGTCAAAGTTGCAGCCCACCTGTGAAAAGCCTCCTGAATAAAGATTCTGGATGTGGTGTCAGAGCCAGTTGGGGGTTGGATTTTACATTCCAATAGGTGGACGCGATAGGTATGAACTTCAGCAACTTTGCCCAGCCTTTATTATTTCAAAGGGGTCCAGGACCTAAGTCCTGGGGACCAGCATTTATATCTCACGGGGTGGGGGTAGGGAGTAAGAAATGTCCCTACTTTCATCTAAGTAACGTTGAAGAGTATGCAGTTTACAGATTAGTACTCCACCTCTTCAGATCAGCTTGGTAGTTCTTTTCCTATTCATGGATATTTTCCTTGCTGGAGTACTAAGATGGGAGCTATCTACTCTCTGACTGTTTTACTTTCAATGCCATCCTGAACATGTTGGTTTATAAGCAGCCGAGGCACTTTTCTTATTTGCCTTTGCATTTCTTAGTGCAGGAAGTATTGATCTGATGTGTAGGGATCTTTCCTATTCTACTTAATTCAAGAGGGTTCTGAAAGCTTCTCTGTGTGAAAGAAACAAGCAGAAGCTTCCTTCAGAGAAGCTGAGTACAGCTGGTTTAAACTGGTTCTGTTATCTCTTCTGCCAAGGTCATGCTGACCATAAAAGGCCAGAAGGAGCCCGGGTTTCACTTTCTCTTTCTATCTCTTTTCCTTCTGGAGGTGTTCTGCACATAGTATGCTTAGTGTTAAGGTTTGGACTTACTATAAGTTATTGTAAGTTTAAGTTAAGTCTGCTGCAACTGGATTTCTTATGGATAGTGCCAATCCTGAATGTACTGGATATGTGACCATTATGCTCATTTGCCTTCACTAGCAGTAAAGTTCTGCTGGATGAAATACAATTGCCTCTGATCTATTCTATAACCATGTTTATAGAATACAATCTTACTCGGCTACAAGTGATTGCCAAAGAAAATGAAGAAGATGCTTGCAAAACATGCACCACTTATAAACGCCATTTCCAACTCCTCAAAAGATTCCATCAACGGTGTATCTGAAAAATTTTGCACATCACTTGGGAAGACAGGCGAACTAAAGCCAGTGTAGCGGAAGAAGCAAAGATCACCTGTGTTGAAGCAATGATTCATCAACATCAACTTGGTTGGACTGGTCATGTTGTGTGGATGCCTGATGATCGTCTTCCAAAGCAACTATTCTATTCCAAACTTAAAAATGGAAAGCATAATGCTGGTGGTCAACAAAATAGGTTTAAAGACTGTCTCAAGGCAAATCTAAAAAAATGTAGTATAAACACCGACAACTGGGTCACCAACACTGGCCTGCAAGCGCTCCAATTGGAAAACAGCCTTTACCAAAGGCGTCATGGGTTTTGAAGACACTCAAACTCAGGATTAAAGGGAGAAACGCGCTAAGAGGAGGGCACGCTTGGCAAACCCACACCGTGATCAACTCCCACCCGGAAACATGTGTCCCCACTGTGGAAGGACGTGTGGATCCAAAATTGGCCTCCACAGTCACTTATGGACTCACTGTTAATACCGTGTTTATGGAAGAAGAAGAAGAGTTTGGATTTGATATCCCGCTTTATCACTACCTGAAGGAGTCTCTAAGTGGCTAACATTCTCCTTTCCCTTCCTCCCCCACAACAAATGCTGTGTGAAGTGAGTGAGGCTGAGAGACTTCAAGGAAGTGTGACTAGCCCAAGGTCACCCAGCAGCTGCATGTGGAGGAGCAGGGAAGTGAACCTGGTTCACCAGATTATGAGTCCACCGCTCTTAACCACTAAACCACACTTACAATCTTACTCAGCTATGAGTGATCGCCAAAGAAGAAGATAAGAGAACAAGGGAGGTGATTTCCAGGGAAAATAGCACCAGCAGAGACATCACCTTGCCAACAAAGGTCCTTATAGTTAAAGCTCTGGTTTTCCCATTAGTGATGTAGGGAAGTAAGAGCTGGACCATAAAGAAAGGCTGCTCGCCGAAGAATTGATGCTTTTGAATTATGGTGCTGGAGGAGACTCTTGAGAGTCCCATGGACTGCAAGAAGATCAAACCGATCCATTCTTAAGGAAATCAGCCCTGAGTGCTCACTGGAAGGACAGATCCTGAAGCTGAGGCTCCAATACTTTGGCCATCTCATGAGAAGAGAAGACTCCCTGGAAAAGACCCTGATGTTGGGAAAGATGGAGAGCACAAGGAGAAGAGGACGAGATGGTTGGACAGTGTTCTCGAAGCTACCAGCATGAGTTTGACCAAACTGCGGGAGGCAGTGGAGGACAGGAGTGCCTGGCATGCTCTGGTCCATGGGGTCACGAAGAGTCGGACACGACTAAGCGACTAAACGACAGCAACAAATACTTGTTCAACAATGAAGAGGGGGGGAAATCCTTTCAGAGAAAGATGTTTGGACAAGGCAGGCTAGTGGCAGTTGGGTGTGTGTGTGTTTTTTATTATTTTCCCATCGGCTGTTCTTCTGAATGTGGTGGGGGATGTGATAGGAATTTTATGGTCTTAAGATACATGGTAATGTTCATAAGTGTACCAACCAAGCACGCCCGGTAAGACCGACCTGGAACCATTTTGATTCCCAAACTGAGCAAATGTTTTCTCTGCAAGGTCAAAGTGGGAAACCTCCCATTGTCTCTTTCCTCACAAATCCTGTCTTAAGGGCACATTTAAGATATGAATAGGGTGTGTGCCTGTGACCTGGCCCAGGAACTAAGTCTTTATCATTACAAAAGACTAGCCAGGCTCACCAGGAAATCCAGTCAAGTAACCTGCCAGACAGGAGATAAACGACGACAGGAGAAAAACAACATTCAAATTTTCTGTTTTAGACCGCCTTTTCTGTGATGTATGTATGATGTTTCTGGGGGTGGTCTTGATCTACAGGGTGGCAATTTCAAAAGTCTTTATAAGGCCTCGCACGCCATTTTTCGGGGTTCCTCCTCTCTTCTGCGTGTGAGGGGAGACCCTGTTGCAACAGATCAATAAAGATCAAGCTTACTAGCTGCTTTGCTTCTCAATATTCTCTGGTTGGCCTCTGTTATTCTCTCCTACCAACAGGGAACCTATGTAAGGACTCTATATGGGCTCTTGGATACCCCATAAGGGAAAAGGGCAATTTTTGTTTACAACAGGGACAATTTTTTTTTTAAAAAAATAGCTCCTATCTGAATAAGAAGGGGGGGACGACTCCAACGAAAAGTATAAATAAAAAAAGCTCCTTCAGAAAGGGCTCGAGCGTGTCGCTCTGCATCATTCCTAGCTCTGTGGGCTACTTCTTGGTCTCCCACTTTCGCTGCCAGCTATTGGCTGGCCCTGGGCCACGTGCTCGGCGACGGGCCCGGCTGTCCACCATCCCGCTGCCCGCTGCGTGCCAGCGTCCCCGCTTTCGCCCTGGGCGCCTCTCTCGCCGATGGGACTTTGTCGCTCACCAGGCCCAGCGCGGAGGGAGAAGCAGGGCCGGGTTCGGTTCGGCGAAGCAGCGTATCCCTCCGCACCTAAAGCGCGGAGTCGTCGCCCGGCCGTGCAGAGGTAACGGGCAGGTACAGGCGGCGGTGATTGGCCCGGCTTGCTGCGGAGGCGGGCCCGCACGGTCGCCAAGTAACGGGAGGGCTCCCTGGTTCGGAGAGGGAGAGCAGCATCGGCAGCTGTGTTAGGCTGAGCCAGGTCATTGGCCCGCCTGGGTCAGCGTTGGCTGCACTTGACTGGCAGGTGGGCACTGCAGGGTTTTCTCGGGTGGGAGGCGCAGCGTTTGGGAATCGAACCAGGGACTTTCTGCATGCGGAGCAGGCGCTCTTTCCCGCTGGGCTACGGCCCGCACCCGGGTAAGTTCTCCCGAGCAAAGCCTTATTGGCATTTTCTTGGGTGATTGATTGATTATTTGGTTGGTTGGTTGGTTGATTGGGTTATTTATTGCATTTGTTTATTTATTGCATTTTATTGCATTTGTTTATTTATGTATTGCGTTTTAATGTATTTATTGCATTTTAATGCATTTATTTATTTATTGCATTCCGTTGCATATATTGCATTTTCTCTACGGTGCTCAGGTGGTGCGCATGGTTCTCTTCTTAACCACCCAGCTGCTCCCCCTCGTTTAATCTCCCACAACATTTGTTTATTTATTGCATTTTACTGCATTTATTTATGCATTGCATTTTAATATATTTATTTTTTATTGCATTTATTTACTGAATTTTAATGCATTTATTTATTTATGGTTCTCTTCCTAACCACCCAGCTGCTCCCCCTCGTTTAACCCCCCACAACAACCCTGTGAGGTGGGTTAGGCTGAGACGCCCAAGGTCAAACCAATGAGTTTCATGTGGTGGAGCAGGGATTTGAACCCTGGTCTCCCAGGTCCCAGCCTGTGTGACACCGACTCTCCTTGCAAGAAAAAGGAAAGTTCCCATTCACTTCTATAAGGTTTCCGGGTGGGTTGTGCCCTCATTGTTGCTCATCCTGATGCTCCCAAACTGCTCAGCTCTTAGTTAGGTTCGCCATTATGGACACCTGGGGTTGTGCCCCAAAAGTTCTGCTCAGAGTAGATCCATTGCATCTAATGGACCTAAATTAGCCATGTCTGTGAACTTCAGTAGGTGTACTCTGAGTAGGGTTGGTGTTGCTTACAGGCTCCTGTATTTGGCTGGCAAATGGCCAGTGATAAAGATCTGTGATCTCCTTTCATGCCCATCTCGCCTCTGTCTTTTTTTCTTTCCAATCTGCTGATCCTTTCCCTCACTTGCTTTTCAACTATTTCCCCCATCAATATGCACAATCAGAAATTTCAGTATTTTTTATGTAATTACATCGACAAAACAATATCATCATGATGGTGATGGTTCGTGAAAATAAAATTCCAGAATAAGTGTGGCTTAGTGAATGTGACTTTACTATTCAGTGTTTTGCTCCGGAGAATTGTAACAGGTTTGTGTGAATTGGATAATAGTTTTGGTGTAGTTGGAGACTAAATCAGGCTTTCCAAACCTCTGTATTTAGATACAGTACAATATTTTTGGCCCCTCTTCCAGATTCTAGGGGGTGAGAAGTTTGAGAGAAGAGGAGGGTTACAGATCTCCTTTTCCACCAGAAAGCACGAGGTAGAAAAAATAAGCAGCACTATTCCATCTCTTGCTGCCTTTGGTTGCATGTAAGTTGTCATTCTTTCAAGTTATAGTTATTCCATCAGACTACCTGAATTGTTTCCATCCCAGCCAGTTTTCGAATTTTTAGATTTCTGGCCCTGCCTCTCCTATACATACTGTTCCCCCCCCCCCAAAAAAATTTCTTCTTTGCCTGCTGTAAGCAGCTCTATGTGTTGTTGTTGTTGTTGTTTTGTTGTTGTTGTTGTTCTTCTTCTTCTTCTTCTTTTTCTTCTTCTTCTTCTTCTTCTTCATCTACCTTTTTCCCTTACAGGGACTCAAGGTGGCTTGCAGATAAAAATAAGAACAGTTAAAAACATGGGAGGAGGAAAGCAAACATTAAAAACCAATTAAACATTGTTAGAATTAAAACTCTTTATTAGAATCACAGAGTTGGAAGGGACTCTGAAGTCCAACTGCCTGCAATGCAGGAATGTCATCTAAAGTATGCATGACAGATGGCCATCCACCTCCTTTCAGAATACTGTACACTCAACGTACACTTTGCCCTGGTTCAGAATGAAAATCATAAATTCCACCCTGTTAAAAATGGGCTTCCAGGTGAATTTTGAACACTGGTTCCAAATACCACCTTCCACCCACAGGCCCTTGTGACCTTTTAAACACCCATTTTATTAATTAAAAGAACAGTTGCCTGTGAGTGGAGTGTTGCATTTGCTTAAGATGATGACTAGATTAGCATTGTGGAACATGGTTCAGGAAAAAAATGGCCGTTCATACAAGCCTCTTATGCCAATTTCTACCACTGAGTGAGGTTTTTAAAACTGCAGAAGAGAAGTGTACAGGTGAAACTCGAAAAATTAGAATATTGTGTATTTATTTGTTATAATTGTGATGATCATGGCGTACAGCTGATGAAAACCTCAAAGGCTTGCCGTATCTCGCTTTGCATGTCATGAGTCTATCTCATACATTAGTTTCACCTTTTAAGTTGAATTACTGAAATAAATGAACTTTTCCACAATATTCTAATTTTTCGAGTTTCAACTGTATATTGACAGTGCTGACAGTCACAGTCTTAACAGTGGTAGAACAATATATCTGTTAAAGCTATTAAAACCCTACAAATGATTACAGTAAAAACAACATGGCACCAACCCTTTCATTATACGTGCGCTATAAATGTGCAAACAAACAAACTGGAACCTTTAAGAACTGGTGCCCGAACTTGCCTCTTTCTTCCTCCCTCACCCCCATCCCTTTTTCGCGTGTCTTCTGTCTTTTAGATTTGTAAGGCTGAAGACAAGAACTGACTACTGGCTTTCGTACGCCACACAGGGAGCCTTTTCTAATAAAGCCTATTGGGACTCAAATGGCGGACAGTAATTGGAACTGGAGCTAATGAGTCAACAAATGAGGCAGAGTCAACTACAGTAGTACCTCGGGTTAAGTACTTAATTCGTTCCGGAGGTCCGTACTTAACCTGAAACTGTTCTTAACCTGAAGCACCACTTTAGCTGATGGGGCCTCCCGCTGCTGCCACGCAGTTTCTGTTCTCATCCTGAAGCAAAGTTCTTAACCCGAGGTACTATTTCTGGGTTAGCGGAATCTGTAACCTGAAGCGTATGTAACCCGAGGTACCACTGTAATTTTAGTTTTCTCCCCATCTTCCTCTCTGTTGAAGTTCTTTGAGGGCAGCACTGAGGCTGAGGAAGAGAAAACCAATAGGCAGTGCTACCCCCTGGTCTTGGGTGTAAGAAAGAAGGCAGGTATGGGCAGGCTGAGATGATGATGATGATGATGATTTTTTTTGTTTGTTTATACCTCACCCATCTGGCTGGGTTTCCCCAGCCACTCTGGGTGGCTTCCAACACAATATTAAAATACAGGAATTCATCAAACATTAAAAGCTTCCCTGAACCCTAAAGATGGGTGAGGTAGTGGCCCCTTCATATTGGTGGACCAGCCTCTACTGGGTAAAAATGCTTTAAGTAGGTTAGGGCACCTGGCCATTATTATTATTATTATTATTATTATTATTAATTAAATTAATTAAGTTTGTATACCCTCCTTCATCTGTAGATCTCAGCTTAAAAATACAAGGAAAAAACACAAAATACATAATAAAAACAAGAACAAAACAATATTCCCCGTCCCACCAAATGCATGTAAAAGGATATAGGATGTTATTCAGCCTGGTTGAAGAGGAACGTTTTCGCCTGGTGCCTAAAGGTGTGTAATGAAGGCGCCAGGCGAACCTCCCTGGGGAGAGCATCCCACAAGCAGGGAGCCACTGCAGAAAAGGCCCTATTCTCGTGTTGCCATCATCTGGACTCTCGCGAAGGAGGCACACAAAGAAGGCCCTCAGATTATTATCTGTCCAGGACAGTTTATATGGAGAGAGGTGGTCCTTGAGGCGTTGCAGTCCTGAGCCGTTTAAGGCTTTATAGGTCAAATCCAGTACTTTGAATTGGGCCGGGAAGCTAATTGGCAGTGAGTGCAGTTGGGCCAGGATAGGTATAATATACTCAAACCATGAGCAGCCTGGCCTCCGAATTCAGCAAAAAAAGGGGGGGGGGAGGACACCAAAAACAGCTATTAAAATAACGGTAGACCAAACAAACAAACAAAAACAGAGCTTCAAAGTTCTGAAGTTTTCATGAAGGAATAAATATGAATGTTTTCCCCTTGATAAAGATATATCTGAAACACACAGTGAACAGTTCACTCTTCATAGCTGCTTTTTGTGTGAGTAAAACCTGCAATTAAATGGATGCTGTGTGTGTGTTTAGTTCCTTTGAAGTACAATTCCTTTCTCGTTTTAGAGAATGATATTCTTCCACCATTCTGTTCTGAAGAAATGCACTTCTGATCTAAAAGAGTTCACATTTTAAAGGAAAGCGGTGATTGTGCACATTAAAGTATTGTTAGATATGTAGATAAAACAAAAATAAATAATAGGTGTATCCAAAACTGGTGATGTTTGATATAACCACAAGCATGACTGTGAGACGAAATCATTGGAGAAAAAACAGTCTTTCAGAGCATTGAGCCTAAATGCTTTATTGTGGTGTAAAGCTATGAGGGGCAGAGACCACATTATCTGATACTTTACAAATCTTGCACATACTGTATGAGGAGACCCACAAGATGTATTTGCTTGTTTATTGCTTTGCTAGTCAGTAGCAGCAAAGACTGCTCACTGCAACATTTTGGTGGAACAGCAGAGCTATTGCACTTTTGCAGTCTGGCCACTCACAGCAGAAGGTGAGCTGGCAGATTATGCCCAGCTCAGCCCCACCCTAAGAACACCCCATTTTGGAGCTTTCTGCCAGGCACTGCCAGCGGGAATATTAATTTTATTTATTTATTTCATAAAATTTATACACTGCTTGGTTGTAAAATAATAATAATAATAATAATAATAATAATAATAATAATAATAATAGAAGAACTGGTTTACGCATTGTGGTTTATTGCGAATGAGCAGCTCATGGTCTGGAGAGAAGCAAAACTGCAAGTGCTGGCTTCACATGTAATGCTAAGCCAAGGCTCTTGGTTTGTTGCACCTGGCTGCAGGCAGGGTGGAGCAAAATGGGAGTGATTTATTAACAGGAAGGCATAAACCATGGCTTACCATCATGTGTGGATCAGCTCAGTGTCTGAGGCCGTGTACAGCATTCAAAATTTGCCAGGCGCCTGTTGTATCTTGCAGCTGGCTATTGGCGGCTAGCGACCAAGTGAAGATGCCTGGATGATGCCAGGATGATGCCCGCTGTCTCCACCATCTGGAGGTGCATGCCTGGGGAATCCTTGGATCTTGACTGTTTTCACATCCTGTCGAATTCTATCCGTTATATTTTGTATGCGCAATCGGAATGAATTTTAGGAACCCAAAAGTCATATTGAAAAATACAACTTTTGAGTCACCTGGCCCAAAAATGGCAACTAGGCATTCCGTTTTGGTGACTTTTAATCCTGGTTTAAGGGGTCATTTGGCTCCTAGCTTATATATCTGAATTTCTAACACTGACTGGCTACACATTTCTGTTTACTCTTCATCCTGTGTCCTGCTGTCCTGGAAAAGCTTGTTTACATGATGTCAGCCACAATCCATATCTATCCTGTAGTTTCTTGTGAAATACTGCATTTTGATGCATTTCCCCCCAAAATCAGCTTTGATTTGAATTGAGAACTGCTCATTGGGTAAAGGCATTCCTGACTGATCTCTGCATGCCATTCACATGCAGTGAGTGATGTAGATACATCTCAGACTGTGCTTATGTGAACAACAGGGTGCAAATGCATTTAAAACACAGTGAAAATGACCTTTAAGCTAGTAGTGTGTACACAGCCATTGTCTAGAAGTTTTGGCATCCTGGTGTTGAAATACATTTATAATGTAACACTGGTGTTTAAAAATACAGTGGTACCTCGGGTTACAGATGCTTCAGGTTACAGACGCTTCAGGTTACAGACTCCGCTAACCCAGAAATAGTACCTCGGGTTAAGAACTTTGCTTCAGGATGAGCACAGAAATTGCACGGCGGCAGCGGGAGGCCCCATTAGCTAAAGTGGTACCTCAGGTTAAGAACAGTTTCAGGTTAAGAACGGACCTCCAGAACGAATTAAGTTCTTAACCCGAGGTACCACTGTAGATGGAACAGTGGTAGATATTTGCATGCACTGGGTGGGTTAACAGAATTTTGGCACCTCTAAGGAGGGAGTTGCCATTGCTTCCTTTCCATTCTTAATTTATTACTGTCCTCTTAGCACTTGCTTTCAAACTTTGGAAACATTTCATAGATAAATGTAAAATGCATTTATGCTAAAACACTTAGAGCTTGTACTTTGAAAAAGCCGAAGGCTTCTAGAATAGAGTCAGAGCTGTATCATGTTGCAAATATTAATTCATGCTCAAACAAGAGCAGTTAGAATGTTGCTTTCTGAGGCCAAAGGAAAAGGACTGGACCCTGATTAAAATAAGACACGAGGCTTTGACTGACAGGCTCTCGGAGGAAGTGCAAAGTGTGTATCTCCACACACCCATCCAGGCCGTTTTATTAACAAAAGAACCCTTTACACAGTGTTCGTAAGAACCAATCAGATTTCTTCTTTTTTTCTCTCTCTTCAAAAATTTTTTTATTCAAAATTAAAACAAAACATATTATCCAAAAACATGTCATCCTTGTTTTTCCCCCATTTTTCCTCCCTCCCACACAAAACCCACCCGCCCCCACCCCCCAACTTCCCTCAGTTCCAGTCTTTGGTTTCTCTGAGACTGCTGTTTTCTGCATGTTACAAAGTTGTATAGCTCCTCAAACTATTTCGCTGATTGTTATCAATAAAAAGTTTGTGAATGTTTATTCAAAACCTGCCAAGGAGTCCAGTTCACTTTGTTGCGTCTTCAAATACTTTGTAAAGGGTTCCCATTCATCTTTAAAGTCACAGTTATCCTTGTCCCGTAGCTTATATGTCAGTTTTGCCAGTTCTGCATAGTCCATCAATTTCTCTTGCCATGATTCTTTAGTTGGGGTTTCTTCAGTCTTCCATCCTTGTGCTATTAGAACTCTTGCGGCCGTTGTCGCATACATGAAGATGTTTTTCAGCATTTTTTCAGCAACTGGGCTGTGTACTTGACTTGTCAAGCAAGAGAAATGGACAGTAGAGGAAATGGCCAGAGATGCAGAGGGTTGTGGGATTTGATCAGAAATTATTGTCAATGACTCAAACCCAGTCAACTTTCATAGCGGACACAATGGCTTGATGCATATTTTATAATTCCTCATAGTAATCCCATCTGATTTTCACACTCTGGATATTTGCACTCCTACATTAGAAGTACCCTGCAAACAATGCAAGCATGATGTGTGCCTAATAGATACCGTATTTTTTGCTCTATAAGACTCACTTTTTCCCTCCTAAAAAGTAAGGGGAAATGTGTGTGCGTCTTATGGAGTGAATGCAGGCTGCGCAGCTATCCCAGAAGCCAGAACAGCAAGAGGGATTGATGCTTTCACTGCGCAGAGATCCCTCTTGCTGTTCTGGCTTCTGAGATTCAGAATATTTTTTTTCTTGTTTAGCTCCTCGAAAAGCTAGGTGCGTCTTGTGGTCTGGTGCGTCTTATAGAGCGAAAAATACGGTATTTAAAAATACTTGAATGAAAACGGAACTTGAGAACCTGGCAGACATTTTTATAACTGCCTTTCAAAATGTTGCATACTCTGGTGTCTGGGTTCAGTTAATTCTTGGGTGAGCTGTGAGGCTGCGCAGATGCCTCTCTTGCTAAAAAAAACAAAACAAACCCTACAGTGCATAGTTTTCCTTGGGCTGGAATAGTGTGAAGATGTGGAGATGGCAGGCAGATGCGGGTGGTGCTGTGAAATCGTGGTCATGCCTGCACAGTTTAATAGCCAGCTGCTCAAGAAACCTGAGATAAGATTATCGAGGCAGAAGCAGACTTGATTCTCAGGGATTGAAGTCATTGGGTCCAGGCAGCAAATGCGTCAAATTGTGTCCTGAACACATAGCTTTTTGTTCTTCCGTATACGGGAGGAGTTGCTGTTATCTCTTGACAATACTGTTGCAGTGAGGATAAAACATGGCCTTCACTCCTGACTCCGTGTGGTTTTCTTCAAGGAGGTTTTCAGTATATTTCATGCGCAGAATGCAGGGACATATGCGCACCCACCCTCCAGGGGGTGTTTGCAGTTACAGGCTCTGCTGCCCTGTGGTGAAGACATAGCCCCCTCTCATTATGACAATCGGTATTTTATTTCTGTAGGTCCTTTATCAGTCAGTGATCTTGGATAGCTTTACGACACACAGTGGAATTCACTTGACCTCTTTAAGGCAGGTGGAGGGTATGATGCAAAGCAGTCATAGAGAATGAAAATACCCTCTCTCTTTTTAGAAAGGGGAAAAGCAGCAAAGTGTGAATTGTAAGTGGATGCCTTCAAAGCCCAGAAGTTGCTGGGAAATGTGTTAAGGGAGAGACACAGCTAATTATGTGGAGGGCAAAGGAAGTTTCATACTGTGCGGTCAACCACTTTAAGAGTTCATCATCTACTGACTTTAGTCACAGTTATTGACCTACTTAGAAACTCATATAAGCTAATCGCCAAATGGCACCTTAAATCTAGGTTATGGTCTCCACAATGGAATGTCTAGCTGCTTTTTTTTTTTTACAATAAGATTTATTATTATTATTGTTGTTGTTGTTGTTGTTGTTGTTATTCCGTGCATTTCTGTATTGCTTATATATTAAAGAAAAAAAATCTCCAAGCAGCTTACAACACATTAAAACATCAAATAATCCAGAATCTAGCTCAGTTTGGTTAGATTCTATTATTCTGCTCCCAAGCCAGTCAAGAGCTTTCAATCTTCAGAACAAATTCAAGCCTCGAGGAAAATATTTCAGATCCTTCTCTAAGTAACGTTTTGTTTTCCCCACATTTAGTTATTTGCTTACTTAATTTATAAAGCTGCCCCATAGCAGAAGTGCTCTGGGGAGCCGGTGTGGTTTAGTGGTTAGGGTGTATCTAGGGTGCGTGGTTATTTTTTTGCCCTTCCCTTCAATCACTCCTGCCCTCTTTTTACCATTACAGTAGCTTGTTCTGGGAATGCACGCAGGTATTTCTGTCCCCATGCAGTTGGCCTGATTGTCTGCTTTAAGGGCAGAAGTTTCTCTCTCCCAGGGACCTCAGCCAGAACATATAACAACAAAAGGCTTGGCACGGTTTCAGTCAGGCTGAGATCATGTACCAGGATAAAGAAGAAGACATAAGGCTCTTTAGTCGCTCCGGGTGACCTTCGTGAGAATCCCTTATACCCCGATAAGGCTTGGGATAATGCCAGACCCTAGAACAATGAGGAACTGTTTCTGCAAGTGTTTGCCCTGTGAGCATCATCCCTGACCACTGGTCCCTGTTAGCTAGGGATGATGGGAGTTGTAGTCGCAAAACATCGGGAGGGCCGAGTTAACCTATGCCTAGATTAAAACAATCGACAAGCAATATTCTCAATGCTTTAAGAGATACGAAAAAAGGTTTACAAATGGGTAAAAGCTTAATGGTAAGGATTTGCTGAACTAACAAACTGAACTGGAATACAAAAAAGGGAGGTATGTGGAGGTCCGGGGAAATAAGTGTAAGGAAGATATGCTATGGAAAATTAATGTGTTTTTAACTGTTTTTATTTTGTATGTTTCTTTTTATTTTTCATTTCTTTGTTATACCTTAATAAGGGTTTTTTTATTCTTTTTGCTGTATTTTGTATTTTCTTGTATTTTTATTTTTTGTTTTTGTGTAATTCTTGTATTCTTTGAAATTTTAATAAATATCATTTAAAAAAAAAAGACAAGCAAGAGAAGATTTTTGGAATGTCAGGGAAAAGATAGAAGTGGCCTTTTCCTTCTCTGGACTCCATCTTCGCTTCATCTCTTTTTCACAGATGCAGTTTATTCTTGCGTCCTTTGATAGCATATCTTCTCTGGAATACACACAGAGAAGAAAACTTTGCCTTTAGCTTCCATTCTTACTAGTTGTAATAATTTTACACCAAGTGAAGCTTATCCACCCTGAGCCCGGTCCTGGCTGGGGAGAGCAGGGTATAAATATATTATTATTATTATTATTATTATTATTATTATTATTATCTGTGCAGAATTTTCCAAATCCTTTTTGGACAGCTCTTATTCCTGCTCAAGGTTCAGGCTTCACTATGGGGAAAAAAATTAAAACATTTTTCTTTAATTTTTACCTGTAGCCATTTTTCGTTTGAATTTTTCCAGGATCAAATATCCTGGAATAACAGATTCATTTAACTTCTATCTAAGACCACAGGAGCCTCTTCCCTGGAATCTAACTCTGGATTGGGAACTCTTAAACCAAAAGCCATATAGGTGAGACAGCCAGGATAATGTAGAATTCAGCAATGGTTAAGGCATAGTTAATTTTAATCTTGCATATAATAATAATAATAATAATAATAATAATAATTGATTATTTATACCCCACCCATCTGCAGCGAGGGAACCGCCAGAAGGCCCCTGGCGCTGGATCTCAGTGTCCGGGCTGAATGATGGGGGTAGAGACGCTCTTTTAAGTTAGGTTTAATAGTTAAAATATTCATATTTTATTCATATTTTATTTTGTTTTCCATATAATCAGTTGTATATGTTGTTCCTTATTTCTTTCTTCTCCAAAATTCATTCATGTGTAATGTGGTATTGATTTCTGTTTGATATTATTATAATCTTTCATAAAAACTTAGTTGGTCTATAAGGTTCTACTAGACTAACAAACTTAGTTGGTCTCATTCACTGGTCTTCTGCTGATGTATTTAAATACACTTTCTAACGGATTTTAGCTTCTCCCAAGACTTGAGTCCTGTTCAGTCAGACCCTTTTGCAAGTTGCAGCAATGTAAGAACCTCATAATCGAAGGGTGCATTTTGAGCTAAAAATGTAATTAAGCTTTCACCATGTTATTGTCATGTTTTTTAGAAAATGCAAGAAATACTGTTTGCATGGAGGAAACCGTCAGTTACTGTGGGTGGGTGTTTTCTTTTAAAGTGCAATGGTAACCTTGTTAACGGGGTTTCTTTTTGCAGCAATGTGGAGTGAAGATCACACTATTAACCTGAAAAAGGAGTGCTTGTCTTCTGCGCCATGCTCTAAGGTACCTGCACATGAAGATGAAAAGGCCAAGTGGGTTTTTAAAAGGTACTTTCAAGTAAGTGACTCTGTCTATGATATCAGCCGTAAATTCTTGTTTTAACATCTTGTTTATTATTTCTCCTTACGGGGTAGGGTGTTAAAGCCTGACTGCTGGATTTGTTTTAAAAGTTATATTTGCCACTAAATCCTGGAATGTTTAAAAAAAAGAACACCACCCATGCTTGGTTCAGTGAAAGCACAAGAAAAAAGAAGTTGTGCTTTGCTTACAAAAAGCTTATGATTTATTCCACTGCTTTCTGAATACTATTTTCAGACTTAGGGTTTATCCGTACTTTCTATTGTTCCACCGCATTCCTCTGGGGGGAAACCTCTCTTTAGCGCTCAATCGGAACAAATGGCAATTCAAGTTTGTCCCATTTGCCTTTTGTTCTGATCTATCGCTAAAGAGCAGGTTTTCCTTTGGAAAAGAACGGGGCAAGGGGAAAACCGCCCTTAATCCAGTGGCAGATTACCGTATTTTTTCGTGTATAAGACGCCCCCATATATAAGACGACCCCATTTTTTAAACCCAAAATTAAGAAATTAAGTTGTTTACCCTCCCAATTGCCGCTGCCAATCTCCTGCTTGCTGCTGCCATTAACCACACGTCCCCCCTCTGCATTCACTATCCATATATAAGACAAAATAATAAAAAAATTCCTTCCGGTAGCACCTTAGAGACCAACTAAGTTTGTTATTGGTATGAGCTTTCGTGTGCATGCACACTTCTTCAGATACGTATATAAGACGACACCCAATTTTTGCCTATTTTTTTTTTTAAGCAAAAAGCATCATCTTATACACAGAAAAATACGGTATGTTGTTGATAATGTAATCAAATAGTCTTTTGCATTTTTACTCAAGTCCTGCTTATTTAATTGGGACTTAAACCCTAGTGAGTGTGCATTGGATTGCTATTTGGGTCTGTATTTTGTGTCAAGAGCTGGAGTCTTAATAATAGATGTGAATTGGGAAATAGGGGGACCCTATGGACGAGCCTCAGCAACCTCAGATATGCAGATGACACGACCTTGATGGCAGAAAGTGAGGGGGAATTAAAGAACCTTTTAATGAGGGTGAAAGAGGAGAGCGCAAAATATGGCCTGAAGTTCGACATCAAAAAAACGAAGATCATGGCCACTGGGCCCATCACCTCCTGGCAAATAGAAGGGGAAGAAATTGAGGCAGTGAGAGAATTTACTTTCTTGGGCTCCATAATCACTGCAGATGGTGACGGCAACCACAAAATTAAAAGACATCTGCTTCTTGGGAGAAAAGCGATGACAAACCTAGACAGCATCTTAAAAAGCAGAGACATCACCTTGCCAACAAAGGTCCGTATAGTTAAAGCTATGGTTTTCCCAGTAGTGATGTATGGAAGTGAGAGCTGGACCATAAAGAAGGCTGATCGCCAAAGAATTGGTGCTTTTGAATTATGGTGCTGGAGGAGACTCTTGAGAGTCCCATGGACTGCAAGAAGATCAAACCTCTACATTCTTAAGGAAATCAGCCCTGAGTGCTCACTGGAAGGACAGATCGTGAAGCTGAGGCTCCAATACTTTGGCCACCTCATGAGAAAAGAAGACTCCCTGGAAAAGACCCTGATGTTGGGAAAGATGGAGGCACAAGGAGAAGGGGATGACAGAGGACGAGATGGTTGGACAGTGTTCTCGAAGCTACCATCATAAGTTTGACCAAACTGCGGGAGGCCGTGGAAGACAGGAGTGCCTGGCGTGCTCTGGTCCATGGGGTCATGAAGAGTCGGACACAACTAAACAACAACAACATGGGCCAGCAGTTCTTAAGTCTGGGAATTGGTTTGTGTACCAGCTCTGAGTGGAGTTGCATTTCCCCTGAAGGAGCAGGTACACAGTTTGGGGAGCTTCTAGATGCATTGCTGTTGCTAGAGGCCCAGATGGCATCAGTGGCTTGGAGTGCTCATTTCCAGCTTCAGTTGGTGTGCCAACTCTGACTGTTCTTGGACTGTTCTCAGGTTGTCCAGTTTCCATTTCTTGAAAATTGCACACAAAAATATACAATGAAAGAAAGCCTTTCTTGATTTTATTGGTATGTGTAATTTTCGTTTTAGTGTTGAATTGCGAATAAATATTACATTTATGGGACACCTTTTAGTGCTATTATGCTTGTAGAGAAATAACAAAATTTCTCCTTTTTATTTTTTAGACATGTCATCCTAGTTGTGATTGGTCTTTGCTTTGTCTACATGGTCAAATTAAGCTTTCATTCCAAAGAATGTGACATGGCAAGAATTCATTATGTCAACCCTGAGCACGCAAAGGTTAGTTATTATGTCATACTGAAAAATACAACTTTAGCCTCCAAATGGCAACTAGACATTCCGTTTTGGTGACTGTGACCCTGGTTTAAGGAGCCATTTGGCCCCTAGCTTAGATGCCTGAGTTTCTAAGACTGCATGTACAGTGGTACCTCGGTTTAAGAACGATTTGGTTTACAAACTCTGCAAAACCGGAAATAGTGTCTTGGTTTGAGAACTCTACCTCCGTCTAAGAACGGAATCCGAACCGTGGAAGGGCACTGGCGGCGGGAGGCCTCATGAGGGAAAGCGCGCAACGGTTTCGGTTTAAGAACGGACTTTCGGAACAGAATAAGTTTGTAAATCAAAGTACCACTGTACAGCTTAACTTCTGTGTCTTCATCTTCTAGAGAGCACAGAAGTATGCTGAGCAAATTGTTCAAGCTGAGTGCCGGCCATCTTTTGTGAAGACAGGGATGGGCAGATTATTTATGGAAAAGTACAGTATGAACGCATCTCCTTTTGTAAGAAGAGACATAAAGACGCAAGAAGCCATCTTCAAATACAAACCGCCCTTTGGATTTCACAAGTTTTCTGAAAAACTTCAAGACCTGTTGGAACTTTTACCCGAATATGACCTTCCGGAAAGCTTGCAATCGAAGCCTTGTAAACGCTGTGTTGTCGTTGGGAGTGGCGGGGTTCTTAATGGACTGGAGTTGGGCTACGCCCTGAACCAATTTGACATTGTTATAAGGTATATATTGCTTTTTTTCCCCCCTTGAAGGTTTTGAGTGAAACATAGAGCTGTGACTGAAATTCAGGATCTTTGCTGAAAAAACATTGGCCTCTGTTAGATTTGTGCTTCCTGTGCTCAGTTTGTGATCGGTCATTTTCTAGTTACGACCGTTTAAAATGTGATTGTCACTACAGTGGTACCTCGGGTTACATACACTTCAGGTTACATAATCTTCAGGTTACAGACTCCACTAACCCAGAAATAGTGCTTTGGGTTAAGAACTTTGCTTCAGGATGAGAACAGAAATCGTGCTCCGGTGGCGCGGCGGCAACAGGAGGCCCCTTAGCTAAAGTGGTGCTTCAGGTTAAGAACAGTTTCAGGTTAAGAACAGACCTCCGGAACGAATTAAGTATGCAACCAGAGGTACCACTGTATGCTTTTTCGTTTCAAAATGAATCATAGAATCATAGAGTTGGAAGAGACCACAAGGGCCATCGAGTCCAACCCCCTGCCAAGCAGGAAACGCCATCTAAATCTAAAATTGTAGTTAAGCAGGAAATACAGAGGAATCTTTTAAGTTTGTCTTTACAAAACTCATTAAGATGGGCACTCATTCATGCGATTTATTTTACTTCACAGGTTAAATAATGCACCAGTTCAGGGATACACAGATGATGTTGGTAATAAAACTACCATAAGGATGACATATCCAGAAGGTGCCCCCTTATCTGAACATGAGTATTATCCAAATGGCTTATTTGTTGCTGTTTTGTTTAAAAGTGTTGATTTTGACTGGATTCAAGCAATGGTGAAAAATGAGACACTTGTAAGTAATAGCCATATAAACACCTTATCAACGTTTGGGTTTCCTGTTACCCAGTGCTATCTTTCCAGAAAAAGGGGTGCCAGAACTGAGTTCTGGCTGAAAAAAAGCCCTGATATTACCTGTGTAAATAACATTGAGAGGGTTTTTTAAAGCTTAGGACTGCCAGAATCAATACGGTTTTCATGTTTATTGTTCAAAATTCTTGGAAGTCTGCATAATCTGAGAATGTCTATCCCATTTCATGGAACGTATTGCACTGTTCTCCCAATTGGTGGCGCTGTGGTCTAAACCACAAAGCCTAGGACTTGCCAGTCAGAAGGTTGGCAGTTCGAATCCCTGCAACGGGGTGAGCTCCCGTTGCTCGGTCCCAGCTCCTGCCAACCTAGCAGTTCGAGAGCACGTCAAAGTGCGAGTAGATAAATAGGTACCGCTCCAGTGGGAAGGTAAACGGCGTTTCTGTGTGCTGCTCTGGTTCGCCAGAAGCGATTTAGGCATGCTGGCCACGTGACCCAGAAGCCGTACGCCGGCTCCCTCGGCCAGTAAAGCAAGATGAGCACTGCAACCCCAGAGTCGGCCACGACTGGACCTAATGGTCAGGGGTCCCTTTACCTTTACATAAGAACATTTAGTCCACCATGGAGGCAAAGCATTACCTCCATCATGGCTAGGAGTGACTTAAACATGTAAGTCCCATGATTTATACATAAATAGCTAGTAGGGACTATTACTATGTGTACTCTTCACTTTTTCCAAACCTAAATGTGTTTTGGGAGGGCAGTTGTATAATAAAAATTAGACTGTATTATGACTCATAACCCTGGGAAGTGTGTGTTATACATACGTTATGGATTCCAAGCTTTGTAATCATTTTAATATTATTTTTCTTGCAGCCACTCTGGATGCGGCTGTTTTTTTGGAAGCAGGTAGCCGAGAAAATACCAGTGCTACCTAAACACATTCGCATCTTAAACCCGTTAATAGTCAAAGAGACGGCTTTTGATATTCTGGAGTATCCTGAACCTCGAGCGATGTTCTGGGGCTGGGACAAGGTGTGTGTATGTTTTGCGGATAAAAGAAGATGCTTGCATTTTTCTGCTGCAGTCCAGTCATTGTTAAGGATACATGAAAATGCCTTAATCCAGGGTCCCCCAAACTTGGGTCTCCAGCTGTATATATATATATGAATGATATTTTTTATTAGTTTTTTTAGCATATCGTTTTCAACAGTAATTAACCATACTTTTACATCTTATTCAAATTTTTGACTTCCATCAATCCTGTCTGAAAATTTTCTAATCTAATCTCTCAGTATGCATTTCTTATCTTCCCTATTACATTTCAAACTCATAACCAATATCTCTATCTTTTTCTACTTTGTAACACTTCGTATATTTCTCCTTACAAAACTTCTTGTAGTCCTACTAGCGTAATTTGTTAATTACAGTTGTTCTTCAAATAATTCATATACTTCTTCCAATCTTCTGTAAATCTCTGGTCCAGCAGGTTTCGAATCCTACCTGTCATTTTGTCCAACTCTGCATAGTCCATTAATTTTGTCTGCCATTCTTCTTTCGTCGGAATTTCTTCTTGTTTCCATTTCTGGGCTAACAATACCCTTGCCGCAGTTGTTGCATGTAAAAACAATTTAACATCTTGTCTATTAATGTCCTCACCTATAATACCAAGTAAAAATGCTTCTGGCTTTTTTAAGAATGTATATTTCACCATCTTTTTCATCTCATTATATATCATTTGACTGCATTCCACTGCAATTTTGTTTAATTTGCACAGGTCTGTCTTAAGTTCCATTAGACATGGATATGGAAATACTTTTTTATGTAACGTGCAACAGACACACGTATCTCATCTATCGACAATATTTACATACCAGCTGCTTCCCCTGGGTGTTCCCTGTCAAAGCTGATAAGTTTCCAGAGGTGTGGCCCTGATAGTCTTGTGCAGCAAAAACAGCCAAGAATTTTGTTGCACCTGAAAGACAAATCAATTTATCAGCTTTTGGCCATCTTCCAGCTCTACAAATCTATGATCAGCTAATACAGTCATACCTCGTGTTGTGTTAGGTTCATGTTGCGTCTTTTCAGCTTGCGAATGCGCCAAACCCGGAAGTGTATACTTACGGGTTTCCGCGTCCGCAGAAGCAGCGCTCTAGTTACAGACTTTTCAGGGTGCAAACGGCACCCCGGAACGGATCGAGTCCATAACTAGAGGTACCACTGTACCTTTAACATCATTTGCTTTTATTCTTGATCAAAAGTGTGATTGTTAGTGTGGTGGTTTTGTTTTTAGTTTTCTTTGTTTGCTGTGGTCGGTTTTGTTTCTTTCTTTACTAGTTGCCATTGACTGCATTGGATGGCTTTAACTAATTTTTATTGATGTCACCTGGTGCCTTTGGCATTAGGTAACTTAAATAAATTCAGTAAATAACGATAAATCACAATTTCGCAGTAAAACTGCAGTTTCAAAACAAAAACCAAAAACGGTCATGTAAAATAGAATATTGCAACAGCCAAAAAAGTCTCTAAAGGAACTTAAGACAGACTTGTGCAAATTAAACAAATTGCAGTGGAATGCAAAATATCAGAGATAGCATAAGAAATCATAATTGCATGCGCATTCTCCATGATTTTCTTCATTTTTAAACCAAGCAAAGAATATCAGGCATGGCTTAAGTCTAGGGAATCTTGTGGTTGTCAGTGTTTGGACAAGATGATGATCTATTAATTTATTCCTTTACCATATTCATTAGTAATTAGTTGATTTTCAGCAGCAGTAGTGTGTAATATGGCATTGTCACCCTAATATAACAAGCATACTCTAATTTGGGAATGTCATTTCCTCCCCTTTAGAATGTGCCTACCATCGGTGTGATGGCTGTGGTTCTGGCCTCACATTTATGCGATGAAGTGAGTATAGCTGGATTTGGATACGATCTGAGTCAGCCCAACACCCCATTGCATTATTTTGACAATCTTTGCATGGCTGCGATGAACAGCCAGAGAATGCACAATGTGACTACAGAAGCAAAATTTCTTCAGAAGCTGATAAAAGAGAGAATTGTAAGAGACCTCAGTGGAGGAATACATTGCGACTTCTGCGGAAAGACAAGTTAGTGACTGAAAATGATCCCAAAGACTGGATTCTGTGTGTTCCTGCAGCCTCCTCCTCCCCAAAGGAGGCACTCTCAGTTTTTCCATCTTGCAGGATGCCCTAAAGGACTTTTGATTACCGTGTTCAGCTGCTTTCCTTTTTAATTTTATGTTCAGTTGGGTAAGTATTTTTTAATGTACATGAAAATAACGTTTTGCTTCCCACAAGGATTTTGTGGGTAGTTTAAATTTCCTTAGTGCATATTTAATGGTTTAGTGTTTGGAAAGAGATCCAGAACCTTTTTATTATATAGGTTACTGTGCCTAGAGCTGTGTTTCTTGACTTCATGAAGGAAAAAATTCTCAATTGGTGGTTCATTCTCACGTCGTGCAGCACTTTTAAATGTGTGGATTTATTTTTATTTTTATTAGAGAACATGAATATTGGGATATGGAAGTGACTCTCATTACTGGGTGAAGCGATCACTTACGGTACATTCCCTTCCTTAGACCATATTCCTGACATTTTAATTCTTCCTCCAGTCAGCCTTTTACACTGCAGAGCCAAAGCCCCTTTTCAGTGACATGGCCAGAAAGTGCAGCATCTACTCCCAATTTAGAGACCAATTTAGAGACCAATAATCACCAAGCATGGTCTGGGCTGGGGCTGTTTGATATCCGTCTTACTGTGAAGACGCTGACTTCCTTGAAACAAGCAAATAAGAACAATTTTGATAACCCGGTACAGTATTACAGTATAGGTGTTTTTTAGGTGTAAAGTATTTCTCTCCTTCCAAGTCATGCATTACCTAGGGAGGTATAGCGATGATACGGCAGCTTCCCATAAGATCTGAATATCCCACGTGATTCAGTCTTTCAAATGTGGTAAACCTGTGGACCTGATGCAGCCCTCCCATGATTTTTTTTTGGGGGGGGCACCCCCAATGTGAGGGACGCGGGTGGCGCTGTGGGTTAAACCACAGAGCCTAGGGCTTGCCGATCAGAAGGTCAGCAGTTTGAATCCCCATGACGGGGTGAGCTCCCGTTGCTCGTTCCCAGCTCCTGCCAACCTAGCAGTTCGAAAGCATGAAGTGCAAGTAGATAAATAGGTACCGCTCCGGCGGGAAGGTAAACGATGTTTCCGTGCGCTGCTCTGGCTTGGCAGAAGCGGCTTAGTCATGCTGGCCACATGACCCGGAAGCTGTACGCCGGCTCCCACGGCCAATAAAGCGAGATGAGCGCCACAACCCCAGAGTCGTCCACGACAACCTAATGGTCAGGGGTCCCTTTACCTTTACCCCCAATGTGGGTGGTTGCTGTGAATCGCAAACTCAGAGAGCTCCCTCCTATTTCTGATGCACTCATCTGTTAGCAGCAGTAGATGGGGACAGGAGGAGAGGCAAGATTTCGGCGCCTCTTTTTTTTGCTGCCCATTGCAGAATGCCGCTGCCAAGGGACCATTACACCAAGAAACATCCTCTTACCATCCTCACACCAAGTGGTAAGAGTTGGAGTCCAGCAACGTCTCGAGGGCTGACAGTTCCCCAGTCCTAATGTTAAGGATGGCGTACGTAGAAACGACAAATGAAATAGTATTCACCGTTACGGGTTGGTTGCTGTGGTGTGAAATAGTAATTTCATGAAGAATGAGGTTTCTGTTAAGATGTGGTCCCGGTGGTGTGATGGGACCCACAGTAGAGATGCTTCTTCCTAACAAGAGAAACCCCTGCAGAAGATCATGTGGAAGAAGCCCAGTTTTCCAGGGGTGGTTCCTGGTGTACGGTAAAAGTGCAGTGTTGGCTTCTCAAGTTATTACCCTGATATGATAGCAGGGAGCGAGACTGTGGCAGTTATCATGGGTAACATAGGACCTAGGGCCACTCCAGACTGGTGTTTTATTGCAGGCATATTCTGCATCATTTTCTTGCCACATGAATAGTGCAAAAATAGTGGATGTGTTCTGCTTTATTAGTTCTGCGATGCTTCCCTAATGCCACATTATTGATCTCCAGAGGAGCAATAGGAGCATAAGAAGCTGCCTTATACAGAATCAGACCATTGACCCATCTAGCTCAGTGCTATCTGTTATCATTGTTTATTAAATTTATAGAGCACCTTTCATCAGGAGATCACAGGGTGGTTGACAACAAAACGAGGACGAGGAAGAGGTGGGCAGTCTTGATGGAGCACTCTTCTCAATCAGTGCTGTAAGTGCTTGTGGAAAAGGAATAATAATAGGTTTCCAGAGCTGCGTGTAGATTGAACACACTTAAATGGGAGGAACCCTGTACATGCATCTTCCCAAGAGCCTATGTTTATTGAACAAATATCTCAGCAAGTTCAAGGATTTGGCTACATCCAAATGAAAAAGAAGTCAGAAAGCTGACCAGCTTCATCTGGCTTGTGATGCACATAAGAGGAGCTTGCCCTCAATTTAGACACACTCTGTAAGAAAGCACCCAATTTAGATCATGCTTGAATTCATATAATAAGAATTTGAGGAGCACAACGTTCAGCCTTCCTAGTATTTCAGGCACGAGTCTCTCCCAACCCCTACCTAGAGATGACGGGGATCGAAAATGGGACGTTCTGCTTGCAAGGCAGACCTTCTGCCACTGAGCTTTGCTCCCTCCCCAGCACAGCCAAAGCAGAACAAAAATAAACCAGAACATTTGTGGCATAAAAGGTGATGGGATTTTAGCAGGACATTGCAGGATATGCACTGATTGGAAACGAAGCGGCAAGATCGCCCCAAAACATTTGCAGGTGGGAACAATATTGGAAAGGACACCCAAATTTTTTATTTATTTTATTTATTGTATTTATGTCCCCCTCCCCAATTAATTCCCACAACAGCCTTGTGAGGTAGGTTGGGCTGAGAGGCAGTAGCTGCCGCAAAGCCACCCTGTGAGCTCCACGGCCTAGTGGGGATTTGAACCCAGATCCTAGACTGACACTGCAACCACTACACCACACTGGCATTGCAAGCACAAATTATTATGAATGTGTGCAATAAAAAATGATGTCTGGAGGGGCCTACCTAAGTACTAATGAATTTTTGTATGAATTGCATCGGTTATAATAAACGTTATTTCCATCAAACTTTTAGTTGGCTTGTTGAAATGATGGTGTGTGTTCTTGATATCCGCTTATATGTACTGAAGACAGCCGTCGTCTGCTCTTCAGTCAAATGGTTAACAGCAAGTTCTGAATGAATCAGATCTGTTAATGGGATAGTAGACATCCAGCTAAAACACACAAGCTGTGATGCAAAGAAGGTAGTCTATTTTCTCAATATATTTGTTGAGGTGAGGGAGGGCAGAGGGAGGATAAAAGAGAGGTCCTTGCCTAATACCAGTGTCTCAAGATGATGACACTGGCAGTCACTAAATATAACATAAAACAAATGTTCTGTATTTTGAATTTCCAAAAGAATTACATGAACCCAATGACAAACAACAAACTTCCGCGTGTTCCTAATTCTCAAAAGAGGGTTTGGGATTTTTCTTAATTCACCTCTCAGGCCTGGCTCCAACATTGCACCAGGTTAAGTGAAGGAGAGTAGCGCTGTGGTTTGTATTGTGGGTCTCAGTACATTGCACGATGGACTCCACAGTATGCACATTCTGAATGCTGAAAATACTGTGCAACATTCCTTTTCAGTATGAGACAAGGGCATCCTTCATGATCCTCTTACCACTTTCTAAGTCGTTAGACCTAATTTTGTCTATTAATGTCCTCACCTATAATACCAAGTAAAAATGCTTCTGGTTTTTTTAAGAATGTATATTTCATCATCTTTTTCATCTCATTATATATCATTTGACTGCATTCCACTACAGTTTTGTTTAATTTGCACAGGTCTGTCTTAAGTTCCATTAGACATGGATATGGAAATACTTTTTTATGTAACGTGCAACAGACACACATATCTCATCTATCGACAATATTTACATACCAGCTGCTTCCCCTGGGTGTTCCCTGTCAAAGCTGATAAGTTTCCAGAGGTGTGGCCCTGATAGTCTTGTGCAGCAAAAACAGCCAAGAATTTTGTGCACCTGAAAGACAAATCAATTTATCAGCTTTTGGCCATCTTCCAGCTCTACAGATCTGTGATCAGCTAATACAGTCATACCTTCTGTTGTGCTAGGTTCATGTTGCGTCTTTTCAGCTTGCGAATGCGCCAAACCCGGAAGTGTATACTTACGGGTTTCCGCGTCCGCAGAAGCAGCGCTCTAGTTACAGACTTTTCAGGGTGCGAACGGCACCCCGGAACAGATCGAGTCCGTAACTAGAGGTACCACTGTACCTTTAACATCATTTGCTTTTATTCTTGATCAAAAGTGTGATTGTTAGTGTGGTGGTTTTGTTTTTAGTTTTCTTTGTTTGCTGTGGTCGGTTTTGTTTCTTTCTTTACTAGTTGCCATTGACTGCATTGGATGGCTTTAACTAATTTTTATTGATGTCACCTGGTGCCTTTGGCATTAGGTAACTTAAATAAATTCAGTAAATAACGATAAATCACAATTTCACAGTAAAACTGCAGTTTCAAAACAAAAACCAAAAACGGTCATGTAAAATAGAATATTGCAACAGCCAAAAATTTTGTGTCACGGAGACCCAAAATCTGTGCATATGAATTACATGGTACCACTCTAGAAGCAAAATACTGTTGGCACAAGTGCTTTTTGCTTCTTTTCACTCAAGTACTTGAGCTGAAGTGCTTGGTTTTGCAACACTGGAAATCTAAATGTCCCCCATATATTAAATAATTGGATGAATGTGAAATGCAACAGGTGGTGAACTCTTGAAAAAGCTTGAAAATCTCTCTGAGGGGAGACAGTTCCCTAATTCAGGAATTTGATAATGATCCTATAGCCTGACCTTTGATGACACTACAAGCATCCCTCCTGCCTTTCTATTCTCTTTCTTTATTACCTTATATTTTTATTCAGCGTGGCAGAGGGTAAGGATAAATGAAGAATTGGACGGAGAAGATGTTGTGCAATGTGAGAAGGAGGTGGGGGATAGAGTATGATTGGAACGAGCCTGCCAAAAGCCTAACCAGTCCAGCACTCCGCTTCTCAGAGTGGCCAACCAGTTTCCCAGGGTGCTTCATTGCTGAGTGGGGATTCCAACCCTTGTCTCAGTCACAAAACTGTAAAGTTGGAAGGGACCCTGAGGATCATCTAGTCCATGGGTAGGCAAACTAAGGCCTGGGGGCTGGGTCCGGCCCAATCACCTTCTAAATCCAGCCTGCAGATGGTCCGGGAATCAGCGTGTTTTTACATGAGTAGAATGTGTCCTTTTATTTAACATGCATCTCTGGGTTATTTGTGGGGCATAGGAATTCATTCATTTTTTTCTTCAAAATTTAGTCCGGCCCCCCACAAGGTCTGAGGGACAGTGGGCTGGCCCCCTGCTGAAAATTTTGCTGACCCCTGAATGAGTCCAGCCCACTGAAATGCAGGAATATGCAGCTGTCCCATACAGGGATTGAACCTGCAAGCTTGGTGTGATCAGCACCATGCTTTAACCAACTGACCTACACAGCTGAAATCCAATGCACTAACCACTATGCCATGCGCACACTCTCTCTCTGATTGGTAATGAAGCTGTGCAACCGCCCCAAAACCTTTGCAGGTGCAAACAACGTTGAAAACATGTGACTGCCTTGATAGCATCAGGACCGCAAATCACCAGAAATGTGCCATAAAGGTTTCCTGCTGCATTACAAGCCCCCCACAGCTAGGGGAGGGAGTCATGACATAAAAGCAGCAAACTTGGGGATAATAAAGCGCCTATTCTGCCTCTTCTCTTCCCAAAACTCTTCCTTCCCCAAAGCAACTTCAACTAAAAACAACAGCTGCTGGGATTCTAATACTTTCTGTTTCTGTGTACAGTTCTACCTCGGGTTAAGAACTTAATTCGTTCTGGAGGTCCGTTCTTAACCTGAGGTACCACTTTAGCTAATGGGACCTCCGGCCGCCGCCGCACAATTTCTGTTCTCATCCTGAAGCAAAGTTCTTAACCTGAGGTACTATTTCTGGGTTAGCAGAGTCTGTAACCTGAAGCGTCTGTAACCCGAGGTACCACTGTAATGTGTAGATTGGCTGTGAAAGCCCAGTCTTAATCAGAGATTCTGGCCTTGTAAGCAGAACATATGAAATGTCCAGCGTTTCACAACAAGGAAAAAACAGTCTGTTCCTGGGTACACATTACCACTTCGAAGTGCGGCCAGGTCCTTTTCTCGGTTTGGGAGCCATCAAAATACTGCATGTTGGGATAGATACAGGATAAATATGGGGTGTGATTTACCTGATGTGTTCACCTGTGTATTCTGCATCCTGCGTGTTGGATGCAGAGTACACAGGAATATGTGCACAGTTTCTTCGTTGCGTATGTTACAAACGTGCGTTACGGTGGTACCTCGGGTTACATGCACTTCAGGTTACAGACTCCGCTAACCCAGAAATAGTACCTCGGGTTAAGAACTTTGCTTCAGGATGAGAACAGAAATCGTGCTCCGGCAGCAGCAGGAGGCCCCATTAGCTAAAGTGGTGCTTCAGGTTAAGAACAGTTTCAGGTTAAGCACGGACCTCCGGAACGAATTAAGTACTTAACCTGAGGTACCCCTATATTCTGATAGGAGATTCTAAAAATTCCCCCAACCCCAAGTGCATAAGGGCTTATGCTGACCAGCAGCAGAGAAGCACCAGCAAGCGCTGTAGCATGGCAGTATTCAGTTTCCTTCCACAGCAATTACCGAGATGCATGAACAAAAGCCGTCTTCTGGAGAAACCAAACACCAGAAGTGGCATTCATTGGTTCCCACACATGCACACAGCAGCTACTATCAGAGGTGGAGTTTGTTGCCTAGGTTATTCCATACGCCGCCAGCCGGAGGGAGGGCTGCTGACTCTCAACGGTTCTGCACTTCAGGAGTCCTGTTTGGCATTCAACTGTGGCCCGTGTGTCGTGTGCAAAAGAAGGAGGGAAGCATGAACTGCAGGGCAGCCCTCGGAGAGAAGCAATGTGGTCCCTTCTCCCCTCGTGTGTGCAGAGCAAGGTCATCATCGCGCAAGGCAGTTCAGCACAACTCCTGGCCTAACAAACGTTTTCACACTTTGCAAAAGACCGCAAAGCACAAACCCCGCAGGTGTCGCTCTCAGAGGTAGGTACAATGCAACAAGTCCCAGGATGGGACTTTGTTGTTTGGAAATTTATTTCTCTCTCTGCACTTTTAAACATATCTCCTGCTAGCACTGCAGCGGGATTTTTCCGCCTGATACCCTCCCCCTTCTTGGATTCTCACACAGTGGCTTTTTACGGCCTTGGTTCCTTTCTCATGAAGCACAGTGTGCAGAGATAGATAGATAGATAGATAGATAGATAGATAGATAGATAGATAGATGTCCTACCCTCATTGCATACTGTATCAGAGTCTGGGTGAATTTCTGTTGCAGATTATTTTGGGGGACAACCCTAAAAGTTCCAGATTGAACACTTAATGTACCTGACACCTGCACATTATCATAAACATTACAGTGTGGCTGCTTTTTTCCTCAATTTTAATATTTTTGTTACTTTTCTGTAAACCCGCTTTGAAGCTTGGTTTGTTTGTTTCAACCAAGTGGTGTATTATGAAATAAACACTCTTTTTTAAAGCCACCCCGCTTTGATTTTATTGGGTTGGTTTTTTTACCTTTTTGTAAACCTGCTTTGAGGCGTGTGGTTTTTGTTTTACAATTATATTTTATTAAGTCTCAACGTTTTTAGCGTATACAGGCAGACCACCATTTTGTCTTTTCTCTGATTTTTCGTCGACTTCCCACTCTTTTATTCCGTGGAGTTGCTGTTTCTCCCCTTCTGTTGCGCCTGATCTCCTATCTATCATATCATCACCACAATATTATGATCTAAATACTTCTGTTGCTTTGAGGGGTTTTCTTTGGTGGTTTTTGGCAACCAAGCGGTGTGTTATGACATAAATAAAGAGCAATCTCTTTTTTAAACCGTGACTGTTTACCCCACCCCACCCCCAATTCTATTGCTTTTCTACCTTTTGGCAAACCCGCATTGAGGTCTTTCGTTGTTGTTGTAGTAGTAAAACAAGTAAACAAAGTAACACAAAGTAAACATTAGTAAAACAAGTAAACAGGCCTGGGCCAAAGGGCCTGGGCCTAAGGGAAGCCTCTGCAGTTCCACCTCCCACCAGCAGGGGCTGCTATGGGCTCCTAGTTCACCTGCCCCAGGTGTGTCCACTTCCTTCCCCTACTTGGATCCTCTTTCAGGTGAGGAGTGGGAAGAGGACAATCCGTAGCAGGTGGGACGCAGGCCTTGGGCCTAGGAGAAGATGGCGTTTCCGTGTAGGCCAAGGGGCCAGCCACCCCCTACTCAACCACCCCTCCCCAAATAACCTTTACTGACTTGCGGTTCTAAGGTTTTAAAGAATTGGAGCATCTCTGCCTAATGCGTAGTCAAGTGACTGCCACCATCTCAGAGCTACGTTTTGGGTTTTTTTTGGGGGGGGGGTGGTTTACCTATCCGCTTGATTTTTGGCCTGGCAGGGTGTTCAAGCCGCCAGACAAGGCTTTTGGAGCATCCGGACCCACGTTTTCATATTTAGCAGGGGAGAGTGTTGGGACTTGAAAGACAGGGAGGCAGGCAGCTTGCCTGCCCGGGATACCTTTTTCGGGGGGTTTTGCCCTTAGTGTTCCTGTTTCTGAGGAATGTCTAGTCTGGGGCGGATTTTGGTCATCTTTCATCCTATGGTGCCCTGAGCGAGGCCAGAATCTGGTGCCCCCAAACGGATCTTCTCAGTTATGAATCTTCTCCGTTTTGTGCCCCTTCGGCTTGGCAGGGGAACCGCCCGCACTGCCCTAGATCCGGCACTGGTGGGTTTTCTCTGAGAGTTATTACAATACAGCAGGTATGGACTGTTGACAATTTCACCCCTTCCTCGCAGGACCCAGAGCATGCAGACTCTGTCAGCACAGCCCAGTCTTCTGGTCCCTGGGTAACTGCTAGTGGATTGTGGGTTAGGATGCCGGATTATGGATTTCTTGATTGTTGAGTTCTTAAATCTGCTGTTTTGCTCAAAGGGTCCAAAAGGCCTGGAAGCTGCCTATGTCAGCTTGTCAAGTCGCCTTGGCAGCTGCTTCCCTATATTAATTTATTTTATTTATACCCCACCTTTTCTCCTGAACAGGACGCGGGTGGCGCTGTGGGTTAAACCACAGAGCCTAGGGCTTGCCAACCAGAAGGTCGGCGGTTCGAATCCCCGCAACGGAGTGAGCTCCCGTTGCTTGGTCCCTGCTCCTGCCAACCTAGCAGTTCGAAAGCACGTCAAAGTGCAAGTAGATAAATAGGTACCGCTCCGACAGGAAGGTAAACCGCTCCGACGGGAAGGTAAACGGCGTTTCCGTGCGCTGCTCTGGTTCGCCAGAAGCGGCTTAGTCATGCTGGTCACATGACCCAGAAGATGTACGCCGGCTCCCTTGGTCAATAAAGCAAGATGAGCGCCGCAACCCCAGAGTCGGCCACGACTGGACCTAATGGTCAGAGGTCCCTTTACCTTTCTCCTGAAAGAGCAAACGGCATCAATAATAACATGATTTTTTAAAAAGTGTTCATAAAACATTAAGTGTTTTAAAACATTATCTCAACCAGTGAGCTCAGGGTTGCCAGGAAGCGTCTTTCAACCATCTAATGCCTAGGTAAAGGATCTCTAAAAAAATTCCTGAAAGTCAGGAATGTGGGAGACAGGCACACCTCACCAGGGAGAACAATTCACAACAGGGGAAGTGCAACGGTTCTGTTACAGGTCAGCACCAACCAGGCAGTCTCCCCACCCCAGGGGTGGCACCACCAACAAGGTGAATATGTCACAAATACAGAAAATTCTGACATCCTGGTTTTAAACAATTCCTTCTCCCCTCCCAAATCCTGAGTGGTCCTCTTGGTGTAGTCTCTTTTTTCACCATTTCAGCCAGCTTCATTCATTCACTCTTTTCTCCTATGCATTGGCCTTATATGCTGCATTTTAAAAGAGAGTCAAGAAAGGCAGATCCCAAACATCTTATAGTACTCTACACTACCATATGAATAAATGAAAGAAGAATGTATTTGACATGCCCTAGAGAGACCTTGTTACTATAAAAGCATATTTAAACACTTCTAGTGCTCCTCTTTGCCTGTTATTGAGCTCAGTTGTCAGCTTTTCTTAGGTCACCCCTCAAAGCTTGATACTGAGTGTGGGGGAAGGGGAATAAAACCATTTCAAAAAGAAATAAATATATGTATTTCAGCCTTGTAAATAAGCCCCCCTCCCTAGTAGTAGCCTGCAAAATAAAAAATACTTGCCTTTTTTATGCAGCTGAAAGCACAGCAGACTCCCAAAGGAAGGAGAGAACACACAGGCTTTCCCCCCATATATTTATTGATTTTCAAGAATACAGTGTTATGTAAAGAAATAAAAGTTAAACTGCTACACCTTTCCTCCCAATTCTTCACCTGCCCTTGAGTGTCTAGATTTCTTTGTTATCTGAGTTAAGGTTAGCATAAATTCCATACTTTTGTAGCTGTCCATACAGTTTCTTCTTCATCAGCCTGTTTTGTCTTCCTCCATACCCAGTGGGGAAGTTGAGCAGGATGATGAAGGTGAAACCTGCTAACTCTCCTGGAGAGAATTCCACATACTTAGCTGCATGGAATTCCGGGTTGCCAATGGCAACAAGGTGAGTGTTTAAATACAAGACTCTTGTACACACTTGGGGATTTGTATCCTTTCCTTACATGAATATACAGTAGCTAGATTATTCTAGACAATGACCCCTAATAAGTGTTCACTTTGTTCCAGAGCATCGAAGTTCACCCAGGCTTAGTTATTCTTGCAAGACCTCCCATTCATTTGTGGTTGCACAGGCACAAAAATGTAATTTATTTATATAAAAAGGTCAAATGTCTACAACATAGCCAAAATGTGTTAAACTGGATTGTGCCTTTTAGAGAATCAGCAAAGCCTCCCTTTTCCCTGGCGGATGATGGTGGGAGGATCCCCTGAGAATGTTCTCCTGATAAGTTTTTCTGGACAGTGCAAAGGCAAGATCTTAGCATCTTATTTTCATCAATGCAAGTGCTTTTTGACACCCCTCATTTTTAATTAAATATTATGATCCTTCAGGACATCCAGGCTCCATGAAACATAAGACAATTGTATTATTTTCAATAACTCTTAGGCACCTCCCTGTCCAGCGCATCATTAGCACAAAATTAGTCCTGCTCTCCTTGTCTTCTGCATCTAGCCCCTTAGGCAAATTCCACATCACCACTGTTTGCAGCTCTTTGTTGAAACATCTAAAGTCCTCCTAACTTGCATGTGCATTTTTTAGACTCTGTGAGCCAGCAAAGTTGCTGCACTTTGCTGATTTGTCCTCCAGCATATTGAGCATGATGCGCTGATTGGTGATCTGACCAAAAGGCAAAAAGGCAAAGCAGTCAAATGTATCTGGCTTAGGTCTGCATCCTCTTGTGTCACATCTGCATAAGCAAAGAGTTAAGCAAATTTATACTACATCTTTTAAACTTGAAATTGGAAGCTGTATCCTGAAAATGTGAAATCTCTTATCTTGCTTTTCTAAAGGTTCTGCCTTCTAAAAGTATGTGTGACATTTGAATGCTGATAAAGTTTATATCTATTTAGGTTTGTCGTGAAATCCTTTTGCGGTTCTTGGAGAGGACAAACTCCTTTTGAGGTATAAATATTTTGGTGGTAGATCAGATTTTTATTGCTATTATCTGGCACTGGCTGAGTAAGGGGGCGTGTGTATTTATTTGAATTGCCCTGCAGTTCCAGAATTCCTTGGGGGAAGCCATCCACTTTAAATGTATGTTGTGGGTGTAACCACTGGGTATAATGAGGATGGTCTCAAATAAATATACTTCTTTCCCCCATCGATACAACCAGGAAAAACACTTTAAATAAAAGCCATACACTTATTTTCATTCAGTAAACTACTGTTCCCTTCCAACTATTCAGACACTACATAGAAAGCCTGAAAAGGCAAGGAACAAGAAGGATAAAATGAACAGATAGGAAGGAATCATGATGGGATAGAAATTTAGGTCAGTGTCATGAGGCTTGGGAGACCATATAAAATGTGGTTGGTCCCTGTTTTCCATGTTGCTCACCTGTTCAATAGTACAAGGCAAGGTATTCATTAAAAAAAAGTTATAGTAAAGAAGCTTTCTTGTGAAAGGAGCTTTTCTTAAACTTTTTGTTTGTTTTGAAATGGAAAAGAGCAAAAACACGTAATTTTAAAAATACCTAATCAGTTTGTTAAAATATGTAACATTTAAGAACCATGGATGGATTCCAAAATAAATGTATCCCGTGTATACTTGTAATGCTCTTGCATTCATTTGTATATTTTATCAGAAAGGCTTTCTGAAATTGATTTCTTATGAAATAATTGTTGTTGTTTGCAGGTTTTGCAAAAATGAGCAAGAATATTAAAGAACTAAGGTAGTACCTGCTTGCTTTTACCCTGTTACAGAGGTGTCAATAATCTGCAGTTGACAATCTGAGCACGGGAATGTCCTTGATAATTAATAGATTCTTGGGAGAATTTAGTAGTAAAGGATTTATCTGTTAGTCGACATTATCATTTCTCAGACAGGTCCAGCAGACAGTGCATGTGTTAAGGTGTGAAGTGTGCAAATGCTTTTAACTGTCACTGTACATTTAGGAATGTGACCTGAATGAAAATATTAGGCCAGATTATGGAATAAATGTACAAGTAACTCACATTTTGAGGGACACGGATGGCGCTGTGGGTTAAACCACAGAGCCTAGGACTTGCTGATCAGAAGGTTGATGGTTCGAATCCCCGCAACGGGGTGAGCGCCCGTTGCTCGGTCCCTGCTCCTGCCAACCTAGCAGTTCGAAAGCAAGTCAAAGTGCAAGTAGATAAATAGGTACCGCTCCGGCAGGAAGGGAAATTGTGTTTCCGTGCGCTGCTCTGGTTCGCTAGAAGCGGCTTAGTCATGCTGGCCACATGACCCAGAAGCTGTACGCCGGCTCCCTCGGCCAATAAAGCGAGATGAGCGCCGCAACCCGAGTCGGCCACGACTGGACCTAATGATCAGGGGTCCCTTTACCTTTTAACTCACATTTTATGGAAGGGTTCTGTTTTGGGGTCAATGTGTAAATGCAAAATCACATAAAGCCAGGAAACCCCAGAACTCCCCCCCCCGCCACCTGCAACTATCCTTACCTGTCTGGAGTGGGCCTTGCCCACCGCCTTGCTTAGCAGACTTTGGGAGCAAGGAAGAGGGCTCATAAACCTCTTTCCACAGTGTGTTTTCCTGTAAGGTACAAGTCACCTGTAGGTGGTGTAGTTCTTCTTTGGCGATCACTTGTCTCCCATGAACACGGTCTTAATGGTGTGTCCGTAAGTGACTGTGGAGGCCAATTCTGGATCCACTCATCCTTCCAAACCTATGTGGGTACATAGGTTTCCAGGTGGGAGTTAATCACGGTGAGGGTTTGCCAGACACGCCTTCCTCTTTGCTTGTTTCTCCCTTTTGCCCTGAATTTGAGCGTCTTCAAAACCCACAACACCTTTGGTAAAGGCTGTCCTCCAGTTGGAGCTCTTGCAGGCCAGTGTTTCCCAATCTTCCATGCTTATACTGCTTTTTTTAAAAAAAGATTTGCCTTGAGAGTGTCTTTAAACCTCTTTTGTTACCCATCGGTGTTTCACTTTCCATCCAACATAGTCTCTACTCATATGCAGCCTTTTGACTCCACAGGGAAGCGCTGCAAAGGCAAACCCAAGAGACCTTGAAACTGCAGGAAGAAGCAACCAAATTCTCAGTGGAATCCCTCACACGTCAAGGGTGTTCCTCTCCTTCAAACCTCTTGACAAGTTCAGGTATGTGCAGCCTGCATGTACATAAAGTGTAAAAATTGAGAATGCCTTGCAGCTACTATTGAACTACTATTTGCATTCAAAAGATGGATGAAAAGGTTAAGCCTCTCAAATAGGCAGCCCTGGCTAAAACTCTACAAAAAAATGAGTTGATTAGATCAGTTTAGCGAGAGACTTAAAATGTTTTTTTATATATATTTAAAAAATGGAGCAAAACTCACTTCCAATATGTTACATACTCGAACCAGTTCTTCATTCAGACAATAAATACCCTCAAACTGATCTAGGTCTATGCTCAAAAGGTTGGGATTTTTATACCATTCCAAGAAATTAGATACCTGACCCAATAAGTGTAATAAGCATCCTGCTTAAATTTTCATATACCCGATTCATTCTTTAAAACTATCCTCCCAACACTTATTCTACATTATTCTACAATATTATATATTGCAACGGCAAAAAAAATGTTATAATATAAATGGAATATAAATGGAAAATAGGAAAGATTTATATAAAACACAGGAAAGTTAAGAGACTGAATTTCCCATCACATCTGTAGCTGTCATCCAGTTGTACTCTCATCAAGCCCGTTAGGCAATAACATTACCCTTATCTGTGGGCCCAATACATCCTTTTCTTTAACTGTTTGAATAGTTCTTTTCCTGAAGCTTGTGTATGCTCTACACACCACAATTTCAGAATCTTTCCTGCAAGTTTGTGTTCAAAAATTGTTTGGCCTATGAGCTTTGAAGTCTACTAGTTCCAGTGCAACTTCTACACTCACAGATAGGAGTTGTAGTTTTTTTGGGTTGTCATGCCTTTGTGCCATAATGAGCAAAAGCACTGCCCTATACCAATTGCTCCTTCAGTGCTATATGTATAAAAGTCCTTAATCATATATTCCTTCTTATTTCTAGGATTAATTCATCATATGGTTTCTCTTTCACAGAGATACAGTTTTCAGCACCCTTAACAAACTACAGTTCCCAGAACGCAGCCCATATCTTGCTGCAGTTCAGACAAACACTACAACTTCCACAAGGATATTGTCTTTTGCTGTTGCCATTTGCCTGCCTTGAGAGTTACTGGAAGAGTGTGCCACAGGAGGCTGAAGTCAAACCGTTGGAGAGTTACAGCGCCTGCTGTGGCTGTAGAGACCAATACAGGAGAGACATATTTTGTTGCAGCTGGGGCAGATGAAGGCATCCAGTTGTCCTGCTGCAGATGCACCGTGGTGTTTCATCTCTCTGCGGTTCTCACAGTGGTCATTTCTCCTCTGGTCACTGACCTGACTGCCTGTCTCCAGGCACTGCGGTCATTTGCAAGGGTTTCCCACATGGCAGGCTTGATGTCTGCCAGCCTTCATGTCACGTTTGCACACATCTTTGTAGCACAGAATTGCTCTGTCAATGAGCCTGGTGGCTGAAACTAGCTCCCCGTATAGCGCATCCTTGGGGATCCTGCCATCTTCTACTCTGTGTACATGACTCTAATACAGGGGTTGGCAAGGTTTAGCTCGCCAGGGCCGGTTCGCTCCAGTGGAGATCCCTCCGTGGGCCGGATCGCACCCGTGATTTTTGGCGTCTGTGTCTGCACAGACGCAATTTTCGGCGCCGCGGAAGCAAGTCCCCGTGCCACGCTGCAGTGGTTTAGCGCAGCACATGGGGACTCACCGAGTGGGTGGCTTGGTTCAGGAGCAGCTCATGAGCCAGTTAAACGACCCCTTAGGTTGCCGAGCCCTGCTCTAATACAACAAACAATACAAGCAACACGCAGACCAGTATACTAGATAGCACTGTAATTCTTATTGCATCATATACATGATTTAGTAGCAAAAACAAAATGTGTGCACTTGTAAATTCTCTTAATATATTTGAAATCAATTGAACACATGTCTGTCAATCTTTGAAAGTCCGCAGAAGTATAATAAGTCTATGGTTGAAACAAAGTAATAGATCCTATCCTGTGGGCTAAGCGGTAAAACTTTTTTTAGGCGTTCATGGTGCCGAAGTAGTAGGTGAATAACAACGGACAGTGATCCCGGATAATCTGACTGTTTCGCTGGAATCTTCTTCAGCACAACTACAAAAGAATTCAAATATGAAACAATGACCTGTGTACATGAAAGCTATATAAACTTCACACATTACAATCCATATGCTACAACTACAATAAGAAGAACAAAGGTACATACCCCATAGATTAGTAAAATGCACAAGGAGCAGTGCTCACGTGGATATGTAACCACTGCTACCAGTTGCATGATACCGGAAGCATAAGTAACCATTCCCAGGTGGCGCTCATTACAGGGAGAATGAATTGCAGTGATTCAATTTAAAGGTACAAAGCAATATAACAACAATAAGAAAACATCAAATAAAACAATTTAAATCCAGTTCAGAATTGAGTCCTTCAGGGTGAATGGTCTTAAACATAAAAATGAATTGAGATTCTTTCTGTCGTAGCCGTTTTTCATGATCTTGTCTTTTGTTGATGGTTTTCTGATTCACCCACAGTCCTGTGAACAATAAATCCCTATCAGAATGATTCTGCGATATAAAATGTTCAACCAGAGGAGCTTCCAACACAGCAAACCCTGCTCTAATAGCTAACCTATTGTTTGCTCTCAATTTTTTTCTTCATGGATGTGAATGGTTGTGGAATAGGCAAGCAGCCAATCACTGTTTACTGCACTTGCTCCACTATTGCTACTGTTTCACTTTCTTCAGCTGCCCTGAACGTCTTTGTTGTTTTCCATAGGCACTTCTTCTGCATATAAGAGCAACCCAAATGCACCATCTTCCAGGCTCGGCACACTGATGGAGGGCTCCACAAGTTCTACCTGTAGTACAGCCCCTGCTGCTGCTGCTGTTGCCACCAGCAGTAGCCCTCCCAAAATTGTATACACTACATATGAATTGGACATTGACATGGAGACTGGTAAAAGGCCCAAGAAATGTCCAGGGAAAGGGAAAGAGTCCATTGAGTCCATCTTGGAAGAATATTCTCAGCAAGTCAGAGATCTGCAGAAGAAGCTAAATGAAGTGAGTTTCAAGCTTGGCAGAAAGGCTCTCAGTGTACTGATTGTCATTTAACTGCGGGGGGTGGATATCACAACCACGGCAGTGTATTCCCTGCACTAAAGGTGGTGGCGGGAGAATCAAAACCGTTGACCAAGGTAACTTAAGTTATGCACCAAGAAAATCTGAATGCAGCAGATTGGGAACATACAGGAAGGGTTTTATAATTACCGTATTTTTCGCTCTATAAGGCGCACCAGACCACAAGACGCACCTAGTTTTTGGAGGAGGAAAACAAGAAAAAAAATATTCTGAATCTCAGAAGCCAGAACAGCAAGAGGAATCACTGTGCAGTTAAAGCAGCAATCGCTCTTGCTGTTCTTGCTTCTGGGATAGCTGCGCAGCCTGCATTCGCTCCATAAGACGCACACACATTTCCCCTTACTTTTTAGAAGGGAAAAAGTGAGTCTTATAGAGCAAAAAATATGGTAATTATAATTTTTTCAAAATTTCATAATCAGCTTTTAGGAAGTTTTAATAGAAACATTTTAATAAATAAATGCACACATTGATATTGGTTACACTACCAAAATGTTGGGAACTGTTTGTTAAGGGTAAGGAAGCCTCTCTTCATCCCAGTTCAGGAGCCCAGTTTAACTAGTTTAGTTTTTATTCTGCAGATACGCTTTCAGAGCCTGGATTTTAATCTGCAACTGCATGCCTTCGTGTGGTGCATGTTTGTGAAAATGAGGGGGTGTTGTTGAAGGCTAGGGGTAGATCAGACTCCCTTTTATGGCTGGTTCTGTTAAATGAAAATGGTCTGCCATGTCTAAATGATACCTTTTGCGCTCATCAGATTAGCAAAACAGCCAGAGCCGGATAATTCATCATGGAAAACTGCAGCAAGCCTTCTCTTAATTACAATTATCTGACTTCTGCAAATCGGAAGATCTGCCCTAGAGCAGTGCCGCCAAGATTTGCCTTGCTCCATTTCCCAAATTGCATTTTGCCTACTGTTAATACTGTTTCATGATCTTATTTCGCTTCCCGCAGGCTACAGAACAGCATGAGCAACAGAAATTAACTTTAAGACAGACAATAATTGAGTTGCAGACAAACCTTCGGGAGGTAACGAGGGAAAAAGAGTCTATAACTGATCTCAGGTGAGCACCCTCATGGTACAAACTAGAGAGGGTATCATGGACTGGTTCAACACAGAGGAATGGCATGAGAAACCAGCTAGGGAACCCCCAATTGAAGAAGGCTCAGAGCCCAGGGAGTGGCGGTAGGATGGTGATGAGTGGTCAGAGGGAGAAGAGGAAGAAGACTGGGAGGAGGAGGTGTGAGATGCTGAAGAGGTAACAGGGCTTAGTGAGCTTGGAGAGTCTGTGGCAGCGATAGACCAGGCTTGTGAAGAAACATGGGTGTCGCCGCCTCCTGCAGCAACAAGCTCCCCTCCCCCTGCTCTCCCAGAACCAGGAGAGGCATGAAGCGAGAGGAGCAAATACAGACAAGCAGGCACAGTCTCCAATTGCTTGGGGGGGGGGGAGGACCCGGAAGAGGAGAAGACACAGCTGTCTATGGGGAGGCAGGGACCTTTAGTCTCGGCAACTACTTCATGGGGGCAGAACTTGAGTTGCTGTGCTCATTAGGCCTCCCACTCCTGGGCAGATCCTGTTTTGCTTATAAGGAGTTAACTCCAGCTTGCTCAGTGTGATTTACTGCTGGCTCACTCCTGTCAGAGGGCCACAGTTCTAAGACCATTTGCATATTCCAATTGCAGCTTCCCAGCTAGGCTCTAAAATTATGACCTGGGATCAAAGAAAACATCTTGGGAATGACCCCATGCCCTGTGCAACTCAGGTAGCTGGTATTGTTTTGCAGACCTCCCATTTTCCCAGCTAGTGGGAAGTTCCAGAGTCAATTTGCTACACGTTCAGTTGTCTTGTGACGATGGCATATCAGAAGTTTAACCGTGGTTTCTTTTTCATATTGCTGCGGGTTTGGGGGGACCAGGGGCAGAAAGCTTTTACAGCCCAAGAGCCACATTTCCTTCTGGGCAACCTGCCAAAGGCCACATGCCATTGGTGGGTGGAGCCAAAAGCAAAAGTGGGTGGGGAGACCTATGTAAATTTTACCTTTGTACAAAAGTAGGTCAGCATAGAAGTGTACCCAGAATAGCACTAAAAGACTGAAGCTGTACACCTGTTTGAGACTGCAAAAGAAACCACAAAACACAGTTGTGGGGTGTTGTCAGAGGCCCCTGAATTTGCACTGGATGCTTCCTTTTCTGATAAATAGGCGAAAAGAGTCTCAAACCCAAGAGGATCTCAATTGCAAGCTGAAGGCTACAATCAATGAGCTGCAAACAGCCAATCACCTTCAGGAGGAGATGCTGAAGGAAGCCAACAACCAAACAGAACATCTGAAAAAGATGGTACAGGGCCATGAAGACATCCTCCAGGAACTTCGTAATGTCCTACTGGCCTATGAAGAAAGTTCGGGAAAGAAGATCTTTGATCAGGAGAGCATCGCCAACCTTCACGTCTGCAACCTTCCCAGGGCTTTCAGTAAAGTTCTGCGAGATCTAGATACAGAGATATCCCTGCTCAAAGCGAAGCTTACTCCAGTAAGTGCCCTTCAACTCATTCTGAATGAAATTTAAGCATAAGATCACTGTGTACTCAAGACAGGAGGGAATCTGGTGGCATAACCAAGGTCATATTGACAGCTGGATTGTAACCAGGTAACGGGAGCACAAGCTCAGCTCACATCCTGTGGTCATTTTTACACTTGATTATCCTATTTCACAGGATAGAATTAGGTAACAATTTTGGATCTAACCACAGTGGCATCTCTTTTCGTTGGCCAGTGATCGGCCACATTTCTGGTGCACAGCCATGCATGCTCTGGTCCCTTTGAAAACACTGAGGCTTAAATGCAGATAACTGGATTGCACCTCTGATTAGGCTCTGGGGCAGACCTGGTATGAAAACATCCATTCCATGTGTCAAAACTTGGGTCACCTCCCACTCCTCATAAGGCTGGAGTATGGAGCTGGGGGGGAGATTCAAAGGGCCGCAAAGGCAGGTGGGGGGGGCATTGAGCTCCTGCCAAATCTCACCCACCTCTGCCCAGAATGAATTCCTACCTCCTGTCATTTTTTTTTTCTTGCTGGGATTTGACGAAGGCAGAACAACCAACTAAGATTTCAATGGGTGTTAAAGCCCTAACATGAATAAATTATTGTTAATAACCGCAACTATTATTATTCTCTTATTTATGCAGAACCGCTTTTTCCTCAGAGAGACTCTACCAAACTCCAATTGAGTTAAATGCATCGTTAGTTTGACCTTGTGCATTTATTTATTTTATATTAAATAGTCACAGTGGACCAGGACTATGGCATGGTGGAACAGGGGTGTTTTTAACCATGTATTTCTTTGTCACAGACCCAAGAAAAATAGCAGCTTACAAGAAATAATTCAGATGGCACCAATAAGGAGTTTTAAAAATGTAAACGGAGACCTTGAACCTCTTCCTTTTCTTCTGCTGGAGTTTTGTACATCCTCCTAGGGTGCTCCTCCTTTCCCTGTCTGCAGCCAACTTCATTTGCTTTGGTTGGAGTGCCTCCAAAATGATCCAGTTTCCAGTCCGAATGCCTCATCATGGTTTATTGGGATCCAAAGGCCATGGGAAACTCTCATTACCAAAGGCCATGGGAAACTCTCATAATTAATAGTTCAGTAGGGTATGAGAATACATTTTGGCCTGGATGGCAAATGGCTGCAGACCCCCCAGTCCAAATGGCATCAGTCTCTTAAGACAAAGTGACATCAGGTGTAGGACAGGTATAGTCACGCCTCCTTGCTGAAAGCTGGATTGCAGGTGCTGCCAATCAGCTGATCAATGACACCTGCAAACCCCTGGACCTATGCCTTAGCAGTCTGGTTCCAAACTATACAGGAAAATGTCTCACCCAAAGGGGGTCAGGATCAGGTTGGTTTTTCCAGCCCAGCATGCAAAAGGTCCCAGTTTGAATCACTAGCACCTCCATTTGGAGAATCTTGGGTAGCAGAGCTAGGAAAGAGCCTGAGACCTTGGAAGACCCATTGCCTCTCTGAGGAGTCAACTAGGCTCATTCATACTCATGGTGTTATGCTGCTTACTTCAGCCTTCCCTAATCTCTGGTCCAAAATGTCCACATGCTTTGGACCACAGTTCATCCCAGGCCATTGGCCATGCTGGCTGGGCCTGGCAGGAGTTGTTCACCAAAACATCTGGAAAGCACACAGCTGTGAAAGGCTGCAGCCAGTCTCATACTTCCATAGGATGAGTGTTGAAGCCTCTGAACCACAGCAATCTCTTCCCCTTCCTGTGGTCACGGGCCTGGCAATTAAGATGACACTGCGGTGAATTGTGGAGCACATACAGGACAGTTGTTGAAGCCTGTGTCAGGTGGAGAAAGAGCCAAGTAGAGGCATTTTCTTCTTTCAGCTACTAGGCTCTGGCAAGTCCCTTGGAATAAGCAACCATGGGAGCAATAACCACAAGCTTATCTTGTGCAGATGTTGCTGTTGTTTGCATCCTTCTGTCTCGAGAGACAATGGAGTGCGACTCTGAGGGTAAAGTTAGCAGCACCGATGTGAACTCCCCAGGGTGCAAGCCTAGGCAGTGTGTATGGAGGTCCTGGGCTGACCAGTCAACAAGGCTGATGTAGTTCAAAGGAAAGCAGAACAATACGTTTGGCACCAGCTTGACTGCAGGAGTTAGCGGAAAGAGGCATATAAGATGCCATCCAACTGTCTTAGGGACTCTACTCTGGATTTGTGTAGGGTTTATTCCTTAGCCTTTTCTTCTCCCAAAGATATCCTGCCAGGCATTAGAAGCTGACAAGCCCCATATGCCCTCACTTCCCTCTACAGCAGCCTTTCTCAACCTGTGGGTCCCCAGATGTTGTTGAACTACAACTCCCATCACCCCTACCTAGCAAGGCCAGAGCTCAGGGATGATGGGAGTTGTAGTCCAACAACATCTGGGGACCCACAGGTTGAGAACCGCTGCTCTATTGCATGGGTAGGCAAACTAAGGCCCGGGGCTGGATCCGGCCCAATCGCCTTCTAAATCCAGGACAGTCCAGCAATCAGCGTGTTTTTACATGAGTAGAATGTGTGCTTTTATTTAAAATGCATCTCTGGATTATTTGTGGGGCATAGGAATCCGTTCATTAGTTTTTTCCAAAATATAGTCTGGCCCCCCACAAGGTCTGAGGGACAGTGGACCGGCCCCCTGCTGAAAAAGTTTGCTGACCCCTGCTCTACAGCATGTGCAGAAACCACCTTCTCCACTGCTGTACCTACTATTTGTCTCATCTGCTCAATCCGCCAGAGCCTGTCTTTGCATGCAGGATAAGTCCCTATCTTGCTGAGGGTTTGAGACCCATCAGCTACCCTCACCTGGTTTAGCCAGCCAGTCAAAACTATTCCCTGGGGTGTGGCTGCTTTTGCATGGTGACAGCTTCCAGGAGCCCCAGGTGAGAGTTAAGTGTCAGGTGGGGACCAAAGGTGAACAAACTACCCCAGAAGGAGCACAATGTGTCCCCCACCAGAGGTACTAGCCCTCTCCTGACACCCCATACACCTCCCACCCCACCACAGATGCAGCTGGAGTTATTCAAAATACACAGTCAGCACTGATTGTATGTTAATGATAAACCTCCATGTGATCCTTATCAGTCTAAACATAGGAGTGCTGAATCAACAAACTTCGCTATCCCCCTTAATGCTTGTGTTCTGTAAATAGGCTGCTGTAAGGTCCTTTATGAAATACGTTTAGGTAAGGCTAATTGCTCACTTGGTTGTGACTGATGACTGTTTATTAATAACAGATGGAAGAGCAAGTGGACATGGTGAGGAGAGAATCACAGTGCAAAACTGAAGCTTTGCTTCAACAGCAACAAGAGAGGTACACTGTGCTCTTATCTTCTTCCTCTATATTTGTTTAGAAAATAATTCATAAGACTAAAATTTAGAACAAAGAACAGAAAATGACTGCATTTGTCAAAATATGCTGCCACCTTGAACTCTCAGAAGAAAGGTGAGATAGAAATCTAATAAATCAGTAAATAGTTAAAAGCCCATCCAGTTTCATAGGCAGGGAGAGTTCCCATTTCTTTTCCCACCTCACTGGACATCCAATCTTGAGTTAGAGAAGCTGGCCTGATCTGGAGACGGTTGTCAGTTGAGACGAGGTTGGCTTGGGAAATAGGTGCTCCCTCACTGCTACTACTCCTGTTGTTTTTATTTTTTTATTTTTAATAACAGCGTTGAGAGACTGATAAGTGCGCATGAACAGGAACTGGAAGCTCTGAACGAAAAGCTGAACAGCTCTCGCAGCCATGCAAGCAACATCGAAAGCCAGCTGGAGATCATCCAGTAAGTGTCTCAGTAATGCTGTTCTGCATGTACATCACTGAAGAGTATTGCAAGCAAACACTGTCTGCTGAATATACAGAAACCCTTGATTATACCAATACAGGACACTGATTGTTTACTAGATTTCTCTTAGGATTCATTAAACCTTCTAGGGTGAGAATTCTGGGGTGGAAGAAAGCTGGTTAGGACCCCTGCCCACCTGCTTTCCCAGTGTAATGCAGTATAAATTTAAGTAGAAAATAAATTCTAGTGACACAGTAAGAATGTGTAGTAGACCATAGCTGCAGCAAATTTAGGGCTCATTCACATTTTTGCTTGACCCATATTTTGAATGTATTGTATTGTATATGAATTAATTCCCCCAGGTCCAATAACTTTTTTCATTGTTCCGTGGCTGTGTCATGCCAAAAACTGATCTTACCCGCTGAATTGAACCTTGGTTAAGCAAAAACTCTCTTCGGATTTTTCACACATCTGTGAAGATCCAGTTCAGTGTGCAATATCATATTTTTGGAAGGCACAGCTTGCAGAATAACAATAAAAGCTATTGGAAATAGGATAATTAATAGTAAAGGCAAAGGTAAAGGTACCCCTGCCCGTACGGGCCAGTCGTGTCCGACTCTAGGGTTGTGCGCCCATCTCACTTAAGAGGCCAGGGGCCAGTGCTGTCCGGAGACACTTCCGGGTCATGTGGCCAGCGTGACGAAGCTGTTCTGGCGAGCCAGCACCAGTGCAGCACACGGAAACGCCGTTTACCTTCCCGCTATAAAGCGGTACCTATTTATCTACTTGCACCGGGGGGTGCTTTCAAACTGCTAGGTGGGCAGGAGCTGGAACCAAAAGACAGGAGCTCACCCCGCCGTGGGGATTCGAACCGCCAACCATGCGATCGGCAAGTCCTAGGCACTGAGGTTTTACCCACAGCGCCACCCGCGTCCCTTAATTAATCAATAATAATAATAATTTTATTATTTATACCCCGCCCATCTGGCTGGGTTTCCCCAGCCACTCTGGGCGGCTTCCAGCAAAATATTAAAACACAATAATTCATCAAATATTAAAAGCGGTAAACAATACTGTATTTTATCGCCCAGTAGTAAGCCATTGCAGGTGTACTGTAGTTATAAGTCTGTTTTATGTATTCCATTTCTGAAGGGCTTGGGAGCTGGGATAGCTCTGTTGGTAGAGCATGGGGCTCTTAATCTCAGGGTCGTGGCTTTATGTCTGCACCATCATCTCTGTACATGTTGCACTTTCACATTGGTTTCAGGTTGTTCACTTTCTCTTTTTCTTCTACTATATTTTTTAGAGAGCAAGCAAAAAACCAGAACTCATTGTACATGCGACAGATCAGTCAGCTGGAAAGCACTGTGTCCTCACTGCGTTCTGAGCTCCGAGAATCAAGGAGGATGTCTCAGGACAAGGTGGGTTGCAAAATGATGTTGGGGAGACACTTGCAATTAAATTCTGTGTATGTGTTCTGTGATCGTGAATGTAATGCATTTAGTATTATCTGCCGGGACAATATAACACCAGTCCTAAAGGATCTTCACTGGATCCCAGTACATTTCCAAGCACAATTCAAAGTGTTGGTGCTGACCTTTAAAGCCCTAAATGGCCTCGGCCCAGTATACCTGAAGGAGCGTCTCCACCCCCATCGCTCAGCCTTCTCAGGTCTTCTGCTGGTTCCCTCACTGCGAGAAGCAAAGTTACAGGGAACCAGGCAAAGGGTCTTCTTGGTAGTGGCGCTCTCCCTATGGAATGCCCTCCCTTCAGATCTCAAGGAAATAAATAACTATTTGACTTTTAGAAGACAGTCCTGAAGGCAGTCCTGTTTCAGGAAGTTTTATAAGGATTGATGTTTTTATTATGTTTTTACATATGTTGTAAGCTGCCCAGAATGGCTGGGGAAACCCAGCCAGATGTGCGGGATATAAACATTAAAATTACTAGTAGTAGTAGTAGTAGTAGTAGTAGTCATAGTATTTTAGGGTAGTGAAGAGGAGAAAATAAAAATCAGTAGCAATGCAGTATCTGTTTTTTTAAAAAAGGTATTACCCAGCAACAGAGTGGTTTTTAAGGCCCCTTTGACATGATTTTCATTGTAAAAATAATAAAATACGAACATAGTAATACAGTGGTACCTCGGGTTAGGTACTTAATTCGTTCCGGAGGTCTGGTCTGAACCTGAAACTGTTCTTAACCTGAAGCACCACTTTAGCTAATGGGGTCTCCTGCTGCCGTCGCGCCACCAGAGCACGATTTCTGTTCTCATCCTGAAGCAAAGTTCTTAACCCAAGGTACTATTTCTGGGTTAGCAGAGTCTGTAACCTGAAGCGTCTGTAACCTGAAGCGTATGTAACCCGAGGTACCACTGTAAACAAAATAAAAAAAACCCTCTCCCAGTTTAAAAGGCCATGGATTATTTAGTTAATCAAAGGCCTGGATGAAGAGGAATGTTTTGCCTGGCTCCTAAAGATACATAACAAAGGCACCAGGTGAATAGCCTTTGGGAGATCATTTCACAAGCAGCGAGCCACCACAGAAAAAAATTGTCCTCATGTTTCTGATCTCCAGACTTCTCACAGTGAAGGAACACAGAGAAGGGCCTTAGACAATGATTGCTTAGAGGAAGGTTATACAACGGTACCTTGGTTCCTGAACGGCTTAGTTGTCAAACAAATCGGCTCCTGAACGCCACAAACCTGGAAGTAAGTGTTCCGGTTTGTGAACGTTTTTTGGAAGCTGAACATCCGACATGGCTTCCATGGCTTCTGATTGAGTCCAGGAAGCTCCTGCAGCCAATTGGAAGCCGCACCTTGGTTTTTGAACAGGCTCCCGGAACGGATTAAGTTCGAGAACCAAGGTACCACTGTAATTTTGTCTTATAAAATTTAGAGGCAATAATTCACACATAGTCATTTGACTTCCATTCCCAACTGCAGCTTAGGTTACAAGTCACATTGGGCTGGGCAGGTTCCTTCTTCCAAGTTACAAATGAATGATGTTTTCTCTTATATAGAAAAGTCCAAGAAATCAAATAACAGGTAGGCTGATCAAGGTGACATGGCAGTGGATATCAAGAGGGTTTTTTTGTAAAGCGATGCAGTACGTGCTTTATTGAGTTCCACATGCCTTTCATTTACTTTTTCATGTATTGATCACGGAAGTGAATCACTAAGCACATGTATTCTTGCAATGAATGGGTGTTGGTCAAGAACACAGGTAATGTTGTGCTGAGATTTGATTGATCTGTGAATTGTGCCAGTTTTCCAAACAAATATTTGGAAGTATTCTGTTAATATCTTAACAGCCTAGTCCACTTCCAGATTAGTATCAGATGTTGTTTTAGCAGCCATAGTGAAAACTAATAACAGGACTTGCTTTCTACCTCCACCAACTAAGAGGGTGTTCAATCAACCAAAAAGATTCAAGCAGGCAATCCAAATTATGCGCTGAGGAGGAAAAGAGAATTCTGAAAGCAGTGTCAACTTTGCAAACCAACCAGACTTGCATTATGTCTTGCTTTGCACTATTTATTGGTTGGACAGTTTTAATTACCGGTACTTTGCATGATTCTAGTTTTTGCTAATCAGAAGCAGCTAGTTGCTCTGTAGGATCCTGAAGGCCAGCCCCCGAGCCCTGCAAATATCCACCCAGGCACCTTTTGGATTCCTGACAATTCAGGAGGCACATTCCATATACTGTCAAACGTGCCTTCAAAACTGCAGGCTAGAAAAAGCTTTTGTTTAAACAGAAAGGAGAGCTAAGGTTCCCAGGAAGCTGAGTTCTGCTCCTAGTACCTCATTCTGTGGTACCACATTTGTCCTGTTGCAGAAATTTGATCACAGCAGATATGCTACCCCTTTCTTCCTCGTAGAAATCTGCTGTAAGACCATTTTTGTGTGTGTGTGTCTTTGTGTTAATATCTTAGATAGAAGAACTGGAGAAACAGCTGCATTTGGTTCATTCTGAGATGGCGGAGGCTCAAAATGAAAGGGACCAGTATAGCCAGGAAACTGGAAACTTGGACGATCAGGTTCAGCAGTTGGTGGTAGGCATCTGAGACTGAATCACTTCCATAAAGTTTGCTTTTTGTAAATCACTTTATTAATGGTCCAGCTACGTAAGTAGATCAAATTCCAATCCTTTGTGTGAAACTGGGGGACACCAGAGCTTGTAACGAAGAGCCAGCTTTAATCTGCATGCTTCATAAACCCACCACTACATAAAAAAAGGAAAAATCAGAACATTCTTTGAGAAAGTTGAACAGTTAGCACAGATCATTCAGGACTTGGAAAATGGTGCTGGGGAGGGTTCTTTAGCTGCATGCAAAAGAACATCACACAGGCATAGTCCGAGGAATGCTGTTGACTATCACACAGGATTCATGAGAAGTCTGAATTGTTAGCTTCATTTAGGACAGGAATAATTCCGTTGTGAGTTGGGTGCATCAGTCATAAGTAAAAGACTAAGCAAGGGGTGGTGGTGAAAGGCAAGATGGGCATTGGGACAGGGAAAAGAGGAGCTTCCTATACCCGTACGCCATTTTTTTTCCTGAACACCCCCGCCTGGCTTTCCCAACTTGCTTTCCCACTCATTAGGGAAAGGGAGCTTGGGGTGGCTCTTTTCATCATGGTGGGGGGAGCACAGATGGAAAGTAATAGGAAACTTCTTAGGCTTCATCTCGTCTTCAGATTACAGCCTTACTTCGGGGGTGGAGAAACATTTTAAGGGAAGAATATATGTTGGCCTTTAGCCCAAATCAAGGATGACATTTGAGGTGTTAATAGCTAGCCAATGTCTGCCTGCCAGAGAGCCAGTGTACCTTTTGCATGTTCTCTCTCTCCCTCTCTCTCCCGATACTTTGGATACTGGAAATCATACCCTATGTTTAATTTGAGCTGGAGTTCATTGTGCATTTAGCTTACACAAATGAGTCACTCACCTAGGTCTGCCCTGCAGGATTAGTCATTTATTATTTTTCTCAAAGAATTTAAAAGAAGGAATAATAACTATCGCACTCTTCCTTCAAAAAGGGCTCCAAAAGCGACTTACAAATAATTGAAACAAACAAGCAAAAAGCAGTTCCTGTCCTCAGAGTTTTACAACCTAAGAAGACACAACGAAACAGGAAAATGGATTGGGTGGGAGGAAGAAATGGCTGTTAATAAATAAGTAATTAAGCAAAACTCTGTTCTTGGTTACAAATTCTCATAAGGACCAGCTGTGTCGATCGAGACTTGGGGTTGCCATATTTCAAAAAGTGAAAATCTGGACACAAAAGTTCTCTCTTTCTTGGGAAATTTTTGCAATTTCCACCTGAGCACTGTTTCTGACAGCCGAGTCCTGGAATCCCAGCTCCTGTATGTCCAAAATATTTTGGATGATGGCAACCCTAGATGGAGTGATCTGGCATCCCTTCTCCTCTCTCCTCTGCTGCACCCTGCCAGAAAGGCTGCTGCCAGATGGAGGGATGGAACGAGGAGCCTGATTTCCCAGCAGTGCTAATTGTGATGCCACGTCCCTCCTCTCCTCTTCTACAGCCTATTGTAATGGCTGCCAACTAGACCCATGGAATACTTTTTAAAGCTTTATTTAATGCTTGGGAAACGCCCCGCCTTTCAGAGTGAGCTTCATAAGAAAGATATGGAGCTGAATCTGGAAAAAGAGCAGAACAAGCGGCTCTGGGATCGGGACACCGGCAGCAGCATCACCATTGACCACTTGCGGAGGGAACTGGACAACAAAAACATGGAACTGCAGCGCATGGAGTCCATTGTGTCGTCCATGAAGATGGAGTCCCAGGGGCAGATGGAACGTCAGGTCAGGAAAGGTGGCCAAAGCCGGGAACAGTGCAAACGCCCCCAAGCCAAAGGGAAACATCCATACTGCAGATTGTATAGCAGCGTTTCGCAGGTTCCTGATAGCCAAGTGATGCTGCTAACCCCTTCAGTTGAAACTGGAGGTGTGCTTCACTCTTGTGCCTTGTGGCTTAGGGCCCTTATATTTATGGGACCGCCTCTCCTGGTATGCCCTGCAGAGGACCTTAAGGTCCATGAATAATAATAGTTTAGAGGTCTTGGGCCCTAAGGAAGTCAGATTATCCTCCACCAGGGCCAAGGCCTTCTCAGTGATGCCTCCGACCTGGTGGAATGCTCTCTCCCATGAGACTAGGGCCCTTCAGGATTTAATCTCCTTCCTTCGGGCCTGTAAGACAGAGCTATTCCACCTGGCTTTCAACTTGAACTTAGCCTGATCTTTTATTCCCCTTCCTTCCTTCCCCTTCCCCTTTTTATGAAGATTACCCGCTCTGGGATCCCACACCTAATTCTCCCCTGGCCTCCACGCTGGCCCAAATAGGACTAATTTAGCCAGCTAACCCTGGTGACCATCTAATGTTTATTGGATGGATTTCCCCCTAAATTGATTTTTGAATTCTGAATTTATTGTTATTCACGTTTTATACTGTTGTTTTATCCTGTTTTTTTGTTGCGTTAATTAACTGTTTTAAATTTGTTTTTGAACTGGGAAGGGTGGGGTATAAATAAAAATTTATTATTATTATTATTATTATTATGCCTGCAGGGGTTTACGTTGGGCAGCGGCGGAGGAAGCCGCTTGGGCGCCTGGGGCAGAGTGCCCAGGGGTGTGTTGAGCCGCCCAGAGGGGCGTGGGGCACCACGGGGCCTCCAGAGTCTGGGTGCCTCCTCCTACTCAGCCGTCCTACAACTGGGGCAGTGGGCGGACTGTTTAGGCAGCACGGAGCCTCTGCGTGCCCAAGCTACCATGTTTCCCAGTGGCTCGGGTGCGCTGCAGGCCCCGTGGTGAGTGCTGCCTGGCATTTTGGCACCCCCGCCCCTCGGTGGTGACGCCCGGGACGGACCGCCCCTACCGCACCCCCCTTCCTCCACCCCTGACATTGGGGCTTCAGTTGTGGGCAATCTATGGGTATTTCTTCAACTGGCCAGCAGGTGGCATGATTGCTTTTGGAGTTAAAGACCGTGGTGGGGCTGCAACTGCAGGAAAAATTGAGGCACTGAGCAGTTGTACCAGGCGGTACTGTAAGTACCACGGCCCTGGACATCTCACTTTTGTGCTCGGATGAAATAATTTATTTTAATGCTTGTGACGGAAAGTTATGAAAAATAGCAATGGGGCAGCATCTGCTTAACCCAGCCTGAATGATGCCATCCAAGTGTGTTGTGAATGCAATGGTCAGCATGCTGACCCACTAGGATCAAGGAGATAGGCAGGTTCAAATCCCCACAAGGCTCATTTTGGCCCCATTGATCTCTCTGAGAAGTCGTGGAGAGAGCTATATACACTGCCTTGAGAGCCATGGAGGAAAGACAGGAGACAAATGTGATAAGTAAAGGAGGAAGCCAAGTTGATGCACTGTTAAAGAGAGCTTCCTCTCTTTTGGAAGCTTATTTAAGATTAAAACCTTTTTTGAATTCTTTGCGGCCTAATATTTCATGCGCTGCTGTGCGGGAAGGTCTTTCAGACATTTGGCAAGAGGGGTGGCTCAGAGCAGACAGCTTGGTGGGTGTTAAATGCCACAGAGGTGGCAAGGAGAGGGAGCCTCTGGCTCTCTAGAAGTATCACAAGATTTTTTTTTTTAAAAATGGCTTCTATCCAGGAAACCACACTTTGCCGTAGAGAATGGATGTGGCTACCAGATATCCAAAACATGCTAGACACTGTCTTATGCAAAGGGAAGAAGTGGCTGAGAATAGGCAAGAAAGAAAGAGATGGCGGGAGTGACAGGGTGATGAGGAAATCCTGCACAGGTGCCTAGGGGAAAGGTTCACTGGAGGAGAAAGTGGATAAAGGCATTAAGCCCACCCCTCTGCTCTGAGGCTCTGTGGGGGAGGGGGAGACTACTGACTTGACCCCACATACACTTCAGCCCCCGTGCCTCCCCAGTCCCACCCCGGGCAGTCAAAATTGTAATAACCTCCCTTGATACAATGAAAACATATGGAACATTTGTCCCCACCAGATGTCTGCAATTAAGGAAAAGAACGAAAGCATCGAGAGGATGGCCTCTATGGCTTCCCAGCAAGAGTCCACCAAAGAGATGCTCCGCAAAGTCGTGGAGGAACTGACAGAGAAGAAGGTGAGTTTGGACGCAGCAGAGAAGCACGTGGCAGAGCTGACCGCGTGCCTGCAGGAGAAGGAGAAGGTGATCGAGGCGACCAACGAGGAAATCCAGAAGCTGCGCGGGCGCGTGGACGGGAAGCTGCAGGAGCTCCAGGTTCTGAAGAGCGAGAGCGACCACATGCGGAGCGTGCGCTCGGATTGCGACTCCCTGAGGCTGCAGGTGGTGGAGAAGGAGAAGGTGATCGAGATCCTGCGGAAGCAAGTCGAGAACATGACTCAGATCGTGGGCCAGCACAGTCGGACGGCTGGGTCGATGGAGATGGAAAAATGCCAGCTCGCAAAAGAAGTCAATGACAAGAAAATGGAACTCCATGAGCTTAAGGTGTGCATGTTTCGCTGTGTGTGGGGAAGTGTTGGTACTTTTTTAAAAAGATAAAGCTTTTCTTTTGGTCATGGGAATTTTCGGTCAGAAAACTAGACCAGAAGAGCTAGCTTTAAACAGAATGTTTGACTAAATGCACATTGATCTGGTCCAGGAAGGCAATTCGTATGGCATGTCTTTAGTGCAAACAATTAACCTCCTATGTTGCAAACAGTTATCAGTAATATCCAAGGCAACATGATGACCAAGTACAACAATGTAATGTCAATGTAAACCCTTTATATAATCTATACAGAACATTGAACAGTATGAAATATATGAAATATGCACTCTCTGCAAATCCAAATAAACAGAAATCTTATAAATCTCCAAAAGCCACAAAATATGCACTCTTGATGGATTCTCTTGAAAACATAGAACAATTGCTATGGAGCAGTGGTCATAAAGTTATGTAACCATACAATTCCATTTACCATAAAGATGGGTTTATGAAGCATTTCTGTATCCTTCTGCTGTGCTGAAGAAGAATTCCACAAAACAGTGGGTATATCCGGAATCGCTGTTCACTGCGTCTGTTTGCGGACCACTTCGGCAGTGTTGGACGTCATAAAACAAAGCTTTACAGCTTGCTTTCACCAGATAACAATCTGACCCATTGCTTCTTTCAGAGACTTGCATAGTCTACAAAGACTTCCAGAGACCTATAAGACTTATGTTTATTTGGCTCTATGTTTTTAAGAGAATCCATCAAGAGTGCATATTTTGTTACTTTCAGAGATTTATAAGATTTCTGTTTATTTGGTTTTGCAGAGAGTGCATATTTCATATATTCCATACTGTTCAATGTGTTTAGTGCAGCCTTCACTAACATGGCACCCTCCAAATGTTTTGGGCTTCAACTTTCATCAGCCCTAGCCAGTACTGCTGTGGTGGCTGGGGCAGATGTCACTTGTAGTGCAAAGCATTTAGAGGCCAGCAGGTTGACGAATGCTGCCTTAGTGTGAGGGTCAAACTGCCCTTCCCACAGCTGATTTTGCTTATTTTGTTCATCTAAAAAGATAGCTGTGCATCTGGATGAATCCATTGTCCTCAAGGGTTGAGGGGGTCTTGAACCAGGGGCCCGGGCAGCCAGAGTCAAGCAGCTTACTCTTTGCACCGCTGTGGCAGTTTTCCAGAAGGAACTGCTCTCTGCTGCCCTTGGGCACCATCACTGCAGATGGCCTGAGGATGCTATTGCAACTACTAAGTCATCAGTGGTCAGGTAATACAGTAGGCCCATGGGTATAGCCCTGGCCATACAAAGACTCTTAACTCTCATCTGTTGTCTCAGTCTTGAGCGACTTGTCATTCAGACAAAGACTGTGCCATCAGCACCCTGCTGTCAAAGTGGTGTGTCTTTTCCCATTCTGTTCTCAAGCTTAGAAATTACCATTTTCTAGTCACCTGTGGCAAGTAAGAATTGCTTTCCAGGTGACCAGCTATGGAGGGAAGTTTTGCAGAAGTTGTGTCCCCTCCTCCTTATTTAGGCTAGCCCTGTGAAGGTCAAATGGGCTAGCACGTTTAGTCAAGGAGCATAAAGGAGAATTAGCTTGTTTTATCTAGATTTTGCTGGACAAGAAAGACATCCAGGTTCGTGAGCTGGAGGCCAGGCTGAGTGAGATGGAGCTGGAGAAGGTGAAACTGATGAACGCCAGCTCTGAGAGGCTCCGGGCACTGAAAGAAGTAAGCATGGAAAAAGAAGAGCTGATGAGTGAAGTAAAAAGCAGCCGCATTGAGCTCGCTACGCTTGCAGGTATGGACCACCAGACAGGATATTATTCACCTGCTTCATCTTTCTTTGGGTTGCCTTCGCAACCAAACAGTACACGCCAGCAGGAAGGCCGGATTGGCCCTGCCGGTGCATTTGCACCGTGCTGACCTCTCTGCTGCCTCGTCCCTCCCCTCTGCGGTGTGTAGCAGTGACTCAGCCAAAGGTAGGTCAGGTTAGCAGCAGAGCCCCACCATGGCATCCCCTGCTGCATCCAAACTCCAGCTGGGGAGCTGCAGAGCACACCAGAGTGGCAGATTCACCTCTGAAGCGCTGTTGCTCACAGAAGAATGCAGGAGGCGGTCTTGTCTTTTGTGGCTTGCAATGAAGTGACTTGGTTTATTCAGGGGCTAGAGGACCTGCCTTCTCGAAGGCAGAGAAAGCGCAGATATTGCTCTCCTATTGTGCTATCTCAATTCTTCAAGGAGACAGACTATCCAGTGGTTCTCAACCTGTGGGTCCCCAGACGTTGTTGGACTACAACTCCCATCATCCCTGACCACTGGTCATGCTGACTAGGAATGATGGGAGTTGTAGTCCAACAACATCTGGGGACCCACAGGTTGAGAAACACCAATTGCCTGCCCGGGGTGCTCCGTTACTCTCTCTCTCCTACTCTCTCTCCTACTGCTATTCTGTTTTTCCTTGTATCTTTGCATTTATATTTGTGTGGTGTATTTTTTTCTCTGCTGAAACTGGATTTGCTCTACATGAGCTAAATTTTGCCTTTCTGGGGCTCTGGCAAGAAAAAGATACGATTTATGCCTTAGTAAACCTCTACTAAAGACTTTACCTGCATTCTGTGTCTTGTTGGAATTCACGTGCCTATCAAAGTTCCGCTGCTCTGCTGAACAAACAATGAGGCAGGGGTGTCCCAGGTCTTGGGGCACTGGTTCTCGACAGTGCCAACTCCAGGCTAATGCAGTTAATAGGCCTGAATCTTTCCCCTCCGGGAATATATTAACTTAAAATTCATTGGCCCCATAGCCAGCTTTGTACCAGCCCTGCTACACACCTGTAATACCCTGTTTTGAGGTCCTGCACTGGCTACTCCCCTTCTGTGTTATACTGTGTTATTTTCAGTTTACTTTATAGACCAGGAAGAGGAGGGGAAAGATATCTATATTTCTTTTATAAATCATGGAGTTCTGCAGATACCATCATTTTTAATTGATTTCTCCAATCCACACATCCCTCTTGGGAGTACTTTTCTTGCTCTGAAACGGCCCCAGTGGAGATCTGTACTTAAAAATTAAACCAGGAAGTTCTGAATAATAATAGCTCAGTTAAAGCTCAGATTGAGCTGGAGCAAACCAGGGCCACTGTAAAGACTATGGAGGGATCTGATGGCCACGGTAATCGTGGAAGTGTTATTTCATTTTATTTTGTAAGATCGTTACCTTGTGGCGCTGTGGGGCAAGGTTCTTAGGATTGCTTAGGAAATATTTAGGATTGCACGGCATTTACCTAGCTACTTGGGGAGTAAGCTCCATTGAATTCGGTGGGACTTGCTTTTTAGTAGACCTGTAGAGGCCTGCAGTGGAAGGCTCAGTTTATACACTCCACGTGTTCCTCTAAAAATTGCTGGCTGCTGAACCATTGCAATCAAATAATTTAAAGTGGATTGGTTACATTTTCCTTCAAAATTATAGGCAGGGATAAATACAAAGTGCTTTGTATGTCAGCTTCACCATCTCCTTCATTTGATGCAGGTATTTTATTTCCAATATAAACAGGACTCTGTTTTTGTAGCTGATTCTATACAGCATTGCCTACTTTGTGTATTCACATGGTGTAAACATGTTTGCTGTCCTCTAGCCTGAGAGATTTCTGAGGACCGTAGCTCAGTTGGTAGAGCATGAGACTCTTAATCTCAGGGTTGTGGGTTCAAGCCCCATGTTGGGCAAAATATTCCTGTGTCGCAGAAGGTTGGACTAGATGACCCTCACGGTCCCTTCCAACTCTGCAATTCTATGATTCGGTCCCTAAACCTGAGGATTCCCAGTTCTGTGTTACATGCTTTAGAAGCTTCCTCCTCCCTCCTTGCTTCCTACCTGTCTGCCCTGGATCCTCACTTACAATTTGCTCTGTGACTGATCCATTTCTGATTCCACCCTCAATCCAGTTCTGTCATACACTTGGTGCTGCCATGTAAAACCTTAAATACCGCTCTCCTCCAACTGGTCCCTGAGATATGTATGTTGTGTTCATTTCTGAGCCCAGCTTCAGCTGGGGAGGGCAGGATATAAATTATTATTATTATTATTATTATTATTATTATTATTATTATTTCATTCACATGTGTTTGGAGATACGCAACGCTGTGACTTCATTGTGACTCTTGTGCCTTGCAGATGAACTGGAAAGTATGAAGAGCAGCTACCGAGATAAAAGCGAAGAGATGGAAACCACCGTGGGCAAGCTGAGAGTGCAACTAAAGTCTGCTCAGATTGAGCTGGAGCAAACCAGGGCCACTGTAAAGACTATGGAGGGATCTGATGGCCACGGTAATCGTGGAAGTGTTATTTCATTTTGTTACCTTTCAGGCAGAATTTGTAAACCTGTTTTATTTCGTCATTTGATATTTCAGATAGGAAAAATGCCGTGGACAACACTTAATCAAAACCGAGTGTTCAGTGTAGATTTATAAAGCCATGGAACTGATGAATCTTGCAGCTAGAGATGATCAAAATTAGTGGTTCCCAAATTGTGAACGAGCATACATGTACTAGGCTTTAGAGCTTATGTGGGGTTTGCTGTCAAAATCACAAATGCATGTTTTGCTAGATAAGCACAGCGCTAGTACACAGAGAGTTCTTGATCTTCCTAGAGAGAACCCTCTGTGCATGGTCACTTCCTTTGTTTCCTTTGGGTGGGAACTCTATAACAAAAGAGACAATCCTTTTTTATTTCCTTCTGCCTGTGAGGAGACTCTCTCTTTCCACCATCCTTCAAGATGATCACACATTGATGACTAAGGCTCCTAGTTTCAGCCTACCAATAGTTGGTAGCTAAGACTACCAACTATTATTAGAAGGGACGTGGGTGGCGCTGTGGGTTAAACCACAGAGCCTAGGACTTGCCAATCAGAAGGTCAGTTCGAATCCCCACGAAGGGGTGAGCTCCCGTTGCTCGGTCCCTGCTCCTGCCAACCTAGCAGTTCGAAAGCACATCAGAGTGCAAGTAGATAAATAGGTACCGCTCCAGTGGGAAGGTAAACGGCATTCCCATGCGCTGCTCTGGTTCGCCAGAAGCGGCTTAGTCATGCTGGCCACATGACCTGGAAGCTGTCTGCGGACAAACGCCGGCTCCCTCGGCCAGTAAAGTAAGATGAGCGGCGCAACCCCAGAGTCGTCCGCAACTGGAGCTAATGGTCAGGGGTCCCTTAACCTTTACCTTTACCAACTATTAGAAGTATTTTTCTGCACATTGCTTTGCTGTATATGCTGCTTGCATTGAAATGTAAGTGCTGTAAACCCCTTTTCCATTTATCTTACCAAACAAACCAAACAAAAAATGTGGTTCATTCTCTGCAATGATGGTGAAGAGAAGTCAACAGACCACAAAAAGAAGGGATAAAAAGGTGTAAGTGTCTAATTACTAAGCTTTAATTAGCTGCAAAATTTATGTGTTTTAAAATTCTTCCCAGCTTTTCTTTTTGTATTTCTCCCACGTATTTGGGATAGGAGGTTTAGATCTACATCTACAGATTTAATCCTCAATCAGTTTCCCACATTTTAACCATCTTTCCCGCTCTCCAGAGAAAACTGAAAAGGGTGGGGTAGAAATCTCTTAACAAATAATTCTTAGTGTTCTAACTAAACTACAATTCCCAGGTTTCGGGGTAGATTTGTAGTGTAGATGCTTCTGTTTACATAAGAGCTCAGCAATGGAATTGTTTTTTTTTTTAATTATTATTTTGGGCCCATGGATCAATCCCAGAATCTAGATTACATGCTAAGTAAAATTAGACCTACATTCTACACTGCCATTCCCTACTGCCAGCCTTAAGAATCTTAAACACCTTCAAGCTATTTGTGCGTCCTGCCTACCATTTGAGAACAGCTGGGTTAGATCATTAGTCGTTATAGTATAAATATACTTTAATTACGCACACTGTATTCCTCTCATTTCAGACATAGTAGAATAATGTTATTTTTGCCCAGGACAAGAAGCCTTAGACCCTGCCTCTACCGAAAGCTCAGTATTTTACCCACAAGGTGTTTCTTAAACTTTGCTGTCAAACATGATGCCGCTAATGCTTTGGAAATCTTGTCTTTTATAGCAATGAAAGTTGCAATGGGGATGCAAAAGCAAATCACAGCCAAGCGCGGACAGATAGATGCTTTGCAGAGCAAGATTAAGTTCCTGGAGGAAGCAATGACCAACGCAACTAAGGTCAAAACTGCTAAGATACATAATTTAGATAAATGTGTCCCAGTAGAATGGCTGGACCAAATTCTAACATGCCAAAGCCATGCTAAAATGAGTGTTATCGGTGTAAATTTGCCTTGAACGTATGTATTTTGCACTAGCAAAGATTCTTACTGGGGGGCGGGAATCAAATTTACTTAACTAAGCTCACAAATTCCACTGAGCATTATCTTAGGGTGGTCCTTTTGTATACTAAAAGAGCCCTCAGGGTACTTGGGATATAGCAGCTTTTGCTAGGAGAGTTCAGTCAAAATATGTAGGTTGTTTACATGAAACCCACATAGAAGCATCTTCCTTTGGCTAATAGAAAGGACAGAAGATCAGTCAAGCTGATAGGGCATTTGAAATGGAACAGTATGTCAGTGTTATGATAACTTTTACAGGGAGGTTTTGAATTTGTTAAGTTGTATATTTCAATACTGATATATATATTTTTAAAGATTTCCCTCTGTATATTTGCTTTATCACTTTCTGAGTTGGGACCAATGATCATGTCCAGCTAGAATATTTAACCTACCAACTAGTATGCAGATACAGAATTCTGATCAGTTTCTATGTGTTACCTCACAGAAGTGGGGTCATTGTCCATTTACCGTATTTTTCACTCTGTAGGACGCACCAGATGATAGGACGCACCTGGTTTGGGGGGGAGGAAATAAGGGGAAAAAAATTCTGAATCCCCGAAGCCAGAACAGCAAGAGGGATCTGGCTTCTGGGATAGCCTCTTGCTGTTCTGGCTTCTGGGATAGCCGCTGGGATAGCTGGTCTAGCTTTGCGCGAAGCCTCCGCAGGGCACGGGGAGCCTTCAGCCCCATGCCCTGCAGAGGCTTCTGGGACAGCCCGCGAAGCCTCCTGAGGGCAGTGGGATGAAGGCACCCCACTGCCCTGCGGAGGCTTTGCACCGCTAACCCCGAAGCTAGAACAGCAAGACAGAGCACTGCACAGCACTCCGCCTCGCTGTTCTGGCTTCTGGGACAGCCCGTGAAGCCTCCGCAGGGCAGCAGGATGAAGGCACCCTGCTGCCCTGCGGAGGCTTTGCACCGCTAACCCCGAAGCTAGAACAGCAAGACAGAGCTCTGTGCAGCGCTCCGTCTCACTGTTCTGTTGTTTTTTTTTAATGATGTTTATTGAGAATTTTAAAATTACAAAAAAAACAAAGAGAAAAAGAAGGAAAAAACAAGAAAGAAACAAATAGCAATTAGACAATACAAATCGATAAAAGTCAAAAGCAAAAAGCAAAAACAAAACACATAGCACATCAAAATCAGAAAGCAAAAATAAACCACAAAAATTTAAAAACAGATCCAATATTCCCAAATCCTTAACTGTCATTACCTTATTTCATCGACCTCCTCACACCTCCCTTTTTTGTATTCTAGTTGTTGATTGTCACAGCAAATCCTTTCCATTTTTCATAATATTCTGTCATTAAATTACCTTAATCTATTTTAACCTTATCTTACCATAAAAAACCCTAAAACTTAAAACTTAAATCTTATTTATACCAATTTCTCATAACCATAGCATATTCTTACATAGTTCTTTAACATTTCTGCTAAAGCCAAATAATTTCATTCCAACATTTTTCTAATACTCATTAATTTTAGAAAACATTCCTAAGTAGAATTTTTAAAACTTTCTTCCAATCTTCATCCAACGTCTCTTCCTCCTGGTCTCGGGTTTTGTCAGTCCTTTCTATCCCATCCATCTAGTTCATTAACCTGGTAACCTTATGTCCGAGGCCCTTAAGTCTCTTCCATGTCCCTTCCGCAGATCTTCTTCATATTTATACCTGTACTTTACTTTGTCTTCTGCTCCTTTCACTCGTGGAGACTCCAGCTTGACAATATTTTTGTCCCTTCTCGACAGATCAGCCCCTTTTCCATAGTCCACACTGAACTCCATGTGGTATTTAAAAGCATGTTTCAAGGTCCCTCCAAAGTTGAGGACCCCCACAACTCCAAACTCCTCCCGGCCCAACGCCAGACTTGAAAATTCAAAACATCCCTGCATAGGGGGGTCTATCCAGCCCCCCATCTCCAAGCCAAACAAGACTCTATCTCTCCAAATCTGGCTTTTTCCAGATTCATTCGTCAGATCCAACAACTCATGTTCCTGCTGGGCCACAGTTCCCTCCATCTCTACCTCCCAGTGTCCAGCCACAACCTCCTCCCTCATCTGATCTGTCAGAGCACACTCCTGAATTGATTCCTGAGTGGGTTCTATATAGATACCCACTACCTGTCCAAAATTTCTGATCGCAACAGTCATCAAATCCGTCTTCTCATGTAACTGTTCCAATAAAGCACTTGTCTTACAGAAAGCACGCACCAGAGCCTCCGAGTACATTGTTGTGCAAGGTCAAAGTCTGATCCCACGATCTTAATCTATTGCAGCTGCAAAGCTCCCCAGTTCAAATTTAATAACAGTTTCACAAGCTCCCTCTAGGGGAAGAACTTCTATTTGTATCCATCTCTCTCTTTATTTTTTAAAGCAGATCTAACAACAAAGTTTCCTTTTTTAGATATTTTGTCAATATTTTGTTCCTTTTAACTGCGAAGGAGAACAATGGAATCACTATGTTTCTCTTCTTATAACTGTCTGTCAAAAACGTTTGTCTATAGTCAATGAACTCCGAAAACGTCTGTCCTGACACCCCGCTCCCAGGTTCAAGACGGTGGAAAATTGCTTTTCTTTACACACTCTTCTGCAGGTTTAAACAGTCCAGAAAAAATCCCCCCTCTTCTCCTGCTTCCAAAGGGGGTTCAGTAATTTTAGATGATGAAAGTTGATCCTTTACAAACGATTTTCTAAACTCTAGCTTGCCATGTCTTTGCTTTAATCTTTCTACAAAAAGCGGAAGGCTGACTTCCTGTTTAGACCTTCCCGCTTCAGTGCCAAATTAAAAGGAATTTCTTAGTCCAATTTTCCGTTCTACTCACGGGTCGTTGTTTAGAGTCCAATTGTCCAAATTTAACCTACTCACGGGTAGTTGTTTTTGTAGCCAGATTGTCACAGGAAAAAGGTAGCGCTCTCCGGTAACGGCTGTGCGGCTTCGCTCCACGGAAGAAGCAGTTGACTCTCAGCACCGCGCCGCTTGCCCCGCTTCGCTCCGGAGCCCGTAATTGGGTTCCTTTACAAATTGGGGGGGGCGCGAAAGGTGCCCACCGAGTCCCACGGTCACAGGCTTCACCCGCCTGTGATTTTTTAAAGGGTCCCCGCTTCGCCGTAGCGGAACGGACCCGATTTCCGTAGAGCCAGTCCCTCTGGATCAGAGGGAGTCCGCCATTACCGATGGCAGCACCCCGGAAGTCCTCACTGTTCTGGCTTCTGGGGCAGCCTGTGAAGCCTCCAGAGGGCAGCGGGGTGCCTTCATCCCGCTGCCCTCCGGAGGCTTTGCGCAGCAAAGCCCGAAGCTAGAACAGCGAGACGGAGCACTGCACAGCGCTCCCTCTCCCTGTTCTGGCTTCTGGCGTAGCCGCGCAGCCTGCACTCCATAAGACGCATACACATTTTCCCTTACTTTTTAGAAAGGAAAAAGTGCGTCTTATAGAGCGAAAAATACGGTAATCACAATCTGACTCAATTCCAGGAAATAATGATCAGAAATTCAGATTTTGAAATCAAAATGCAGTGCTGTGTTTACCTTTTCTTCAAATTTTGTTCTATTCTTTCAACTTTGTCCATCTAGGAGAAACATTATCTGAAAGAAGAGAGAAATAAGTTAAGCCAGGAATTGAGCTGTGTGGCTTCTTTAAACAACAAAATGGCTGGAGAGCTGGAGGTTCTTAAGTCACAGGATAAACGGTTGAGGGAAAAACTTGCTACCATGGAGGCAGCTCTGGATAAAGTAATAATAATAATAATAATAATAATATATTTTGTACCATTCCTATCTGACTTTGTATTATTTTGTCCCTGGTATTAGTAGACATTCTGTTTGTTTTGAGTTGTTATTAGATGGCATACTTTTTTTATTTTCTTCCACATGTATTTATGCCAGTTTGTAACAATCTTTTGATCCCAAGCTTTTTTTTTAATCACATTTTCAGTTTGTTGAGATTTATTTCCTTTTTTGTACCACTCAGTATACTAGCAACCAAGCCCCCAAACAGGACTGTGGCTGTATTTAACTCAGTTTTGTTCAGAGTCGCCCCACTGAAATTGTAAGGGTATCAGGGGGTTGCTCGAGAGCAATCAGGCAAGTGCCTCCCTGGTCGGCTGTAAAGCCTTGTTATTGGTGCCAAAAAAACCTTCACTACACAGAGCGCCTCTATTCCGTGTCTTGCTCATTCACTGGCAGAATCTGTGAGTGGGCGGTCCTTAAACCTCCCCCAGCAGAGTAGTTTCTTGACGCCCAGTCTGCGCCTCCCCTCTGCGCGGAAGCCTACTGCGCAGGGAGGGCGTGGGCAACGGAGGACCTCTCTCCTCCCCGCTTTGCCCAGGCAAGGTGTCCTGGCACCGCCTCGCCTCCTCCGAGCCCTGAAGCTCCTCTCCACTGGAGGCGTGGTTACTCTCCTCCGCTGAGGAGGTGCTGCTTCCCACGATCTTTGGGGGCTCTCTCTAATCCATCCGGCTTTTCCCCTCTCGCCCCTGAGCCGGTTGCAGTTCCCTGACAGATATGAATGACCATTAGCATTGGCGCCATTAATTTCAGGTGGGTCTGCTCTCGGAGCAAAACTTAACTGAATACCATCCAGTGGCTTTTAGGGTTGTTTCTTTTTGAAAAGCTTGTGTGAGTTTACCAAGAAAAACTCTTCAAGGGCCTCAAGTTTTACTACACAAAGTTCCCTCATGAAGGTGAATAATCTCCGCCATTTTCTCTCACAGGCTTCTATGCAGTTTGCAGAATGTCAGTGCATTATGCAGCGGCAGGAACAGGAAGCGATGCGCTTCAAGCTTCAGCACACTTTAGATGTAAAAGTAAGTTTTCGGCTTCATTGAAAAGGTGCACTGGGAGCATATCCTTTACAACTAAATTTATTTTTTGAAAGCCAAGCTTCTCTCTTACCACAAGGGTCATCTACTGCAAACCCCTGCAATTCAGGAATCTTTTTGCCCAACATGGGGCTTGAACCCACAGCCATGAGATTCAGAACCATAATTTGCCTGGTAATTAAACTTGTACGAGCCTTTCTGCAACGTTGCTTATGCATAAATCCACTCTTGACTGAGCCCTAAATGAATAGAATCAGTCTGGTCTAGGAATTTCACAATGGAAGCTTCGTTCAGGTAAGCAGTGGCAAATCTCCTCCTGGTTTCTGAATATCAGCAGTTTTTATGTCGGATCTGCATCCGTTTATTCTCAACCAGTGTGGCATCTATCGCTTTGCAGGTATATGAGCCTTTGATGGCATGGCTGATGTTATTAGCTCTTATAATAGTTCTTCCTGCGTAGATACGGCGAGAAAGCACAGACTGGGATGAAACATGCTTTCTTAAAAATGCGCCTGAACTGGTCGCGTTTTATTTTGAAGAAAAAGTGACTACCGAGTCCCAGTTCAGAGTGTGCTGATCAACATGCTGCAGACACCCACCCTGCAATATGTTATTTGTTCCTAAAGGTGCTGTTTGCACTAAAAAGCACCTTTGGCTGGGGGGAATTGCACACAAGGGTGGGAATGTAGATGCATAGTCTGACCGGAGTTGGCATCTGGGTTTGTTGAACAGCCTAGTCCCCATATTTTATATTTCTATTAATTGGCCCATCATTAATCCTGGGCAGCTGTTGTAGATTATAGATTAGGGAGCACTCTGTAAGTGGGCACATGCCTAATGTTTCTCTGGCAACCTTCCATTCTGGATTCTTTGCCAAAACCGAAGCCCTATGAACATAATTTTTATTCCGCTTACTCAGACGATCCTTCGTCCACAGGAGCTGCAAGGACCAGGGTACCTGCTGGGCTCCTCTTCGGTCAGGCCACGCCTTTCATCCTTGCCTCATTCCCACTCTTCTAGCGCACCAGCATCCCAAGCCTTCGCTGGCCACATCGTAAGTATCACAAAATATCCCTGCCAGGTTTAGCAACAGGTGGCGCTGTGGGTTAAACCACAGAGCCTAGGACCTGCCGATCAAAAGATCAGCAGTTCAAATCCCTGCCACGGGGTGAGCTCCCGTTGCTCGGTCCCTGCTCCTGCCAACCTAGCAGTTCGAAAGCACGTCAAAGTGCAAGTAGATAAATAGGTACCGCTCCGGCGGGAAGGTAAACGGCGTTTCCGTGCACTGCTCTGGTTCGCCAGAAGTGGCTTAGTCATGCTGGCCACATGACCTAGAAGCTGTACACCGGCTCCCTCGGCCAATAAAGCGAGATGAGCGCCGCAACCCCAGAGTCGGTCACAACTGGACCTAATTGTTAGGGGTCCCTTTACCTTTACCTTCCATAAATTACTGTATTTTTCCGTGTATAACACCCCCCCCCCATTTATAAGACGCCTCCTGTTTTGGGGACTCAAAATTAGGAAAATGGAGGGGATTGCCTATAGTTGTTGAGCTTTCGGGGGGGCACAAAGTTGTTGAGATTGCCGGAAATCGCTCACTTGTCTGCCCGATGCTGACACTTGCACACATCCCAAAAGCCGCAAATCGCCCGCCCTATTGCCACACCCTGGCAGCCAATCATCCGCAGCCCTTGCCACAGCCACCAATAACATGCCCAATAGCCACTGACAATCTCTGGCTTGCGGCAGCAACCAATCCCACATCCCACCTTATGCACTATCCATGTATAAGACGACCACCAATTTTTGGACATAACTTTTAAAGAAAAATACCTCGTCTTATACGCAGAAAAGTACGGTAACTTGGTTAATACAGCAGTGCAGTTTAGGGAACATCCCTCCTCTTTGAAGGAAAAAAAAAAAGCGAAGACATCTGTAGTATTTGGACGAGGTGGGCATCACTAACTCCTGTGGGATAACAATTCTCGGTAGTTGGTCAGACAATATAAAAATGAAACTAGATGTTACTTTTAACTAGTGCCAAAAAAAATTACTATATTTATTTGGGGGTGTTTCATTATGCTTCTGAAAAGTGAAGGCCTGTTTTCACAGTATTTGAAATCCATATTTCCATTCAGATACCATCCAGGGCCAGCTGCCCTGGCAAGGACGACCCATTACGAGATTTAAAGCAACTTCTCCAAGAATTGCGGTATACCATCGATGAGATCCCCTCTACCATTCTCCCCAGAAGAGAAAGTGACAGCGAGCCCGATTCAATTCTGGAAGGCGCTAGCAATTTATTGTAAGAATGTACAAAAACACCATGAACATGCCTTTGGAAATGAGTGAAATCTTATTATCCATGGGTTTGGAAAAGAATGATTCGTTTCAGAAATGAATGATTCTTAGGCAAGGGACTTTCTGCTCATACAGTGTGCGACAAGTACTGTGGTCTCTGATTTACTGATACATCACCCATGCTGTGTTAATCCACTAAAAGGCTTCAAATTGGATTCTAGTTTTGCCTTGCAGCAGGCAGGAGTGAAAGGTGATTGATGTAGTAGGTGAACTTTGAAATTCAGATTGAGCTAGTTCTTTCCAATGAACATGGAACTCCCTCACCCATGTAGCTCCATGTACACCTCTCATTTCTCCCTCTTCTCTTCTCCCCCCTCTTCTTTTTATTCTTCTCAGGCTCCCCTCTCTGATCTTCTCCTTTCTCCTGCATTTTTCTAGCCCCCTCCAAACACCTGTTCTCCCTAGGCTCTTCAGCCAGCCTTGCCCCTCTCTATGATCTCAGCAGCTGAACCACTAGCACCCACAGATTCCCTTCTGGGTTCAGGAGGGCAGCTCAGCCAATCACTGAGAGGCTTAATCACCACCACAAAATCTTTTAAGTACATTACATCAGGGGAGGGCAGAAAGTAGATCAGGATCTACTGAGAGATCACAGGGTGATTTGCAGTAGATCAACAAGGATTTCTGACTAACAATAGCCGCAACAAAATCACTCTCACCCCACCTTAAATTTTACTATGGAAGAAAGCTTGGGGTAACCCAGATTGGGTTTTGGTATGGAAGGACTGTGTGTTTCATTCATTCTTCCACATTTCTGCAGCAATTTGCTGGGTTTTGTTTTTGTTTTTGTGTTTTTAATGCCCATGGAAATTATTCAGCTGCTTAGTGCGAATTTTCATAATAAACATATTTCCGTATGCCGTTTTGTCTAACGCACACATTTTTGCAAGTGATTTCTAATATAACACACTTTTGTATGTTACATTCACTAATATGTTCATTTAATTCACATTTCCAGCAATCCGTGATTTTTTGTAAACACTGGTTAGAGAATTGTGCTGTAATATTCGGATAAGAGTGAATAAGTGCAAATTTTGAAGTATATCTGTGTTTTGGTTCTCATATTGTTTTGGAGCCTGCATATGTGATGGTTTCAGCTTTAAATGTAAACTGAACTGAATCCCCCCCCCCCCCGGCTGCTGAATCTCAGGATTCTAGTAAAAACAACAATTCAAAGTAGATCCTTCAGGCCTGAAGTTTGCCCACCAACCCACTGTGCTACATTATAGATAGGCAGCATCTTTGGACAAAGGCTTAGCAACCCTATACTTACCTATTGGTTTCAAAGCATTCTGTTATTCTCCAGGGTGGGGGCAGATTAGGAATTTAAACAAGCGCCTCTCATGCTGTATTTTCCTCCCACACAGGGACCTTGCAAGCAGAGACTGCATTGGCAGGAGATCACATGAAACTTACAGCAGGTGAGCCAATTCAGCCGAGGCTCTGAAATTCCTTTGAAGATCAAAGTTTCTGTGTTGCAGCCAGGAAGAAGAGCGAGGGTGCATTTGTCACAGTTCTGTATTTCTTTTAATGTACAAGTTGCTCTTTAGTTTCATGAAAACCTACTGGTCACTTCTGTGATATCTGTATATCTATGAGCGTTACTTGGCCACTCAAAAAGCTGTTCCAGGGACAGCCAACAGATGGAGTTCCCCCCAGCCTGCCTTTTTGCCTTCGTGCCACAGTTACAGGTGTTTCTTGAGCTGACTCAAGCACAGCAGGAGCCAACATCAGCGTCTGGCCTAGAGGCAGGGTGGGACTTGCCCAGAAAATACAGCCTGCTGAGCAGCTCCCTTAGGGAGGAAGATTGCCCAAGCAAAAAAATATAAAATACTCCCCTGATTCTCCAACAGCTTCCATCCTGCACGGAAGAATGAACCACTTCTCCTTAAAGTGTGGGATAGAGCAGCTACCAGATAGGAAACAGTGCCTCTTTGAGCAATGCTTTTGCCTATGAACCACTGCTACCCAAGCAACTTGCTCAGGAAGAGCGCTGGTTGAGAAAAACAAGCATAGAATTGTAGAGTTGGAAGGGACCCCGAGGGTCATCTAGTCCAACCCCGGGCAATGCAAGAATCTCAGCTAAAGCATCAATAGCGGGTGGCCACCCAACCTCTGCTTAAAAACCTCCAAGGAAGGAGAGTCCACCACCTCCCAAAGGAGACCATTCCACTGTTGAACAGCTCTTACTGTCAGAAAGTTCTACCTGGTGTTTAGTTGGAATCTCCTTGTAACTTGAAGCCATAGCAGAAGAAGAAGAAGAAGAAGAGTTTGGATTTGATATCTGGCTTTATCATTACCCTAAGGAGTCTCAAAGTGGCTAACAATCTCCTTTCCCTTCCTCACCCACAACAAACACTCTGTGAGGTGAGTGAGACTGAGAGACTTCAGAGAAGTGTGACTGGCCCAAGGTCACCCAGCAGCTGCATGTGGAGGAGCAGGGAATCGAACCAGATTACGAGTCCACACATTGGTTCGAGAGTCCTCCCCTCCACAGCAGGAGAAAACAAGCTTGCTCAGTCTTCCATGTGACAGCCCCAGAGATATATGAAGATGGCTTTCCTCTCTTCTCTCAGTCTCCTCTTTTCCAGGCAAAACATACCCAGCTCCTTCAACCGTTCCTCATAAGTCTTGGTTTCCAGATCCTTGATCATCTTGGTCACCCTTCTCTGCATAGCGGGTTCCAGCTCAGAGGAGTCTTGATTTTATTTTTAATTTCTATTCCCCCTCTAAAAGAGTGTTCTCCTTTTTCACCAAGAGGGTTTCTCCAGAGGGGCTCAAGTATTGCTTTGTGCCTGAGCATTACCTCTTCTCACTTTAATGAGACCCTTGTCTCTCAACACAGGGAAACTGCAGTCCGGGACCTGCCTTCCGATGTCACCATGGGGCAAGATAGTTTCAGCAGGTGAGAAATGATGCCTTGGGTTTGGGTCCTCTGACATGACAAATTTGTCACTCCTCCCTTTTTACACAAAGGAGAAATATTTTAGGGAGAGAGAGAAAATCTCACCACTGAGACAGTGGCAGCATCCTCTTAGCATAGTTTCTGTAAATGGTTTTTTTGTTTGTTTTTTTCCGGCATGTGATAGGCAGTTTTATGTTGCAACATTATGCATTGGGGCTCCTTATCAGAGCTCAGGAAACCCAAGCTGGTCTTCCAGAAGTCTCCTGCCTCTCTGCTTGCCTTGAACCAGACCCAACAAATTCTACAGCAGCCCCTGAGGATCACACACAACTCCTGTAGCATATTGGCTTGCTGTTGCCAACAGCAACAGCAGTTGCAGGTCTGCGTGTAGCTAGAGGTAAAAATCTTCCACTGCAGTTCAATCAATAAATAAGGGTGTGTTGCACTGTACATTCATTTGGTCCATTCTACACACTGTGACATATCAGGCCCTATACGAAGACTTTACCCTTTAATTTAGAAAGCCATAGACTTGCTGGTAACAGAGCACAGCAGGCTGCCCCGGACAGCTGTCTCTCCCCGCTGAGAATTAGACACATGGAAATATTTTTATATCAGGAATGACTTTCTGAGACTAAGCGAAGTTGAACTGCTAGTAAAACAAGAACAACAACCAATCTTATCACAGAACAAAAATGTAAGATGAGATTAATACAAAAATTCACAAAATCATAGCACGGATAATACAAAACTTCTAAGAGTAATTGTGGCTTACCAGATTTATATCACACAAGTGGACAGCTCTCAACAAGAAAACTGTCGAACTTGCTTTTTATATCCATCTGTGTGCATGCTCTTAAACACTATTTCTTTAACGCCCTAAATTAGCTGTTAATTAATACAATTAAAAATACTATAAACCAAAACTACAAAACAAGAATAGTTGTTTCAAAGGATGCAATCATACAAACTATTACTATTAGTAGAATGCTGTCCCCAGGGAGGTTTGCCTGGTATCTTCATTATACACCTTTAGGCACCAGGCAAAAACATTCTTCTTTAACCAGGCCTTTGTCAGCGGCTCCCGGCTGGTTGCCCAGGAAGTATAAAGGCAAGCAAAAGTTTCTTGCCATCCTTTTTTATTTCAGTCTTTACAGAGAGAGGCTATAGAACCCAGCCTCTTGGATAATGGCATTGTCCCAAGTGAACCCCCACCCCCGTCTCTCCCTCATTCGTCACTTCTACAGGTGCTGCTACGTGCCCTCTGTCTTTGAGCTCCTTGCTATCCTACTTTTAAGGCTCACCGGGTTCTGGGAGATGGTGGGTCTGGAATGCTTTCTAGTGACAATGTGTCAGCCAGCTGCTGCTCTGGTTCTGCCTGGTCCTTCTCTCCCATTATTTCCCAACTTTCCCTCTCATCTGCCTCTGAGCTGTGACCTCCTGCAAACCACTGTTGTAAATCTATACTGTCTTCCTCTTCCTCCTCCCTGGGAGGGTCAGGATGGGGAGGCGGTCTCCACCATTCCTCCTCTGCCCAGTCCCTGACAGCCTTTGGCTGATTGACACCCAATGCCCTTTTAAAATGTGGGGTGGGGTTGTTTTTGTTATGTATTTTGTGATTTTATATTATGATAATAATAATAATAGTAATAATGAGACTTTTAAACTCACATGTATATGAGAGACATATTTTAATCTCAACCATTTTATACACTCAGCCATAATGCTAAGGTTTAATTGAGAATCGATGAATTCTTTTTTGTGTGTGCATATGTAAGAGTGTGACTGCTTCCAGAAACATAACCCCCTAGCACCTAAATCAGCCTTTCTCAACCTGTGGGTCCCCAGATTTTGTTGAACTACAACTCCCATCACCCCTAGCTAGCAAGGCCAGAGCTCAGGGATGATGGGAGTTGTAGTCCAACAACATCTGGGGACCCACAGGTTGAGAACCGCTAATGATGCTTTTGTGTACGAAATGGTGTGGCTGCAAAGTACTTCTGCCCCCTTGTGCTATTTGGAGCAACACGACTGCTTTCTGGACTTCTGTGTGGCTCTTGCACAGCTCTGCTTATCTAGCAGCTCTGCCTCTTGGAACGAAGGATAAGGCTTTTGAAGGCTACTATCCAAGAAAGCTATACTCCGCCTCCATGGTCAGAAGCCGTGTGCTTCCGAATACCAGCGCTGGAGGGGAGAGTGCTGTTGCTTTCAGGTCCTGCTAGCAGGCTTTGCATGGACATCTGGTTGGCCACTGTGAAAACAGACTCCTGGACTAAATGGGCCATGGACCTGATCGAGCTGGGCTACTCTTGTGTTCTTCTGTTTGTGCACAGGGAACCTTTAACGTTACATGCTACAGACCTCGAAGATTCAGATGCTACCCTTCCCTTCACGTCCAGTGGTGAGTTTCCATTAAACAATTAAAGAACTAATATTCAGGGAAGGCACAGTATCGGCTTGGAATATGGACTCGAGTTTTGTTTTCCAAGCCTTGATGTTGTGTTGCCTAACGTGCTCTTTCTATAAGGTTTGTTTAGTCTGTTTTTTAACTACCCTTTATTATTGCAATGCTGTCTTTGCCACATCCAGTGTCTAAAGGAATCTTCAGTTCCACTCCTCGTTTTACTTCTTCGAATAAACTGTCCCCAGAGGAGAGGTACAAAGACAGGTCTCCCGTGCACTCACTGTTAACGGCTCATCTGGATGACCTGAAGGTAACTCCTGCAACCTGTTCAGAACGCCGGTCAAGTCTGAAGAAGAGCAGCTCCCCGGAAGCTACATCCTCTTCTGCCTGTAGAAGTAAGTGCCAAGCTATAATCTAGTAAAAGGTAAAGGTACCCCTGCCCGTTCGGGCCAGTCTTGCCAGACTCTAGGGTTGTGCGCTCATCTCACTCTATAGGCCAGGAGCCAGCACTGTCCGCAGACACTTCTGGGTCACGTGGCCAGCGTGATAAGCTGCATCTGGCAAGCCAGCGCAGCACACGGAACACCGTTTACCTTCCCGCTGGTAAGCGGTCCCTATTTATCTACTTGCACCTGGGGTGCTTTCAAACTGCTAGGTTGGCAGGCGCTGGGACCGAACGACAGGAGCGCACCCCGCCGCGGGGATTCGAACCGCCGACCATGCGATCGGCAAGTCCTAGGCGCTGAGGTTTTACCCACAGCGCCACCCGCGTCCCACTGCTATAATCTAGAGCCAGCCATAAAACCACTGGAACAAGGGGTAGTTGGGGCTTCTTCATATGGTCTTCCCAACCCATACAGTGGTAACTCTGGTTACATACTTCATTCGTTCCGGAGGTCCGTTCTTAACCTGAAACTGTTCTTAACCTGAAGCACCACTTTAGCTAATGGGGCCTCCTGCTGCCGCTGTGCCGCCGGAGCACGATTTCTGTTCTTATCCTGAAGCAAAGTTCTTAACCTGAAGCACTATTTCTGGGTTAGCGGAGTCTATAACCTGAAGCGTATGTAACCCGAGGTACCACTGTGCTATATATTATTAAAGGGAGACGACATTGGCTACAGGCTTGGTGATGACATCACAAGGAAAAGGGAAAGAACAGAAAATGTAGGGGCATACGGAGGACTCGGCCCAAATTTAGCTTTTTGGCATCAGAGCCAGCTACAGGCCTGAGGGAGCCATCAGCCCAGTGCTCCCCTGTGGTTTTCACCAAGCAGCAGCGTAGCAAATGGTGTCAGCAAAGTGAGCGTTTTAAATTGCCCACAATGCCCCTGACATTCAAGTCATTCAGGAGCGCTCATGGCATGTTAAAAATGGTGGGTCTCAGGCTACTAGCCTGGGAGTTGCAGCCCCATTCCCAGGTGCCCAAGGATGACATGCGCAGAAGTTGGGCCTCTTTTGGCACACCAGTCAGTGCAAACATTCAAAACCTCCAGGTGTAAATAAAAGTCAAGTGGCACCTTTTATTGTCATGTAATCATGATCCAAAACCACATTATCTTAACTGGGGTTTTCCTTCTTCTTTCCAAACAGGTATCTCCTTTGGCACCTCTTGTAAGTGAACTTTTGCTTAAACATTTTGCAACGTTTCTCACTAAATAATTCTGCTCCCACTGCTGTAATGTACCAGCAGTCTCCCAGCTCGCTGAAATATTGAGGAAAAGAAATTCTGCCTACTTTACACATTCCTTTTCGTCTTTGCCTTGGTGGTGGTGGTGGTTTTATTTCTTCAATTTATATACCATCAAAAGATCTCAGAAACACATTACAAAACATCAATGATAAAAACATAGTAAAAAGCGCACTGACAGACAGCCTAATAGTAAAATATTCATAATAGTAACATTCTTCTCCCCTACGCTTTCACAGGCCATAGATTATTTAATGGCCACAGGCCTGAGCTTGCTTTTAATTACTGATAGACAGATTTTGCTGATAGGAAAATGGCCAGCTTTCTGGAATGTGTTTTCCCCAAGCAATTGCTTTACATTGCTTCATGTCAAGCCAGTTCCAGCTGGGTTTCCCCACAGATGATGGTGAACATGGCCTGGAATCCGCAGGGTTTTAGTCGGCTCCCGTTTCATGTACAATCTCCCTTCTCTGCACACTTCTTTTCATGAAAAGTGTAAAGCATACTTCATTCCTGTTTTGTGAACATGGCAGAAATGTTAGCAGCATTCCCATTGCATGTGTTTTGGCCCTTAAACAACTAGGATTTCAAGTGTAAATGTGCTGATCTTCAGAAGATCAACATGACCACCACCATCAGCCAGTGTTAATGTGATACCACTAATAAATTGTGAGCTGGCCCAGTTCCAGGGTCTTCAACACTATGGTGGGCCTGCTTTCAGATGAACACTCCGTTTATATCTCTGACTGTGATTTAATATTTTGTCTGCAGCTATTCAGGCAGGGGATGCCAATGGAAACGCCTGCAGGAAATTACAGAATAAGATGGAGAGTCTGCAAAACCTAGTGGAAACATTGCAGTTGAAAAACCAAGGTACGAAATCATACCCTGTTTGACAGTTCAGTAATTTGCCTGGAATAAGACTTGTCTTCCTACATGTTGCTGCCAACAAAAAAGAGAAGACTTTCTACACAGGATGTACCACTTACTAAAAAGTTGTCAAGTTAACTGTTTTGCAAATTATTTTACTGCCCATTGCAAATATGTATGCTGTATCACTTTGGGGAGGAGTAATTCTGAGAGTCCTGGTGCAGCTGCTGCAAACTTTTAAGTAGACGCATCAAGAAAGGAACAGTTTAGGTGATTTTAAACTCTGGACTTAATAGTCGTGGGGATGGGGACACACACACCCTTTAGTTAGCAATGTGTATTACTTACCGTATTTTTTGCTCTATAAGACTCACTTTTTCCCTCCTAAAAAGTAAGGGGAAATGTGTGTGCATCTTATGGAGCGAATGCAGGCTGCACAGCTATCACAGAAGCCAGAACAGCAAGAGGGATTGCTGTTTTCACTACGCAGCGATCCCTCTTGTTGTTCTGGCTTCTGAGATTCAGAATATTTTTTTTCTTGTTTTCCTCCTCCAAAAACTAGGTGTGTCTTGTGTCTGGTGCGTCTTATAGAGAGAAAAATACAGTATTTCAAAACACCAGTTTATTAATCGCCTTCTGTACAATCAAGGCGACTTACAATAAAAAAAGCAAAAAGCATGGTAGGCCAGTCCTGCTATGGAGATGGGGGGGGCTGTTCATTCTGCTTAGTAGGGTCCCAGACATTTACCCCCCCTATCCCTTCACCTGCTCTGGCACCACCCCTGCAGAGGAAGGGCAAAAGCTCAAACCACCCCTTGCTGACAGAATGTTTATGTATAGCGTGCCATCAGTATGTTTGAGTATACAAGGAAATATCTCTACCTGGAGGGGTCATTTGACACAGGCAAAGCAGAAAACAGGAGTGGAGAATGCTGGGAAAAGGCACCTTCATTCCTTTGTGATGCACTGGGGACCGCCCTGCTGTTACCAACGCTGGTTGGATGGTACTTGTGACAAGAGGAACAAGCTCTTGTCATAAATGCAAAAGGTTCTTTGCCAACCTCATCCCTTCCACTGGTGCGCATTGTTGAAAACGGTCCTTGGTTTCGTGAAGAGCCAACCTGCAGGGGGACAGGAGCGTTGTTCTTTTGTGTTTTCTACCCTCCTTGGTTGTGTATTAATGTTCCTTCCCTCAATGCTACCTTCAGCAATGTCTACAATGATCCGATGCCAGGAAAAGAAGATCGAGAAGGCAAAGGAGAAGGAGAAGAAGCTGTCCAAATGAAATGTCGTGTGGTTCTCAGTCGCTCAGATGTATGTAGATTGTGCTCTGTTAAATGGAATGCTAAAAGCCTACCGTTACTGTTTAATAATAAAAGTTGCCATAGTTTTGTAATCTGCCTCTCTGTGTAGAAAAAGCAGGTTTGGCAAACAAAAGTGCCAGTCTCTTGTTGGCATAAACAAGGCAGTGGCCATATTCACCAAATGGATGTGCTCAGCTACAAACAACTCCCTAAATGTTCATACCATCTTAACTTGCACCTTATCCTTTATTATTTAAATAGGACTTTTATGAGACTCAACATGGTAGCTCAGTCGGTAGAACACGAGACTTTTAATCTCAAGGTCATGGGTTTGAGCCTCACGTTGGGCAAGAGATTCCTGCAATGCAGGGGGTTGGACTAGATGACCCTTGTGATCCCTTCCACACACACACCCTACCCCTCACAGGGCATTTTCCAGCCAAAGTTGGGAGAGGGAGGGGCAGGTTGGAAATCTATGCCAGTGCTCAGAGATATTTATCTTGTTACTTTGTACGTTCATGCAACTCTTACTCAACGCAAACACAAGCTACAGTTTCCTTTCTCTGCTGCCAAGGTGGCTGGCTGTGCAGTGAATTAAGGGGTGCCCTGTTTCAAATGGAGGTGCCAACAGGTGCCATCTAACTGTATTCTGTGTTCTGCTTAGAAGGCTGCCTCTCCACCCACCCATCTTATGACCGCTCCTGCAGGCTGGCAGAAGCGCCATCAGTTCTCCCTTCCTCATGAAACCGCATCCCCTCGGTATATGTGTTTATGTTCAGTTCCTATGTAGACTTTGGTCTTTTGTAAGGTTGCACAGCACATTCCTCTTTCATTCCCTTTATACATCTCAGCCAAAGTAAACAGTGCCCATTTCCAAAGGGTTGCATTCAAATACAGGCGTGATTTTAAAGGTACTAATCCACTGGCAAGTCAATGGAGTAAATCCTACAGTTGGTTAACTAAGAAGAATGAAAATACTGACCCGGGCTTGCATGCTACCTGTTACTTCAGACTGATCAGAGCCTGCCATTTACTCAAACACACATGTTGATGTTCTTGGGTAGTTTAAAAATAAATCTAATATGCCAAGCATGCCAGACATTCAGAGATACATATATAGCGTACAGAACACTCTCCCTGCTGTCTTCTAGGTGTGTTTTAACAGGGCTGTTACCTTTTTTAGAAAACTGGAATATTCCCACTCGAGTCTAAGAATAGGTTAAGATCTTCCTAAAAACCGAGCTAGAGTTTATTAAAAAAACAAGCTATTATATGCCCAGCCCCTAGATCTAATTAATTCATTAATCAGTTGTTGTACTAGAAAAGACAATCTGTTAATGTGCTCTAAGCACTGTCTCCCTAAACAGCTAGCCAGAAGCCCCAGCTAACTTCAGATGGGTACAGATTCAGAACAGGTTTGAGCTGGACTGCTGCAGCCTTACACAAGATACACCTCCCTGTATTTGTCTGTTATAATAAACACCACAGCTTCAGCTGTAATGGGAATGAACAAGTCCTAAAAGAGGCATATTTGCAAAACCATGGCATCTTACATATACACCATTTAGCATGGTCAGACAGGTCTTAATTTTAATTGAAAAAAAGGTGATCTAAAGGCTTAAGTACCACTTAGTACCACTTTGAAGCTTAGTTGGCTTCAAAATGTAGTTATCTGGAAGGTCAGTTCTCTGTTTTTGAGAGCAAACTCTCATGAACTCTGCTACAGCACCGTTACACTGCAAACCTTCTGGTTAAAGAATGACTATGTAGTGAGGCAGTAGTTTTCTTTCAAGTGGTAGTGCAGGTCTTTTGACCTCCCTGCTGCCTGTTGTGGCTCTGTGGAATAATAGAATTGTGGAGTTGGAAGGGACCCCAAGAGTCATCTATTCCAGCCCCATAAAATGCAGGAATCTCAACTGTACAGCATCCATGACAGATGGCCATCCAACCTCTGCTTAAAAACCTCCAAGGAAGGAGTACACAACCTCCCGAAGGAGTCCTTTCCACTGCTGACCCAGACCCCAGACAAGCCCTGCATGAACCTGCAGACCACCCAGTACTAAAGTCCAATATACACGTATGCTGTAGGAAATGAGATGTACTGCTTAGTATCTCTGGACTCTGAAACAGATTCCAGGTGGATTTTCCTTTATCAACTTGGACCAGCAGCACAGAAGCTATCTGCTAAACACAGCTTTGCAAATTGAGATTATGCGCCCAACTCCTGTCCATGCAAGAATAAACTCCCCAGAAACAGACACTGAGCTATTCTAGTGAAGGGTAAGTGGCTTTCAAATGCGAACATCTGAATCAGCTAAATAATGCAGATAATCCTCTCAGACAGGCCTCCAACATGCCTTTAAACCCATTTGCAAAACTTAAAAGCCCTTGTTAATACTGCTTTAACCTTTGTAATGTGTCAGTCAACCAAAAAACTCTGAACACCAGCAGAAATATTTGCATTCAAGGAAGCCCCTTCTGTCTTAGTATTTGAAGAGCTGGCAAGCTTCAGCTCAAGTATGTATTAAAGTCTTGATATACTGTACTTAAAAGCTGCTGGTGGTTATACTATATTACAAGACAAAGAGTATTATATGTTTTTCTATTGAATGCTGAGAGCAAAGGAACTAGAAGGGGGGTTGAGAAAACCCCCCACAGCAAGTGCCGAGGGACAGGACTAGGACCACAGTAGGTTTAAGAACATAAGAGTCCTGCTGGATCAAGTCAAAGGCCTGTTAGGCCAGCATCGTGTTTGCATGGTGGCCAAGCAGATACCTACGGGGTGAGCGCCTGTTGCTCGGTCCCTGCTCCTGCCAATCTAAGAGTTCGAAAGCACGAAGTGCAAGTAGATAAATAGGTACTGCTCCAGCGGGAAGGTAAACGGCGTTGCCATGCGCTGCTCTGGTTCGCCAAAAGCGGCTTACTCATGCTGGCCACATGACTTGGAAGCTGTACGCCAGCTCCCTCAGCCAATAATGTGAGATGAGCACTGCAACCCGAGAGTCGTCCGTAACTGGACCTAATGGTCAGGGGTCCCTTTACCTTTACCTTTAGTTGTTCCATGCCAAGGTCCCAACGATCAGCTTGCCTTCCCACAACTGCTATTACATTATTAAAAGCCATAGCTACAATTGCATGAACACCATTTTGTCGTCTTTGGCACAAAACCTCATATTAATGGTAATCCCACTGACTTTAGGACTTCTTCAAAGTTGGGTACCGTGGCCAGGACCTTCCAATGATACTGCAACGTTTACCATTTGGCCAGAGCATGTTTGTTGCTGTTTTCTTGCACCCTCTGCAATTCCTTGAGGAGAGAACAACCAGCTCTGAGGCACCTTTAAAGATTAATGAGTTCATTAAGTATGGCAGAAGCATTTGTGGAAGCCTGAAGCAAATTCCCATGGTTCCCTCCCCAGATAGACTTGCCAAGTTAAGTGTGGTGCCAAAAGCATTTGCAGTATAATACTGTACTTTAAGATGGTCTGTGGTCAATGCTAATAATATCCCCTGGTTCATTTTGAGCTCTTCAGGAAAAGTATAGAGGCATCTTATTGAACAACTTTCATCTTCACTTCTTTGCAGCCAAACAAGAGGGCTGGCCTTACCCGATACCAGTACCTAGCCATTTGGAGGGTAAAAAACAACCCTAATAACATTTTGTGCCTCTTATCTCAGCTGCCTTAATTCCAAATAGGAATGCACAGATAAGCCAATTCACTCTTGCTGGCATTCAGTCATAGGCCCACTCAATCCTGCTTTGTATAGATCTTTTTCAAAGAATGCATGAAGTTTACATTTTAAGATGTATGCATTCCCCCCCATAACAGTTTCCCCATAGAATGTGTGTTTTGTATTTTAACTGTGAAATACTGTATGCATTTTTATATGCATTTGTGCACCCAAACTGCACCGCAAAATCAAGGTAACTGCATAATCCAATTGGGAGTTTCTTTCTGATCCACAAGCAAGTTCTGACCCACTGAATTGCGTCTGCTGCAAAAAGTGCACTGAATGAACTCTTCTATCCCTAATTTGAAGTCCATCAATGTAATACTGAGGTAAGGATCAGATTTTGTGCAGAAAGGAACACTTAAACATTAAAAAAATCCTGTAACTTTAGGCCAGGGGCTGAGTGGATCCTTCTCTCCCATACCTCATGGGCCATGTTTGACAGATGGGCTCACCTGTCAATCGCTCAACATTGCAATGATGTCAGCTGAGCCGCTTTCCTTTGCCCATTCAATCTGAAATCAACCCATGTGGACAAAGCCACAGATGATTGCCCTTTCAGAGCACTGTTGCAAACCCCCTTTCAGCCCAGCCACACCGTTACCTGCCCTACACTTGACATCATATCTAATAGCAGGTGTGCATGGTTGGCCAAAAGAGCCTCATGGGCCAAACAGGGCAGCCTCATTAGGCCCTGCAGACCAGGGGTTCCCCATCACTGATCTACACCAAGAAACAGTTCAAACTCCCTTCATTGTTTCCTTCTTAAGAGAGAGAGGGCTACACTTCAAGTCTTTCAACAGCCCCCTGTCAAAGACCCACCACTGGTTAGAAAGAAACCATTACCGTTCATTGGAAAGATCCACAAACTCTGGATATGTAGTCACAGATATTCCTGCTGTGCAAAGCAGCAGCAATTTTGAAATCCTACCAGGGGAGAAAAAGTCAGGGAAACTAGGATCTTCACTATGGTCAACATGCTTCTGTGACAGTTAACACATGACCCAAATACGTGCTGAGCATCTCAAATGGGAGGAACCAGCCCATCACCATTTCTCTGTTTCTCACAAAAGTACACTGTGAGAACAGTGGCAACGAAGGATTTCTGTCGAATCGTGAGGGCAACCTGGGAAGGGCAAAGGAGCTTCTGTTTAATTCCTACTGACTAGAAGGCAGAGACAACTTCTGCTTTAGGTCTCAAGATATAAAGGACGGTCACCAGTCTAAAAATAATCTTTATTGTTTCCTTTTGCAGTCATGATAAGTTAAGAACATTTTAACAGACAGTTACAGTGTAGTTTAACTGCACCTTCTCCTGCTCTGTCAGTCCAGTGTCCACACTCAATGCTCCTGTCTCCTCACATAGTACAATCTCAAGTTTAGGGATTAAAGCTTTTTTATGCAGGGAGCTGTTTTGAAACACCACCCACTAGACAGCTCTAACATGTCTGTCACTAGGAAGGCTTTGGTCTGATTCAGTTTGAAGAGTTTTCTTCATATCTTAAAAGCCTAAGCTAGCAGCAGAGACACTTTAATCTAAGGCAGTTCTGGCAAAACATGCAGCACAGAGATATACTAAGGTAGGCAAAAACAGGAAAACTCCCTATAGTGAAATGGAATAAAAACAGAACCCATGTGCTAGGCCAGATTCAGTGAAATCCCCACCACTTATGGGCCACTCGATCCTCATGTTCAGTCATCAGGGTTCGATTGTCACATTCTTCCCACCGCCTGACTTTCCCATTCTCCACCACTATGAACTTCCACTCAACTCTGGTATCAACTGGTAAGACGACAGAGTCCGACCAGAACCCATCCTTGTCACACCTGAGTGGTACATAGTGGTGCCACTGGCCTAGACACTCATGGTCACCTGTGATGGCAATCAGCTGGGCTTCTGAGTGAGTGATGTAATGTACCCGAAAAGTCACATGAACAGTCTGAGGCATTGGAGACACGGCAGCAACCCTCTTGGCTTGCTCTGGGTCCTTGCTGCTTGCGTCGTCCACGCTGCTCTTTCTCGTGGCCTCTCCCCACGCCGAATGCTCAGGGACGATTTCCCATTCCTCGTGGTCCACAGAGTGGTGGCACCTCTGTTCCGTGAATCTCTCCTCATGCTTGTCACTAGGGGTACCTGCTTCTGTTGAAGTACTCGCCTCATGAACTTCAGCTTCTGGGCTCTGTTGAGGTGCTGTCGTGGGGTAACCGAATGCTTCGTTCCTGAGATATTCCTTGTAGTTCATTAAGGGGGTCGTAGGCTCCTCGGCCGGTTGCTCTCTTTCAGGAAACTCTCCAGGAACATCAGGGGAACTGTGTTCCCCTGGAGGACCCAGCTGGTTCCCCACTGGCTCCTGGGGGCTGGACACATTGATTGGCTTTGTTTCAGGTATGGTAGGCTCATAGCTTCTCTGAAGGGATTCTAAACAGAAAAAAATGTTGGTTAGCTAGGAAGAACACAATTTCTAGGTCCCTGTCTGTGTCCCAGTTCATGTACTGTAGCAAGTTGGGCTTCTTTTACATGGGATGGTATTTGCTATTTCTACCAACACCAGTCCCAGGTTCATTCATTTCAGTAGGTTTACTCGGAGTAGAATTTTGCTGAGTTCCACTCAAAGTAATTTAACCCCTCACAAATGGTGCTCTCCCCTGCAATCTAACACTAGCATACCAACATTTTTGTCCCCAGCAGCAACTGGTGAACATCAGATTTCTACTAATTCCCACCTTCCACCATGTGAGATCATCCTCATCAAGTTCCTCCTGCCTTTCCCAACTGCAGCACCTTCAGCCACACCTGTCTGTGGAATCCTTGTAAGTGTGTGTGCAAGTTTTTTTAAAAAAATGCTTTCATTGCACTTACGGGAGTGCTGAAAGGTTTTTTTCCCCAAACTACAAGGATAAAGCAAATTTAACTGCACATGAGTGAGCAAGCCACAACCATTACCCTGATCTGGCTGAAGATTTGCAAGTGAAACACTATACAAAACTAAATATATATAAGCAAGAAAACTGGCAGAGACAACCAACCCTGGGGAAGAGCTCTAATGCACCACATACTGGACCGCATCCAACTATCTGCTGCTAGATGCCAGATTGTACTTGAAGCCAGTTGGCAGATGAGCAACTATAGTCATGGCAGAAGACGGCTTGGCCACGCAATGACAGAAATGGCCCAATGAAAGAATTTTGCCCAGATTTGGCTCCCCACAAATGTATCACTAAATCCCTCCCCTTCTTTTTTTCTGTCCTAGTTGGACAGAAGTTGGACACAGCAGTATCAACTCAGATGAAAGTGGCATGAAGCCATCATTATTTTTCCTAAACAGTAATATACTGACACTCATTTGCCTTTCTTTTTTCTCTCACGGAAGTTTATTTTTAAACTCCTGGTCAGCAAATGGTTCCCCAGCCATAACCTTGCATTTTATTGTTTTGGACTCTGCTAGGTTTTACAAGATTCTTGTTCTGCTCCGACGTGAATATGCTTAATGACAAACATGCTATTCCCACACGGGAACTAAAAATAGCTGATGGCTTGATTCACATTAGCATTGCCCATAAGTGTCCATCAGGCTAGTGCGCAGCCCAAGTTCATAGGAGAGGATTCTCACAGGACAGCCAGAAATAAAAGACAAGAGCTCTGCCTGATGGAAATGCGGCAATGCAAAAGGTCACAACTGCCAATATAATTCTCCTGCCTGCCTTTCCATAGCAGCTGAAGCCATGCTGAAAAGTTGCTCAGTAGGCTAGCAAGAAGCCAAGAGATTCCAGCTCACTCCTTCAGGCTATGTGCTCTGATCGTATCATCTCCTTTTCTATTACTGAGAACAAGCAGAAACAGAAGCATAGAGAGAGCAGGTTGCAGGGAGATTAACAGCTTTAAAAGCTGATTCATACATGAACATGAATCACTTCTTTTCCCATTAGATGATTACTTTCACTTCCGTTTTCATTTAACGTGGTAAAATGAAACCTGTTTGCAACCACAACACTTCCACATGTGTAAATCTTTGGTATAATAATAATAATAATAATAATAATTTATTATTTGTACCCCACCCATCTGGCTGGGTTTCCCCAGCCACTCTGGACCGCTTCCAACAAAAGATTAAAAATACATTAAAATCAGCAACCAAGCAACATGCATAAGCAGCAGCAGAAGATCAGAGTTGGTTTTTGCAGTAGCTCATGTATGAAAGGCTGTGGCTCAGTGGTACAGCACCTGCTTTAATGGTTTAGGCTCAGTATAAGGCACCTTCCTGTTTATCTCTGAGCTCAGGAGATCTGAAAAGACTGAAGGGTCCATTTCCTCCAGGAGGAGAAGAGGAGAACACTCTGGACACAGATCACCAAATCTGAGACAGTGGGTCAGACTCACTCAGGACCAAGCGCCAGCTGTAAGACTCTCTACTTCCTGCACACATAGCAGCAGCAGGAGGCAAGGAAAGGCAAAACATGGAACAGGCTTTTCAGATAGGGGCCTCAAGCAATTAAAGGAAGCAGGCGCTCCCTATTCCCTCATTACTTCAGATCAGGAACCATAAGGCATGTTATGGGAGGAAAATCAGGAATAATTACTGCGCACCACTCCATCCTGGGTAGAAGTGGCATCTCCTGAATTTGCATGCAGTGCACAACAGCCCCGCAGGGCCGGCTTCCCCAAGCAGGTGCGAGTTTTACACCGGGATAATGGGTGATGTCGCCTAAAACATCTGGAGGACCGCAGGGTGGTTTGTGGAGGGGGGGAGGCTTCTCCAAGGAGTGTAGAATCACAGAACTGAAGAGCTGGAAGAGACCCTAAGGATCATCTAGTCCAACCCCCTGCAGGAATCTCAACCAGCTCATACATGACAGAGGACCATCCAACCTCTGCTTTGAAACCTCGGAGGAAAGAGAGTCCACAGCCTTTCTGTTCCCCTGCCGTGCCGAACATCCCTTACATAGTTGCATGTGTTATATACCGGGGTGCAGGTATAAATTTGCAATATACAAATTTAATGAATAAATTAAAAAATAAAAACCAAAGTGGAGGGGTTGAACCCCCCCTTTAACTCACCCACCCTCCCCACAACACATACTTTGCGGGAGTGGATGGGGGGGGAGAAAGATTATAGCCAAAGGAGTAGGTTGACCTAGAAGCTCTCCAATGCACGGAGGGCAGATTTAATTTGGGGTTTTTTTTCCCTAACCCGACTCGCGCGCCCTTCTCAAGACCACCGGAGACACGTGAAGAAGGGAAAGCGGGGCCGGCGTGGAAAGCGCATGATGCACGCAATCCCTTGCGGGGAGAAGAGAGAAAACCCCAGGAGGGGGTTCACACCCCTCCAAGACATGGGGTTCAGCGAGGAGAACCCCCCAAAAAACCCCTGAGGGACGAAACGGGGCAGGAAAGGAAGAAGTTAGGAGAGGAGGGGAGCCAGGAAAACTTTGCAACGCAGTCAGAGGGGCGGGGTAGAAAGAATAAAAGTTATTATTGTCATTCAGTATTATTATTATTATTATTATGGAGTTCCCCTCAGGGAGGGAGGGAACCAGGCGCCGTACCTCGGTCTCCGCGCTGAGGGGACCCCCGGGCGGCCTCCTCCTCCTTCCCCTTGCCGTCTCCGCGGCCGTACCACAGCCAGGCGAGGAGCGCCGCCACCAGCGCCACCAGCAAGGCCGGCCACAGACCCGCCGCGGGCTCTCCTCCTCCGCCGTCGCCGAGCGGGTGAGGCGCGGGGCGCAGAGGCGTCGTCGGGGCGTCGCCGCCGCCCTCCTCGCCCGCCGCAGCCATGGCCGGAGAGTGGCCGGGGAGACGTGAGGCGAGGCACGGCAGGCCCGAGCGAGGGCTGGAGGGGTCTCCCTCCCGCGGCGGGAGCCTTATATGGGCCCGGAGAGGAGCCCGGAGCCCGGCCCAGGGAGGAGCCTGCCGAGGCCCCGGACGGGCCTTCGGGGTGGAGCCGCCGCCCGCCGCCGCCGCACCTGCTCGTTCCCCTCATTCTCCTCCTCCTCGTTTCAAGTGGAGCAGCGGCGAAGCGGAGTCACTCCGGATTAAGCTTCGGCTCCAGCTCCGAGGTAGCCGTTCATTCCGCGCGTGCACTCGCCGACTCCCTCCTGAGAGAAACGCAGCGGGGCTTTACGGCTAACACTGTAAAAAGTATAATAACTTGATTTATTTTGATTTGAATGTTTTGCCCCCATTTCTACGCTCTATAATATGCTGCTGTTTATTCATTTACTCGATTTCACAAAATTTATACACCTCTTGATTTGAGAAAGGGGAAGCACTGAGCGGGAAAACCGGCTCCTGTTTTCCGAAATCACTGAGATAATGTAACAGGGCTTTTTAAATGTTATTGAATATTTTTCGTAGAATTGTAGACTTGGAAGGGATCCTGATGGTCATCTAGTCCAACCCCCTGCAAGGCGAGAATCTCAACTAAATCGTAAAAGATGAATGGCCAAAATTTCTAGCCGGGGCTTTACTCTTGAGGAGACTTTCCTTCCATTTCAAGCCACGCACCATTTATTTACATGAATTGTTTTATTTTATTTGTACCCCCACCGCCCACCTGACTGGGTTGCCCCAGCTACTTTGGGCGGCTTCCAACATATATATATGTGTGTATATATATATATATATATATATACACACACACACACACACACACACACACACACACATATATATATATATATATATATATATATATGACACATGAAAAGGCTTCCCTTATTTATTTATATACCGCCCTATTCCCGGAGGTTTCAAGGCGGTTCACATGAAAAGATCACAACATATAAAATCAAAATAAGAACAATAATCCAATAACACGGCCCCCCCCAAAAAGAGCCATATTTTAAAAAGGTATAGTATGAAGTTGTTGTTTTTTTCTGGGGGGAAAGGTGGGGGAACTCACCACCAAGTTTGTTTGTGGAAGTGCCACAAACAAAAACACCTCCTGCAATGGCTAAATGTAAGATGTGATTAATAAAACACAAGCAAACAAGGTTCTGGGTTAGAAATGGCCACAAATTTATTGATATAGGTGGGTTTTTGGCTGAGGCATTGGGTGTATATCTGTTCAACCCGCCCCCCCCAATTAATTAGTTCATTTTTAAAAAGGTAAGAGAACTCAGTTTTGCCCAGTTCCTGCTTTTTTAAAAAGCCACTCCTGCATAGATTATTTTATTTGTATGCCACTTTAAAGCAGTTCAAGGTGGCTTATAGCATGAAAAAAGACACATAACTACGGGGGGGGAGGGATGATGACATAACTACAACATTAAAAGAATATATAACTGCAGCGTAACAAATGTATCCATAGGCAATAAATCAAATATTTTAAAAAAATTCCAAACTGAACAATTTCCACATAAATCACAGCATGCATGATTTCGTGTGTCTGACACCTTTCCGCAATTCAAACCATGTTCGAGGTGGCTTACAACATGAAAAAAAGTTACATAACTGCAGCATGGGGGGGATGCAAAACTGTCACCTAACAAAAGTAGTCATAGGCAATAAATTAAAGATTTTAAGAAACACAAATCCAAAATGAACGGGGGGAAATGTACACACCTCAAAGCAGTGTTTACAAACAGGCAAAACAATAAAATCTAGAAAAATTCACAATCCTGCAACACTAAATAACAACATGGCAGTAATAAAAAATGGAATAGGAGAGATACAAGTATTATTATTAGATTTAGATTTATTACCTCTTCTTCACCATTTGATACTTCTGTAAAAAGACAATATTTGAAGTTTTTTCTTGCTTCTCCCGGGCTTCTCCCGTCATCCCAACAAAACCTCATACTGTACAGTATTAATAAACTAATACAGTAAAAAGTATAACTTGAATTCCTTTTTTATGTTTTGCCCCCATCTCTATGCTCTATATCCTGTTATTTATTCATTTATCAATTTCATAAAATTTATACACCTCTTGATCAGAGAAAGGGGAAGCACTGAGCAGGAAAACCTGCTCCTCTTTTCCAAAATCACTGAGATAATGTAACAGGGCTTTTTAAATGTTATTGAATATTTTTCGTAGAAGCATAGAATTGTAGACTTGGAAGGGATCCTGAGGGTCATCTAGTCCAACCACCTGCAATGCAAGAATCTCAACTAAATCATAAAAGATGAATGGCCGTTCAACTTTTGCTTAAAAACCTCCAAGGAAGGAGTCTACCATCTTCTGAAGGAGCCCATTCCATGTCAAACAGCTCTTACTATCAGAAAGTTATTCCTGATATAGAGTTGGCATGTCCTTTCTTGTAACTTGAAGCCACTGGTTCTGGTCCTATCCTCCAGAGGAGGAGAAAACAAGCTTGCTCCATCTTCCATGTGACAGTCCTTGAAATATTTAAAGATGGCTCTCATATCTCCTCTCAGTCTCTTCTTTTCCAGGCTAAACATATCCAACTCCCTCAACCGTTCCTCATAAGGCTTGGTTTCCAGACCTTTGATCATCTTGACCGCTCTGTCTGCGCACATTCCAGCTTGTCAATATCCTTCTGAAACTGGAGTGCTCACAATTGGACACAGTATTCCAGGTGTGGTTGTTCTGACCATGGCAGAATAGAGCGGTACCATGACTTCCCTTGACTGGAACACATTTTTTATTTGCCATTTGGTCGGGAGGGGGATACCTAGAGATATTCTGGCCTTTGTTAAGAAAATTCCCAAACCCAGATCCACGGGCGACTTTGGGTCATTTCTCTAAGGTAGTCTATTTTTAAGTTTTTATGTGTTGATATGCCTATCGCACTTTTAAACTTAAAATCTATTGCTGTATATTGTTTTAAATGTTTGTTTTGCTATTGGGATTGTAGTTCCATTTGTGTTTCTCAAGCTGGTCTGTGACCATAACAAGTTTCATGTTCATGATATTCTGGCCAATAACTGAGTCACCTTCTAGTGCCACCTCCCCCCCACCCCTTCTTCTAGTGAAAGACTGAAAGACATTATCTTCTCTACTTTGCTGAGAGTCCTCTTTCCCCTCTTACTAAAACAAAATGCCTATTTGCTTCTTGTGATGTCCTGAGTAAACTGGGCAAATGGGCATGTATGCACAAGGAGGAGACATACAGACAGCCATCGTTCAATGAACTAGCATACTGATGTCAATGGGTTAAGTGGGAGAAAGGTCCTCAGCCTGTGTTATTGTAGGAATGGACCTGCTTGCTTGCAGCACAGCTGGTTTAAAGACAAGGCAGGCAGAATTTTGCACAAGAGGTTGGGAGCCTAAAGTGTAGGGCCCTGGGTGGTGGTTGCCCAATATACCCCCCCTCACAAAACCCCCCTCCATGGCTCCTTCCTGTAAGCAACAGTGACAAATTTTAATCTGTTCCCATGTAATAGAAGGGTTATTGCTTCTGTCACCCTCTCACAACAAGAGTGGCTGGGGAAACTCAGCCAGATGGGCGGGGTATAAATAATAAATTATTATTATTATTAAGCTCAGCATCAGGTGCTGTGATGATGAATTCCAACAATTGCAAGCAGAATTAGGATATTTATTAGGATTGTTGAGCTTTCTAAGTGCTATAATTAAATGCTAGATTCAAACCACCACCACCCTTTTCTCTTCTGGAATTCCTTTTTTTCTATTTTAAAAAATAGCTTCCACAAACTAGATTAGATTTCTTAATACCACATTGCCCTTCCTTATTTGTGATGAAGTCCAAAGAAATGAAGGATTTTGCAAAGAGTGGGTGGGTAAGTCTTGTCAGGGCTATCAGATCCTATTAAAACAAATTAGATTTACTAATTATGCTAATTCAATTTTATTACCCATTTTGATGCTACTTTTGAAGCAGTGATGTCAGATTTTAGGACAGGATTAAAAGATTATTCTGGTGAAAGATTAAACCAACAGCCAAGGAAGTTGACTGCAAGAAGCTTTGCAATACAGACTTTGCAGAGCTACAAAAAATGATAAATTAGATGTCAGTAGAGAGACTCTACATCAGGAAACTCATTTAGTTGTTGCTTCAAATGCTGGAAAACATACCCACATCCCTACTGAATAAAATATTTATTTTCAATCCATTATTTTTATCTTTCTTTAATCATGGTCATAATTTGAATTCTAAGACGCACTAATGAGATCTCATTCCCAGCTATCTCATTAAAAAAGGGAATGGCTAATTGGATGTCTCTGTGAATCTATTTCCAGTAGTTAGAGTTCTTAATCTTCCCATGTCATTCAGAGCTTTTAACTAGATGGGATATTAAATGTCATTTTAATTTATAGATACACAAGTTTCCAGTCTTCACAATGGCAGCATCAGACTTCTCATATTTGAATGCCTGCCTCTCCACAGCTCATAGTCAGAAATGAAACAATCATGTCTTCATCTCCATGTGGCTCAGTTCAAAGTAAACTTGTAGGATTGTGATGTTAGTGCTTATGGTTTTCTTTCTTTCCTTCTTTCCTTCCTTTTTCTATGATAGACTAAACACAGCAACCTTCCCTCCAAATTGGACTTCAGGTTGTACATGCCATTGTTTTGCGCAGCCAAAACAGCACTCACCAATGTACAAGAAGGAAATCGGCAGAGGTTTGCAGAAGTACAAACCTACATGGGGAGGGCAAAAAGAACTCAGCGAGAACTAAGCATGCTCCCTGCAGCTTTCTCCAAAGAATCCCAAGAACTTTAGTTCACACCTCACAGGGCTACAATTCCCATCACCCTTTAAAAAACTAGAATTCCCATGATTTATTTGTGGGGGACATAATGCACTTTTAAATGCGTCATATGGTGTTGTTGTTGTTGTTTAGTCGTTTCCGACTCTTCGTGACCCCATGGACCAGAGCATGCCAGGCATTTCTGTTTTCCACTGCCTCCCGCAGTTTGGTCAAACTCATGTTGGTAGCTTCAAGAACACTGTCCAACCATCTCATCCTCTGTCATCCCCTTCTCCTTGTGCCCTCCATCTTCCCCAACATCAGGGTCTTTTCCAGGGAGTCTTCTCTTCTCATGAGGTGGCCAAAGTATTGGAACCTCAGCTTCAGGATCTGTCCTTCCAGTGAGCACTCAGGGCTGATTTCCTTCAGAATGGATAGGTTTGTTCTTCTTGCAGTCCATGGGACTCTCAAGAGTCTCCTCCAGCACCATCATTCAAAAGCATCAATTCTTCGGTGATCAGCCTTCTTTATGGTCCAGCTCTCACTTCCATACATCACTACTGGGAAAACCATAGCTTTAACTATACGGACCTTAGGGTATACTAAAATGTATGGGGAAAGAAGTGGAATGGAGTATCTTGGACAGGAGCAATATACAATTTTTGCTGCAGGGCCCACTTCTTCATTACATTTGGTATTTTGAGAAGTGGAAAACAGTAGTAACATTTGTAACCTTTCAGATTTTTTTAAAGCTACAATGTTAGGCTTGTACCATTTTGCAATTATCTGAATTTGTACAGCATCAATTTGAGGGCACAATCCACCAGAAAATTCTCCTGTGTAAGCCCCATGGAAATAGTGTTCTTGCACATCTTCCATACATTTCACTTGGACTTGTGCAGATGAAGTTCCCAGTGGATTGTGCCCCAGGAAGACATGGCATCCTTAAAGCTGTGTATCCATTGGGACCTCCCCACGGTTAACTTAGTATTGCACATTCAGATCTTACTTTCCTGCAAGTAGTGCTACGCAGTGGTCCTCCGTATGTTGCTGGACTCCAACTCCCAACAGCCCCAGCCAGCATGGTCAATGGTTGAGAATGATGGAGTGCACAGCAGCATCTGAAGGTCCAACCCTAGGTTTATTGGGTAGAAAGAGCAGGAAACAAATGGTTTTTCCCTGAAACCACTTAGAAATGATTGAGCAAGTCCAGAGCAACTCCCTACTATTGCTGGAACAAGAGGCCTAACCCTCTCATAATGAGTAGCGCTGCAGTTTATTTATCTTATGAAGCATTTAGCACCTTAACTGTCTGTTACTGACTGTCAGGACCAATCTGCTGATATTGTAAAAGTGAAATCACAGCCAGCTTTCCAGGAAGCCTGTGCAGATAAAGGTGGCTTTCCTGCTGTGGGTGATTTCAAGGACAGTTCCTGGACAAGTCTACAATTAGCAGAACCCTTTATTTAGGCCAGGCAAAATCAAACACCTGTGCAGTCCTGTATTCAGAAATCTACCGTATCTTTTCGTGTATAAGACTATATTTTCCCCTAAATTTTTGAAGTTTAAAATAAGGGGTCATCTTATACACGGATAGTACATAGTGCATTTTCTTAATTTTGAGTCCCAAAAAATAGGGGTCGTCTTATACACGGGGGCGTCTTATACACGGAAAAATACGGTATATTCAGAGTTCAGTGCTGTGTACTTCCAAGCAAGGAGTCATACTGTTCATTTTGTTTTTGCTTGACTGACTGCAACCCATTTGGTTCCAATTCAGGCCAGCAAAGGGCCAGTAACTGATTCAGAACATATAACCAACCAACTGGGCTATTATAGAATTAACCCAGAGGAGGAGGAGGACGAATGCCAAGATCCAGTGGAAGCTGCTTCATTATGGCAAATGGGGCACTGTCTCACCAACCTTGCTCTGCTCTCAGCCATCCCCCAGCTGCCTGCCCTGGAGGTGGCATTGGCTGTCCTCCTCCCCTTAGTGTTAATGTTGCCGTTGCAGAACTCGGGAAGGAGGATAAGGACAATAGAAGAATTATTTGGCTCATTGCTGTCACTATCTGTGGCTCCACCTACTGTTGGGGTGTGTTCACATTAGAGAGTGGTGAAATCCTCACCCCAGCCTGTGCAGCTCTTTCCCCCTCTAGGTGTTTATTCACATCAGCATTGCTTCAGTTCCGTTCCGTTTGTGTACATACCAGGGGACAGTGGTAGTGGGGTCAGGACAACTTAGGAACATTTAAAGGACTCCAGTTGATGTGAAACTTGTTGGGCAAACAACACAACAAACGGTAGTATCTCATAATGAAGAACAGGATAGATATGCATTTTGGATGTCATGTGAACATAGATTAGAAATACAGAACTGGAAACACAGTGAGTGTGCAGTAAACAGGGGTGTGAACACAGCCTTGGTCTCCCTGCCCCCCATCCTATCAGTCTCAATAGAAACCAGCCACTGCTGCTAGGATCCAATAATAATGCTAAGAATAAGAATAATTTAATATTTATACCCCACCCATCTCGCTGGGTTTCCAAGCCAGAGGACAGTCCCTTTAAGGTCCTCTGCTTCTCAGGGACGCAGGTGGCACTGTGGGTTAAACCACAGGGCCTAGGACTTGCAGATCAGAAGGTCGGCGGTTCGAATCCCCGCGACGGGGTGAGCTCCCATTGCTTGGTCCCAGCTCCTGCCAACCTAGCAGTTTGAAATCACGTCAAAGTGCAAGTAGATAAATAGGTACCGCTCCGGCGGGAAGGTAAACGGCGTTTCTGTGCGCTGCTCTGGTTCGCCAGAAGCAGCTTAGTCAGGCTGGCCACATGTACGCCGGCTCCCTCGGCCAATAAAGCGAGATGAGCGCCACAACCCCAGAGTCGGCCATGACTGGACCTAATGGTCAGGGGTCCCTTTACCTTTACCTTACTTCTCAGGGAAGGGATGGCGCCTACTAGGAATGATCTGGCCCCAGAATTAGAGAAATAAAGCCATCCTTTTGGGGAGCAAGCTGCTTATTCAGAGTTCTTTAGGGTGCTGCAACTAATTGGTTCACCCTGCAATTTCATGGGTTAAAATTGGGACAGAACATATGTTTTCTGTCCCCATAATAATAATAATAATAAATATTCACACTACATTGAAGAACAAAATCAAGTAGTAATGTTGGTCAAGCTCAGAGACAAAGCTTCTTTTATTAGATACAGCCAGTATTTAAAATGCAGTATGTAAATTATCGTGTTAAACAACAGTTACACTCATAATACATGTACTAAGTTTCTCCTAGTATATAATGTCTGAATAATTCTCTCTGCTACCCCTGTAATAGTAGACATTTTAGTGGCCAATTTTTATTTGAATTTTATGGCCTCACCCATTTCCTTAGTTAATTTATCTATGTGTGTAACAAATTATGCTTGTCTCTGCAGTTTCTGATGAAGGGAAGTGTGAAATCTGGAATAACTTTGGCAATCTCTTTACAAGTAACTTTTTGCCTTGGTTTTTCGTAAGGAAAAACAGGCACTCGCTGACCAGGATTGATTCTTAGAAGACTGAGGAGGAATTCAATCTCATTTCTTCAAGGGTCTTCATAGATAATCTCCTTGAGGAAGAGTCATCCTCCTCTAATAGCTTGGCAGAATTATTTGCAGCCAACATCTGCAGAAGGAACTGAAGCAGACAAACACAAGAATTATCATGTTGCCATGGCAATAAGCTACATAGGGGGCTGCAACCTTTTCATGGTAAATCACAACTTAATTGTATTTTCTGTGGCATATTAGCCATTGTCTGATGACTACATCGGTTGTTGCATCAATGTAAGAAACAAACTTGCTGTGTTAAAGTAAAATTGGTAACCAGCTGAGACAGCTTTCACGGTGTGTGTGGTTTGATGGGTAAGCCAGTGTGGTCCAGTTAGTATTCTGTTGGTCTAGGGCAGCCTTGGCCAACTCCATGCCTTCAACAGGTTTTGGATTACAACTCTTGTCAGCTGAAGTTGAAGCTGATGGGAGTGCTAATCCAAAACATCTGGACGGCACCAAGCCTGGTTTGGGAATTTAGGAATTTTTCTTTAACATCTTATGCTAGTCAGAGTAGTTGCAACTCTTATGCTGCGGATCAGCTTGCAGCCAGTGCACTGTGCATGTGGAGCCCAGTTAGAGAACCTCAGAGGCAACAATAAGCTTGGGTGGAAAGTCAGGAATGAGAAGACTTAATCAGGGCACAGCATTCTTCTCTCAAAAAACTACTTATTTCTGATTTTTCTAACTGGGCTCTATGCAAGCAGCCCCCTCTACTTTCCAAGTTAGGTATAAACCTTTCCCCTTCCATGCCACTTTGCTAACAGATTTTATTTGTCTTGTGGAAAGAGATCTCTCTCTCTCCGTTCACACAGAGTATTCAAAAGCTGTGACAGCCTCATGGTGCAAGATGTGCTTTATGACTTGATTTTGCTGAATGTATAAAAACAGGCTCAAAAGCGAAAGTAGTGCAATGAGACAGGATCAATAGGAAAGAAAATGTATGTGGTTATAACCACACATTTCCAAGAATGATCTGAAACATTATTTATTCATGTTATAAGTAGAGACCGGGTCGGGGGGAACGGAGGAAAGGTTTCCTTTTCAAATAAATGGGAGGAAAGCAAACACTTTTCTTGAACTCCTCTAGTTTAGCTTCATGCAGCTCCTTCAGGTTCTCGGATGAAGATCTGTTCAAGTCCTTTGCTCCAGTCTTCTTTGTCTTAGTTTTCCCTGTTAGATCGCCAAACCTTTTGGCTTTGCAAACAGCTTTGCCCTATCACGTATAAATGTGCATTAATATGGTCACAGGGAAGAGGTTTGGAAAGGAACGGGGAAGTTTTTGGTATCACATACCCCCTTAGTTTCTAATGGTAAGATACCCATTTAGCATATCTACCATACTGAAATGAAGTGGAGCATCCACACCAAAAATGTAGAAAGCGGACCCAAAACCTTATCTGCATAAGAAAGCTGCTGTAGGGAATCACTTGCAGGATTAGGAAGTGTTAGGCAGAAATGAGGACCTGAACAAGCATCTAAATGCAGCCATCTATTTCTATTAGGGAGACACATGTTCAAATGCACATCACTGTCCCCATTCTGGCACAACCAGAATATTGTGGGGTGGACAGGTTGGGTGCTTGCCTTGATGCTTAGCTGAAGTGGGTATTAAGTTGAGCTGAGTCTTTGTTATTATTGATTGATTGATTGATTGATTGATTGCCTGCCCTTCACCCTAAGGTCCCATCGCTACTTACAACATTAAAGCACAATATTAAATATTAAAATCACAAAATAAGGCGGGTGCTAAAAATACATAGCTGTCAATCTTCCCTTTTTTTTTTTTTGCGGGAAATTCCCTTATTCCAGCACCATTTCCCGCTGCTTCCCGCTGCTATCCCGGATTGTTAGATATCCCGTAGACTGTCCCCAGGACAGGTGAGGCTGCTGATCCCTTATTTTTGAGGCTGCTGATCCCTTATTTTCAAATCTGAAAGTTGACAGCTATGTAAATATATACACTTCAAGTGTCAACAGCCAGGGTAAAGAGGTGAGACTTCAGCATTCTCTGGAAGCTGTATAATCAAAGTGCCAGGCAGAGGGAAAGACGGAGTCCCACAGCTTAGGGGCTGCCACAGAGAATGCCCTCTCCTGAGCCATGTTTTCCCTCTGGGGGCAGAGGAACAACCAAGACTGCCCCTCTGCTCAGGGCTGGCCCAGGATGTTTTGCTGTTTCAGGTAAAACAGAAAATGCCACCACCTCTTCCTCTGTCGTGCCCCCGCCTCCCCCAGTGTGGAGGAAGAGGAGGTGGTGGGCACAGAGAAAATGGGAGTGGTAGCCAGGTACAGAGGTGGCACTCACCTTCAGAGGCTAGATCTTCCACCGAGGAAAGTGCCTCAGCTCACTTTGAACAGGGGGGCAGCTGGCAACAAAACAGGACATTACCGAGAGGCAGCTCATGGGCATTGCTAGTGAGGCCAGAGAGCAGGAGGCCCTCTTACACTGTGAGATTTTGCAGCCCAGTTTTGCAAGCCACTCAGATTGGCAACCCTGCAAAACTGGCCACGGAGGAGGGGCCGCAGTCCTCCTTGCCCACTCTTTGTCCTCAGGTTGGCCCTGGGCACAGTCTTCCAAGGATAAATACTTAAGGGGCTTTGTTGTGTTGTGCAGGTGTCATCTCCAAGAGGAAGGTTGCTCGCCTGCCTTCTTCCCACCTGCTACGAAGCACTACCACACCAGAACATTGTGAGTAATTATTCCAGTTGGTGGGTCTTTAACTTGATGGGAGCAGCACAATTGTTGCAGCAGAGACAGACGGTGTGGGATGTTTCCTTCAGGAACAGCCAGGGGCAGGGCAGAGTGTGTGTCAAATCAGCCCATTGTGCCTTCAGGGCCCACAGGGACTTCTTGTTCTTCTTTGTGTTGGTTTTTTGTCCGCTTTGCAAAAATGCTTGAGAATGCAATTTATTCTGCTTAGGGCTGCCACTCTTTTATAAACAGGCACTTTGTGACTTTGGGAGCTGCATAACAAGCAGAATGACTGCTGGCATAGCATAGTGCAGCCTTCCCGAACCTTGTGTTTTGGACTACAATTCCCATCAGCCCCAGTCAGCATGCGTCCAAAACATCTGAAGGGCACAAAGCTGGGGAAGGCTGGCAAAGTGGTTTGTGCTACAATCCTGTAGGGATGGGAGTTAACCTGACACCCCATGGATTTTCCCAAATTAGGTGAAAAAAGATAGGTCGAGTAGAGGAAACTCTCCACAAACACCTCATCTAAAAGCAGCTTAATGGGTGTAATTCCCATTAGAAAAATGGTATTGCAGGGGGATAGGGGAAGTTTATTTCCCCCCTTAATGGCTAAGTTGTATTCTACCTTTCCTCTTAACATAGTAGCGTTAGGTGTAAACAACATTTAAAAGACAATAACCCATAAGTAATTATTTAAAATAATTAGAACCAGAAACAGCATGGCAGGTAATGAAAATATCAGGTCATCATAAAATAGCAAGGGTGATATTCCTCTGCCCTCGCTGCTTCAGCCACAGTCCACTTGCCCCCATCCCCACATGCACAACTGCTTCAGTGCAAAGAAAAAGATACCCAATCCACTGAAATGTTGGCTAAACCCAGCTCTAACCAAAAATTTAACCCAGGGTTGATACCTCTTGAATACTCCCAGTCCAAACTCAATTTGCAACTGATAGTCGTGTTTTCACTGTGTTCATGATTCTTAATTATTGCAATATTTCTTATCCTCACCATGAATTCTTAACTTTATTGTTTTATTGTTTTATTGCTTTATAGTGAGCGATATGGGCGGTTTACAATGAAATACGGTACAGTAAATAAAATAAAATTACTCTACAAGAGTATCATAAAATATATACAGGCATTCTCCGTCTTAAAAATCCTGATTCAGAGAAACAGACTTGGACCACCTTGCTTCTAAAAGCCAACAAAGCATGACAGCTGAACTGTCTTCATCAAGGAATTACCCAAATGTGGGTGCCACTACCAAGAAGATTCAGTCTTATGCCAGCCCACTGTGCGTGTGATCAGTGTTATCAAAGGCTGGCGAGAGAGCCAGGAAAACCAGGAGGGATGTTGCTTTTTCTATCTATCTCCCGGCAGAGGTCATCCATCAGCTTGACTGTGGCTGTCCCCAAATCAGACTGTGATAAGTTCCTGTTCTTTGGATGAGCCTTGCAAAATTGTTTCCACCCTCCACTACTGTATACACCGAGGCCATTTCACACATTGTGTTGCAACGCACCCACATTTGTCACCACTCATACATTTAGCAGAATACTGTTGCCGTTCATTGATCCTTATGCATATACCCATACAACGCATGTGCTTGTGGCCGTTGTACACTTAGAAGCAGAGTTGGAAGGGATCCCAAGGGTTCATCTAGTCCAGCCTTTCTCAACCTATGGGTCCCCAGATGTTGTTGAACTACAACTCCCATCACCCCTAGCTAGCAAGGCCAGAGCTCAGGGATGAGCTCACCCCCATCGTTCTACTGGGACACTGAGGTTCAGCGCTGAGGGCCTTCTGGCAGTTCCCTCGCTGCGAGAAGCCAAGTTCCAGGGAACCAGGCAGAGGGCCTTCTCGGTAGTGGCACCCGCCCTGTGGAACACGCTACCACCAGATGTCAAAGAGAACAACAACTACCAGACTTTTAGAAGACATCTGAAGGCAGCCCTGTTTAGGGAAGCTTTTAATGTGTGATGCATTACTGTATTTTAATATTTGGTTGGAAGCCGTCCAGAGTGGCAGGGAAAGCCCAGCCAGATGGGCAGGGTATAAATAATAAATTATTATTATGATTGTAGTCCAACAACATCTAAGGACCCACAGGTTGAGAACCGCTGATTCTAGTCCAACCCCCTGCAATGCAGGAATACGCAGCTGGCGCGTATGGGGATCGAACTCGCAATCTTGGTATTATCAGCAGCACCAGGCTCTAGCCATGTGAGCTAACCGGATGGCCTCACTTGGGGGGTCTTAGGTGCGCATAACACAAAATGCAACGTATGAAGCGAACTGTAGCCTAGAGTGCAAGGTGACGTGGCACAGGTGTGTGTTTGTGTGCAGTATCCTGGAGAAATGGCCTGGTTTAATACTCCTCCCCTCCTGCCCCTTTTCTGCAAATCACAGCTTTGTGAAGGTGCTTTGCAAGAAAGAAGCAGCTGCCTCTCTAATGCGTAACAAGTAGTGGGGGCTACCCTTCGTTTCCATAGTACAGCCCTCCAATTTATTCCCTGCCAAATTCTGCATGCCTCCAGATACCAGCAGTTGTCCTGTTAATATCCTTTTGAGAAATGCATGGTTGTCTTTTTATCACCGAAACAAACGCAAAGGGTTATATTTAACTGAGCTTTATGCAGAGTACACACATTGAATGAACACCGGAAATCTAAATTGTACACAGCCGTGTGGACTTGTATTATTTAGATGGTGTTTTTGTTTGTACTGTAGTTGCAAGTTTTTAAATATTGTTTTTAATCTTGCATTTTAAATGGCTGTCACCCGCCCTGGGAATTTAAAGGGTGATAATAACTATAGTAATAGTACAGTATAAATTAATCAAGAAAGCTAAGTTAGGCCCTCTAATTTCAGTGGGTGTACTTGAGTAAAACTTAGTTGACAACCATCCATTAGGAGAAGAGCAAACCAACACAACACAAAAGCACCTAAAACACACTGGAACTGTTGCGCTCAGGTTCTGCTTGTGAACTTCCTCTAGATATCTGGTTGGCCTCCATGTGAACAGCATGTTGGAGTAGATGGGCCTTTGACTTGTTCCAGTAGGGGTTTTCTTACATTGTTATAGTCTTATAAATGACAGTTCTTAAATAGGGAGAGGGTTATGTTAGGCGATAGTTTGTACTGTATATTGTTTCAGAAAACCTGCAAAAGTGTGTTTGGTCAGCAGCGAAACAAAAGGAAATGTATAGGAAGAGCCTAAGCTATGAATCAATAAGTCCCTGGTTTAAATCTCTACCATTACAGTGGTACCTCGGGTTAAGTACTTAATTCGTTCCGGAGGTCCGTTCTTAACCTGAAACTGTTCTTAACCTGAAGCACCACTTTAGCTAATGGGGCCTCCTGCTGCCACCGCGCCGCCAGAGCACAATTTCTGTTCTCATCCTGAAGCAAAGTTCTTAACCTGAAGCACTATTTCTGGGTTAGCGGAGTCTGTAATCCGAAGCGTATGTAACCTGAAGCATATGTAACCTGAGATACCACTGTAATTAATTGATCTGATGGTCATTAGCACACCTCAGTCAGCATTAAGGGGATAATAATAAATAAAACTGCCTTGCCCTTACAAGGTCACTGGGGAAACCACTGAGAAAATATGTATCGAGCACTTTGAGCACTCTTGTGCTATGTAAATGCTGCAAGTTCCCATACCATCTCAAATCATTATCTTATTTATTCACACAGTGGATAGTTAAACTATGGAACTCCCACATGATATAGTGAAAGCCACCAATTTGGCTAATTTGCTTCTGGGCAACCTTCTGGGGGCCAGTTGTGGCCAGGGCCAGAGGCAAAAGGGGGGGCAGAGCAATTAATGTAAATTTTACCTTTATACAGTAGGCTACTCTCTACACACATGCACACACCCCTCTATCCTCCATCCAGACAAGCAGCCGTCACAAGGCAAAAATACTCAAACGTGTGAAGCATAGCAGGTGAGGGGTGTGGCCTCAGGAAGGTGTGGTTAGATAGGGGTGTGGCCTAGGTAGAATCTCAAGGGCCAGACAGAGAGGGCTGGAGGGCCAAATCTGCCCCTTGGCTTGAGGTTCCCCACACCTGCTCTAGACCAGACCTATACAACCCATCAGCCATGCATGATGCCTGATTTTGCTGCCTTGACTGCAAAAACAAAGGGTTGTCAAGCACTAGTAAGTCAAGTTAGGCTTGGCAGGTCACAAATGGTTGGGAAGGTTTGATGTAGCCACATAAAAACACTGCCTTTACACAGCTGCAGCTGCTTCAGTTCTGATCTCTAGTTGTATCACAGAAAGTGGGATTTGCTCACCTGAGGCTTCCTGTAGCCTTTCCTGTCAAGAAATTGCTCAAAGGCGTAGATTGCATGGAACCCACTTGCCTCCTCCACCTGCAACAATAGATTTTACTAATTTCACACATGAAAGGAATGTTCAGACACTATTTCCCACATATTCAGGTTTACCTATATCATTGCCCCTAGGGACCAGAGGCACACCAGCGCACCTGGGTAATTTTCTTACAAATAAGGTAAACAAATTCTGTGGTGCATTTTCCATTCACATTTATTATTTTGTGTGTCAGTTTCTGAATTGCTGCTCATTCAGAAACTTTGGAACTGTTTACTTATACTTGTTCACTGCGACTTCATAAAGTACTGTTTCTATGAGTGAAAATCTTAGCCACCATGCATCAAATTCCACTTACTGAACTTTCATATCACTTGACAACACATCAGCTAGAGCCCTGAAGCTGCATTGAGTGGTGAAATTCCAACCCACAATGCCCCCCTCTATAAATAGGGAAATCCTGACAGATACCCAAGGACAAAATCCATGACACCTCATGTTAGTTGTGAATGGCACAGATGCATTCAAATTACCACTTTTCATGCTTTCCAAAGGCCTGCTTTTTGTCACACACAAAAGGAGTTCCTTGAATGCATGTGTCTATTCAAAACTGAGGCAAAGTGAGTGCATTTGGTACCTATGTAAAGGTAAAGGGACCCCTGACCATTAAGTTCAGTCGCGGACGACTCTGGGGTTGCGGCGCTCATCTCGCTTTACTGGCTGAGGGAGCCGGCGTTTGTCCAGAGACAGCTTCCAGGTCATGTGGCAAACCAGAGCAGCGCAAGGAAACTCTGTTTACCTTCCTGCCAGAGCGGTACCTATTTATCTACTTGCACTTTGACGTGCTTTCAAACTGCTAGGTTGGCAGGAGCAGGGACCAAGCAATGGCAGCTCACCCCGTCGCGGGGATTCGAACCGCCAACCTTCTGATCGGCAGGCCCTAGGCTCTGTGGTTAAGACCACAGCGCCACCCACATCCCACTGGTACCTGCCAAGCACAAAAACATTGCTGGAAGATGGCTAAAAATTACCAACATTAATTTACCTCATGAATGCCCTATAACAAGACTTGCCCAGCATAGAACACTATGGGCATTTTCATTACCTTTGGGGCCGCCTTCTTCTTCCTTAAATCCATAAAGGATTGCAGACATACAGGGATTTCTTCCTCATCTCTGACTTTTTTCTTTTTCCATTTCTTGGGGGGAAGATACCAGGCTCCATATTTAATCTTGTCCCATTTTGGCGGAGGAGGTGTCTGATAGGCAAAAGAACAAGGGCACGGTATTAGGTGGGTTGTTGTTTTTTGCCATGTCTGTCATTTTATAAATACAGTGGTACCTCGGGTTAAGTACTTAATACGTTCCAGAGGTCCGTTCTTAACCTGAAACTGTTCTTAACCTGAAGCACCACTTTAGCTAATGGGGCCTCCTGCTGCCGCTGCTCTGCTGCTGCACGATTTCTGTTCTCATCCTGAAACAAAGTTCTTAATCTGAGGTACTATTTCTAGGTTAGCGGAGTCTGTAACCTGAAGCGTCTGTAACCTGAAGCATATGTAATGGAGGTACCACTGTATTCATTTTGTGCTTATGTCTCACCATGATGGCATAAAAATTACTCACCATCCAGGTAGTCTTGTTGGTTTGGCATGCAACAGAGGCTGGTCCATTAGGGCAAGTGCAGGGGTTGCCCCACCAACATCACTCTGCCCCCAGGCAACCCCCCCTCCTGCTTGCCTTCCAACTTGCAACCAGCCCGTGGGATGGCATTGCCTGTTGGCTTCCTCCTCTGTAGCCTCAGTGCTGCCCTTGGAGAGCTCAGCAGAGAGGATGTTATGTACTGAGTTGAATAGGATCCAAAAGGCAGCAGTCTGATTGGTCCTAGAACAATAGGATTCAGAATGAAGCAGTCTGATTGGTCCTAGAACAATATGGTCCAGAATGCAGCAGTCTGATTGGTCCACAGGAGCCACCCAATCCAGCTCCAGGTGGAAGTGAATCAGAAACCTGATTGGCCTGCAGGAGCAGCCAATCAGGCTCCTGGATGAAGTGAATCAGCATCCTGATTGGCCTACAGGTGAATCCTGGAATTAGCCAATCACGTGGGGCCCATTGTGTAAATAATGTATATAAAGCAGACATTCTGGGGGAACTTCCATTCCTCCTCACCACTATGAGCTGAATAAAGAGCATGCAATCCACTCTCGACTCCAAGTATATTTCAGATGAAGATGTAACAAAACTAGAATTAGTTGACTCTGGCTCTGCATGTCCTTGATCTCGGCTCCGCCCACTGTTGGCCTCCTTGCCTTCCACTCTACCAGCCCCAAAGAGCACTACCCACCTTCGCTGGTATGGATGGGGAAAATACTGGTGCAAAGCTAAGAGGGAGGGGAACACAATGTTTTGGGGAAATATGTCCCTTTTCACCAAGGAGAGAACAGTCCCCAAATGTTCCTTTACAGGGGGGAAATATGGCAACATTAGGGAACCACCTGCACTTCTGTGATATCCGCAATCTTGATTGCACCAATCCTTGCCCTCACCTCAGACCTATTTGTCTGCCTAGAAGAGCAACCAAGGAGCAAACGCACTTGTGCCCATCAGGTTTGGAGGTTAAGGATCAAGAAAGGACGCAGGGAACAACTGTGAGTCCCATTCAACTGCAGACCATCTTAAGGGCCAAATTTCCATACATATTCCCACCAGTTGGTGGACATTGTCCTGGTATCTAACGAAGAGAGAAGCCACCAGCCTGCAGATCTCTGCGAATGCAGTACTACAGAGTTCCCAGCAAGTGGCAATCTAAGAACACTGTTCTGAGTAGCAGAAATGCCAAACAATTCATAACCCTCCAGATATCCTTTGGCTTGTGCATTCATGATGGCTTGTGATCATGACGTTATCAGGCCAGTTATATGCAATCTGGCTTTCAATACTGTTTTGCACCTGCAGAGGTTTCTGGGCAGTGGTATTGCTGCGTTTCCAAACACTGCATGTCCTGTAAGCTCCTGTTGAAATTATTTTTGTACCACAAATGTTCTGGTTTATTTTTTGTGCCACTTTTGTTGTGCTGTAGTGCAAGAGGGCCCCTCCAGATGGCAATAATATGGCAACACCGAGGAAACACTGTGTGGAAGCTCCAGTATAAATCCACAAGAGTTAAGCAACCACTCCTTTCCCCACCCATCCCACTGCCATTCCTTCGCTCAAACTCACAGCCTGCTGAAACTGGGATTTTCTTGCAATTTACCTTCATCGAGTTCTTGATGGTTTGCCAGTCCGGACGGTGCCCCAGGCACTCCTTCAGCTCTCCTGGCACATTGTAAAGCTGCACAATTTTCATGGGCGATGACGTCTTGGATTCTGATTCGTAGCTTGTGTCAAACAATTTCATGATGGTGGCTTCGTCAATGTTATACTTTTCGACTCCCTGGAATTGGAAGCCCAAGAACACTTTCAGAAGGCAGCCATTTCAGTCATTGCAAACACTCTCTAAGGAAGATCATAGCGGTGAGCTGCACATTTCAGCAGATGGGCCTGGAAGAAGACTAGTTGTATCACCGGCTCTATTAGTCACAGCTTTTAGAGCAAAAACCTTGGCCTCTTGTTTTGCCACCGTTAAGTCACGCTGATTAACTGTGGGCATATGACTGGCGTCTTTTAGGGTGTTGTGCATTCACACATGCACTCAAAAGACAGCAGGTTACTTCAGCAGCAAAGAGTTGTTTCGTTGTATGGAGGAGTCACTGGTTCACATGGAGAAGCCATTTTCAGTGGTTCCCTGTGATGGAAGTGTGGACAGCTGTATTGAGGCAGCAACAAGTGTTGAAATTTTGCGCCTTTAACAATTTTGTGCTAGGGCAAGCTCTCCATGCTATAATAAATACAGTGGTGCCCCGCAAGACGAATGCCTCGCAAGACGAAAAACTCGCTAGACGAAAGAGTTTTCCGTTTTTTGAGTCGTTCCGCAAGACGAATTTCCCTATGGGCTTGCTTCGCAAGACGAAACGTCTTGCGAGTTCTTGCGAGTTTGTTTCCTTTTTCTTAAAGCCGCTAAGCCGTTAATAGCCGCTAAACCGCTAATAGCCACTAAGCCGCTAATAGCCATGCTTCGCAAGACGAAAAAACCGCAAGACGAAGAGACTCGCGGAACAGATTAATTTCGTCTTGCAAGGCACCACTGTAATAAAAAAAAAATTATACCCCGCCCTTCCCAGTTAAAAAACTAGGCTCAGCGTGGCTAACAACAAATTTAAAACACTTTAAAACACAATTATAAAAGCAGCATAAATACGGTATAAAAACATGAATAAGAATAAAAATAAAAAATCAATCAGATAATCCCCAGGGCTAGCTGGCTGAATTGGTCCTACTTGGGCCAGCGAGGAGGCCAGGGGAGAATTAGCTGTGGGGTCTCAGAGCAGGTGATCTTCATAAAAAGGGGAGGGGAAGGGAAATAAAAGATCAGGCTAAATTCAAACTGAAGGCCAGGCAGAATAGCTCTGTCTTACAGGCCCAATGGAAGGATGTTAAATCCTGAAGGGCCCTAGTCTCATGGGACAAAGCATTCCACCAGGTCGGAGCCATCACTGAGAAGGCCCTGGCCCTGGTGGAGGATAGTCTGACTTCCTTAGGGCCCGGGACCTCTAAACTATGGTTATTCATGGACCTTAAGGTTCTCTGCAGGGCATACCAGGAGAGGCGGTCCCATATGTTACTGCCCCAACATTCAAAACCATACTTTCCTTGCCTGCAACCTGAAGTGATGTAATATAAGGGGGGCAGACTTCTTGATTCTACTAGTCATCTGCCCTAGAGGAGATGACTAATAAGACCTGAACGTGAAGTCACTCCAAAGATTTCATCGGATAACACTATATCACCCACCTTCCTGCCTCCAAACCACGTTGCTCCAGAGAGCACCCAAAATCACATGCAAAGAGGGGGGAGAGACCACAAACAAACAAGTCATCAGTAGAGAAATAAGAATATAACCCTTCACAAAGCTCAGCTCTTCCCGTGGGACTGTTCCAGAATGTTATCTCTCTTAATTTGGAGGAGGAAGCATCACTTCCTGTTAATTTATATACCAGAACTGGTTGAAAGCAAAACGTTTGTTCTATCCTTTCCCCTGTTACTTTTTTTTAAAGTATTTATTAAAGTTTTTGAACATGTGTGCAATAAATAAACAGACAACTACACGACAGAACTGTATGGCTCACATTATGTAAGCTATTGTTTATGCATCTAAGTACTCAGCTGTAATAAAGAAACAAGTGGGAAAATAGCTAAATTATACTGGCACAAAGGGACGCGGGTGGTGCTGTGGGTTAAACCACAGAGCCTAGGGCTTGCCGATCAGAAGGTTGGCGCTTCAAATCCCTGCGACGGGGTGAGCTCCCGTTGCTCAGTCCCTGCTCCTGCCAACCTAGCAGTTCGAAAGCATGTCAAAGTGCAAGTAGATAAATAGGTACCGCTCCAGCGGAAAGGTAAACGGCATTTCTGTGCGCTGCTCTGGTTCGCCAGAAGCAGCTTAGTCATGCTGGCCACATGACCCGGAAGCTGTACATCGGCTCCCTCGGCCAATAAAGCGAGATGAGCGCCGCAACCCCAGAGTCGGCCACGACTGGACCTAATGGTCAGGGGTCCCTTTACTTTATACTGGCGCAAAGGCCCACATGTGTCTGAGTAGCAGGAACTGTGAGACTGCATTGCCTTAAAATATGCAGATATGCAGATAAATAGAGTATTAAAGGAAAAATAAGGTTAGAATGTGTTAAGATAATTATAGGATAGAAAACAGAGGAAGATGGAAAGGAATTGCTGAAACAATTAACAGAAGTGGAATACAAAAAGGGAGGTGTGAGGAGGTCGTGGAAATAAGTGAATGAAAGATAAGATATTGAAATTGTTTGATTTATTTGATTTATTTTAAACTGTTTTTGTTTTGTCTTGTTAGTTTAATGTGTTTAATGTGTTAATGTTATGTAGTGTTTTTGTACTGTATTGTATTGTATTGTATTGTTTTTGTAGTGTTTAAATTGTTGGGAAAGCAATAAATATTAATTTTTAAAAAATAAAAAATAAAATATGCAAATTATAAGATAACCTGTCAGGGCTGCCTCAGGTCTCAGCTCACAAAAGACCAACGCCAAGTTCTTCTTATATACAAAGGTGTTTATTGGAGTTCATTGTTTGCTTCACATCCGAGGCGCGCAGCCCCACGTCTGTTACGCTTAGACCCTTGAAGTCCCCTCTGAGTCAGTCCCTCCCCTGCACCAGTTTAAGAGGCTTGCGCTGCTCCACCTCTTCCTCTCTTTCCTTTTCCGCAGGGTCTTCCTGCCCGCTGGGGTTTCGCCCCTCCTGGATTCCCCTGAGGCGGAATCCCAGATTGCTCTTCCCCCTCCTGCGGGCTTTGGGACCTGGCTCCTCCTCCGGGCTCCCTGTACTTCCGCGCGCCTCCACATTTGAACTTGGCGCGCCCAACCTCTAACCTTCCTTTTGACAGTTACACTACTCCCTTCACTACCCCCTCCCCTTCCGGGAGGGTGGCTTGCTCCGACCTCCCTCCCTTCTCTGCTGCCGGAGCTGCTTCCCTGATACACTGGAACCTCCACCCCTTCGCTGCACTCTGGCGGGAGGCTGGTCCTGACGCCCAGCTGCCACTTTGGGATCCCCGCTGGCCCCCTGCTCCTGACACGTCCCCCTGGGGCTCCCTGGCCTTGACCACTGGCGCCCCTTCTGGGAATCCTCTGATTCGCTGGAAAGACTCATGGAATCTCTTGAGTCATTGTCATCCTCTTCCTCGCTGTCCTGGGATTCATCCCCATCGCTCTCCATCTCCTGCCTACCCTGTGCCTCTGTCCCTGAACCCCTGACATAACCAATGTTCCAAAACCACATCGTTTTTTGGGGCTCCACACAATGCTCTATTATACTGTATGCAGTAAGTTTTTTCCGCTAATGCTAAAGTGCAGACTTTAAACCACTAGCTCTACATCCTGCTGCTATTTTTTAGAACTTCACAAGACTGACCAAGTCATGCTGCAACTGAATCACACTGGAGACTTTCACTGATGTTGAATTAACAAGTTTCTCAGTTCCTCTTTCCTTTTGCTTTTTACTCAGCAGCAGAACAAAGACTAAGAAATGTGTCAAAGTTCCCCTGACCATGCATTTTTGTATTCTGATTTCTGAAAGAGTGAACAATTCTCCTTCTATTTAGCATATTATCAATAGCTAAGGGTGCTTCCAGAATCCAAATGGAGGCTTAATATTGCAAACAAATAGTTCCTACACCCAATATTAAGGTTACTGGATTTTATGCCGAAAGAGTAAATCTGAATTAAACGAGGAAAAATATGAACTGACATTTTGATGCCAACAATGTTGTGTAGACATGCAAAAAATTGCCTGTATAAGAAGCACCCATCACACATTAAAACTCTTCTGGAAACACAGCGGTATGACTGCATCCCCAGAGGTGAACTCCATTGTCTCTCAAGACAGACGGATGTCAACAATAGCAACAAGCACACTAAAATAAATAAGGATATTACAAACATATCCATTATGCTTAGTGATGTGGTGGTGCCCTATTCTGTGCTAAGTTTTAAATACTGCACAGAGACTGGTCAAAGGACTTTGCATTTATGGAAGATGAACACAGAAACAGCTATCAGGTGGGATGCTGAAAAAATTCTGTGTTTCGTGAAAGTAGTCTGAATACACATTTTCAGCCTGAAAACAAATGCAAATATAAATCAGACCACATCCACCACACTTCAGAATGTTGCTCTATCTCAGGCATAGGCAAACTCGGCCTTCCAGATGTTTGGGGACTGCAGCTCCCATCATCCCTAGCTAACAGGACCAGTGGTCAGGGATGATGATAATAATAATAATAATAATAATAATAATAATAATAATAATATATTATTTATACCCCGCCCATCTGGCTGAGTTTCCCCAGCCACTCTGGGCGGCTCCCAATCGAGTGTTAAAAACAATACAGCATTAAATACAGCATTAAATATTAAAAACTTCCCTAAACAGGGCTGCCTTCAGATGTCTTTTAAAAATAGGACAGCTGCTTATTTCCTTGACATCTGACATCTACCGAGAAGGCCCTCTGCCTGGTTCCCTGTAGCTTTGCTTCTCGCAGTGAGGGAACCGCCAGAAGACCCTCGGCTCTGGACCTCAGTGTCCAGGCTGAACGATGGGGGTGGAGACGCTCCTTCAGGTATACAGGACCAAGGCCGTTCAGGGCTTTAAAGGTCAGCACCAACACTTTGAATTGTGCTCGGAAACGTACTGGGAGCCAATGCAGATCTCTCAGGACTGGTGTTATGTTGTCCAGTCACCAATCTAGCTGCCGCATTCTGGATTAATTGCAGTTTCTGGGTCACCTTCAAAGGTAACCCCATGTAGAGCGCATTGCAGTAGTCCAAACGGGAGATAACCAGAGCATGCACCACTCTGGCAAGACAGTCCGCGGGCAGGTAGGGTCTCAGCCTGCATACCAGATGGAGTTGGTAAACAGCTGGCCTGGACACAGAATTGACCTGTGCCTCCATGGACAGCTGTGAGTCCAGAATGACTCCCAGGCTGCGCACCTGGTCCTTCAGGGGCACAGGTACCCCATTAAGGACCAGGGAGTCCCCCACACCCGCCCACCCTGTCCCCCCAAAACAGTACTTCTGTCTTGTCAGGATTCAACCTCAATCTAGATGACTAGATGACCCTCAGGGTCCTTTCGGACTCTATGATTCTATGACTTTTATGAAGTCCCTCATTCTGGATCAGCTGAACCCTTGACGGTTTTGCCCTGAAGTCTTCCATTGCACCTCTCTTAGCTTACCATTGAGCTGACCCACTCAACAAACTCCTTCGTTGCACGCTTTACATTCTCATCCAAGGGAGGAATATAGGCTATTTGGGCTGCCTTTTCTCTCTCACTCACTTCTTTTTTACTAAACCATGTATAAGGGTTCTTGCTCTTAGGCGCCCAGGGCCTAAAGAGAAATGAAAAATACATCATGATCATCAAGTTTCTGTCACACGGAATCAATTACATTTCCCTCTACACCCCCCCCTGCATTTAATTGAATGGGGAGGAATAACATAATGACAACTTTATTTCCATATGTTACATGATTTCACCACAGTGGATAGTGAGGGGAATAATGTAACTTTTTGGTGGAAGAACAACTGCAGCGAAACAGAAACAGTGGTGCATGTGTTGAATATTGAGCAAAATGGACAATTATGCCTTCTTATATCCCAGAACAAATCCCTGCAATAGATTCCCAGAGTTTCATGTGCAGGATCTGGTACTGTAAATGATCTGGCTTGAGTCTTGCTGCTACCATGGGCCATGCCAGATTTACATATAAGCTGAACAAGCTATAGCTTAGGGCCCCACTCTCTTGGGGGCCCCCAAAAAAGTTAAAGGGGGGGGGAAACTGGATGCACATTTCCAAAATATAAGATAAAAAAACAAATAAAATAAAAACTACATACAGCAAGAGTGTTTTGTGTTGTGTTACTTTGATAAAATACATTTTTGTTACGTGCAAATGGCTTTAGATACTTATTAGGTCCATCAATTACCATATAGCATATATTCAACACAAAAACAGCAAAACAACAATTTGTTGTTGACAAAGGACAGCTGGACATATAAAGGGCCCCATTACCTTCAGTAGCTTAGGGCCTCATCACACCTAAATCCAGCCCTGACTATGGGATGCCAGTTACCTTGTTCCCACATTAGTCATCAGAGTCATCCAGCTTATCTTTTTTCCTTATGTGGAAATGCTACAAGTGCTGTATGGCAAAGAAAGATGTTGGTGAGAAGTCATCACAATCAGATTCAGGGGAAAGGCAAGGAGAGCGAAATGAGAAGTGGCAGATTTTTGAGAGATTTATTGTGCCTTTGCAGTAGCTTTAGAGAAGGGAAACTCTTGCAATATTGCCTGCTTATAGATAGGATCAGTTTCTATGGGTTGTGTCAAGTTCCCAGAGGATGCTCTTAATGAGTGGTCAATAAAGGTCAAAATAAGAAAATAAATATGGGCCTCAAAATAAGCTCTGCTCTGTTTATCTCTCTGTTGAATCTCTCTCTGATTACGGGAAAATAACCAAACTGTGTGCTTTCCATGTGGCTATATGGGTTTGCAAGGCAGATTCAAAAACTGGGACAGGCGCTTAGCATGGAATTCTCTATCTTGACAATCCCAGCTACCATTGCCAGATCCCAGAATGGATGAAGGTAGTTGGTGTCTAGGAGAATAACATTTTTGCTGACTGCGCCACAAGCATTCTTGATATGTAGCTTCCAGGAATTTGGCAGTTTGTTTTGCAGCCTGGGCTAAGTAGGGTGGGTTGGAGCAAGCGATGGTACTGCTGACATATCCCTCAGCTACAAGACTGCCCTGTTAAGCCATATCTCCTTCCTCCGCTCCTTATGAGAAGATGAGAGATTGCACCATCGTCATCATTATTTAAAGTGAGACATAGAAGCATCATACAAAATCGAATGTTTTGAGGCCCACTTGACTGGTCATGCAGAAAACCCAACAGACATCAAGCTGTTTCTAATGGTTAACCTCTAAGAGAATGCACTTCTGTATTTCATCACACCCAGAGGCGTACCTAGGCTCACTTGTGTGCTTGGCAGTGTGTGGCGTTTGCCTCCTAGGTGGGTCATAAGGAAAGGGTTAAATGAGTGTGACGTGATTGGCCAGTGGGAACTGGTGGGAGTTGGAGTGATGTGGAGTTCAGTTGAGAGTTGGTAGTTGACGAAGGAAGAGGGAGGAATAGTCTGTGGGTTGGTCGCGTTGTGTTGTGAGAGAGAGAGAGGAATTGTTAGGTGGAGTCACATAGTTAGTTGGGATAATCAGTTTGAAGTTGTTAGGAAGGAATAGGACAGTTAAGGAACTAAGATTAAGAAACTGACAAGAAAATTAACTGAAACCATAAGCTTGTTCATGCCTATAAAATAAACTTGATTATTTGTTAATGTTAACAACTGACTGGACTCTGTGTGTACCTGTGAGAAACGGGTTGGTGGCAGCGAAGAAAGCAAACACAGTGGTGGCATAGGGTCAATAGACCGTCAAACATCCAGGGACCCTGTGTGATCACCACACAGTGCCTGCGAAGACCATGGACCAGAAACACAAAGTTTGCTTTTTGCCACCTTTCAGACTCTACCAGCGATTTCCTCCATGGCCATCAGGGTTGGGTCCACTCTGCTCTGTTCAGCCTTTTCTCCTCCTCCTTTATTAGTCCATCTGCCTGAGTGTGCAGACAGGCTCTTGGCCACTCTGAACCAGAGTGGAAAGCTGTGATTTCCATGCCCACTGGGCCTGTGCCCATGGGCATAGCCATGGGGGTAGCTTCCTCCCCATCAATTAAATCATAAAAAATACTTAACTGACTGCATCACAGATAACTCAGTTCTGCCCCCCTAACATAAAGCCTGCCCCCTCCTAAAATAAATCCTGGCTATGCCCATGGCTGTGCCATTGGTGAGGGCCACCCTCACCAACCCCTAGGTATGGCCCTGGTCACACCGCAGTCCATTTCAAAGGAGCAGAAGCTCCAAAGTCACCCCAGAGTTAACAGGAGATCAGTTTAGGGATGTATTCTTTTGCATTTCACCTCCTGCAATTATTATTATTATTATTATTATTATTATTATTATTATTTATTATTTATACCCCACACATCTGGCTGGGCTTCCCCAGCCACTCTGGGCGGCTTCTAAAAAAATATAAAAATACTGTAATACATCAAACATTAAAAGCTTCCCTGAACAGGGCTGCCTTCAGGTGTCTTCTAAAAGTCTGGTAGTTGTTGTTCTCTTTGACATCTGGTGGGAGGGCGTTCCACAGGGCGGGCGCCACTACCGAAAAGGCCCTGTGCCTCGTTCCCTGTAACTTGGCTTCTCGCAGTGAGGGAACCGCCAGACGGCCCTCGGTGCTGGACCTCCATGTAATATACTGCAAAATACTGTACTCACGGGGTTACATGGCTGAAGCCTGACTCTGACTTTTTGTCGTACTGCTGCAGCCGATACTGAACTGTAGGGGGAACCACTTCTGTTTTGCTATAGTCAGGTGAGCCTCTGGCCAGATGCATCTCAGGGTCTAGGAGCTTCACCACGTCCTGAAACATCTGTGGGTAAAGCAAAGGGAAGGTGAGGCCTCGGAAACGTGGCTGCAGAAACCCAGACTTGGCCTTGCAATTACATATACATGTCATGTATATATTTAATCTCACAGCTTCAGTTTTTGAACAGTTGGTGTTATGTACTGAAGTTCTCACCCTGGGACAGCAGGGGGATACTGTAGTGATTGGATAGTTTGTATGCAAATGAAGGATCGAAAGTGACGTTCAGTGATTGGATAGTTTGTATGCAAATGAGGGATCGAAAGTGACGTTCAGTGATTGGATAGCTTTAGAAAGCTGAAACAGTTACAGTGGTGCCCCGCAAGACGAATGCCTCGCAAGACGGAAAACTCGCTAGACGAAAGAGTTTTCCGTTTTGGAGGTGCTTCGCAAAACGAAGCTCCTATGGGCTTGCTTCGCAAGACGAAAATGTCTTGCGAGTTCCTGCGGGTTTTTTTCCCTTCCCCCCCCCTTTTTCTAAGCCGTTAAGCCGCTTATCTGCTTATCCGATAAGCTGATAAGCCGCTAAAAGCCGCTAAAAGCCGCTAAAAGCGCTAATAGCGCTAATCCGCTAATCCGTCAATGGGCTTGCTTCGCAAGACGAAAAAACCGCTAGACGAAGAGACTCACAGAACGGATTCTTTTCGTCTTGCGAGGCACCACTGTACGCTGTTCTGGAGCTCTATATAAGCAGGCTGACTGAGCTCCTCAGTTCAGTTCTGTTCCTGCCTCTGAAATAAACAAGAACTGTTTGAAGAATCGCTGTGTCGTCTGATATGTTCGCCCACAACATAACAGTTGGGGTTGGGTCTTTTTTTTCCTTTTCAATTCTCCATTCTCATTCAAGTGCACGGTTTCTCCTGCACTGTTGTTGTTGTTATTTTATAATATTTTTATTAGTTTTAATTAAAACAAACACCATATAAAAATATACATTGAAATGAAAAAATTAAAATAATAAAACTGTAACATTTTTCATACTGTTTATACAATTAATGTAATATCCGAATGTGGGATTTCTCAAATCCCTTGATTTCCCTCCGCCCTCTCCATGGTTCCGTTATTTCGTTATTAGTTCAGGCATGTCCAAATTGTATTCTCCATCTATTTGTATCTAATTCTATCATTTGGGGTTGAGTCTTGGTCCTTGCTAGGGATGCACAAATCTGTCAACTTTGATTTCTCTCAGTTTCTCATTCTTCAAAGCTTGAGTTCACTTAGCCACATTTCTACATGTTTTGTTTTAGTGTGAATTTCTTCTAGCATATATGCTAGGATGTAATGTTCCCTAATATAATGCATATTTGTATGTTCTTTTCACTAACATATGCCTTCTTATGCACACAATATACCGGTACATGTTACTCAGCTGGAGAACTGCCCTGCAAAATCTGAACAATTTTCTGAAGAAGGCTGTGTTTCATTTAGCAAATTGTTTCAGAATGTGCCAATTAGATAGGCTCATTTTAAAATGCAAGCTAAATCAGTTCCCACCCTGCCTCTGCCATCCCTAGAGCCTTGTATAGCATTCCAGCCCTCTCCCAACTATTAATTTGTTTGCTTAAAAGATTTATAACTTGCTCTTCAGTGGCGTTTCTAGGGTAATATGCAAAATACAAAAAGAAATACAAAAAGCAAACACGTTTAAAAAGTAAATTAAAATACACTAAAGAGCTTTGGAGAATAAAAATATATTAGCCTGGCCCTTAATAGGTAACAGTGTTGGTGCCTGGCAGGCCTCTTGGAGGAGGGAATTCCACAAAAAGGGTGCAACGGCCAAGAATACTCTGTCTCTGATTGCCATTACTCTCGTTACTGGTGGCAGGAGCACCTGGAGGAAAGCCTCTGAAATTACCTGAATATTTGGGAACATTGGTATAGAAACAGACATTCCTTCAAGTACCTGAGTACATTATTTCCCTCAGTAGATACATATGTTCTAAAGGCCAACCAACATTTAATGCATCTACCCATTTTAAAAATACCGTGAGTTTCTGTGTAAGCTTTTCCATGTAGGCTACACAGTCTTTTTGATACCAGTAAGTGATTGAAGCAAAAGTTTGGTGTGGTTTAACACAAAGAGTTAAAGTATTTGCTCCCCCCCTTCCTTGGCTATAGGTAAAGGTAAAAGGACCCCTGACCATTAGATCCAGTCATGACCGACTCTAGGGTTGCGGCGCTCATCTCACTTTATTGGCCGAGGGAGCCGGTGTACAGCTTCCGGGTCATGTGGCCAGCATGACTAAGCCACTTCTGGCGAACCAGAGCAGCGCACGGAAATGCCGTTTACCTTCCCGCCAGAGCGGTACCTATTTATCTACTTGCACTTTGACGTGCTTTCGAACTGCTAGGTTGGCAGGAGCTGGGACCGAGCAACGGGAGCTCACCCCGTCGCGGGGATTCGAACCGCCGACCTTCTGATCGGCAAGTCCTAGGCTCAGTGGTTTAACCCACAGCGCCACCCGCGTCCCTTCCTTGGCTATACTTTGGTCAAAAAAGTGAGAACGGGAAATGTGAAATTAAGGGTCAAGGAACCTGAAACTCCCCCTTGTGATTGAATGTATATTGGTTGGAAACTTGATGATGATGATGATGATTTTTTACCTCTGGGGGCAAACTGTCCTCCAGATGAGGATAAAGGGCAAGTGGATGTTCAGCCAGGCAGCGCTCAGTCTGTGCAATGTACTCCTTTTTGGCTCTCTGAGAAGCACTGAGCTTAGAGAACACAATGTCGCTTCTGGTCTTCAGTCCCGTGTCTGTATATGGCACGAGCTGTGAAGGACCTGGTTTTTTGTACTCTAGAATTACTGGTACGGGCCCCTTTTTGCCTTGGATGATGATGTTATCAGAAGGGGGAGGGTAGCCATTTCTGAAGTCATCCAGGCCGCTTTTCAAAAATCTCCATCGCTGGCCGTTGAGGGCATCAGAAAACTTCTCTTTGTTAGCGACGCGCTCTTGAAAGCACTTGGTAGCCAATCTCTCCTTATACCTGAAAGCAAAGCATTATGGTCAACACCTGAAGCAAATCAGTCCCAGCCTGGATACCCCAGACTGTGCTAGAAATCAACTGGAGACTCTCAAGTGGCGTAGTGGGTCATTGGGTCTGGCTGATAACCAGAAGGTTGGTGGTTCGAGCCCATCCAGGGATAGCTGTGGACAGCATTGCATTGCATTGGGTTCCAACTGTACAATTCTAGGATTCTTTGATTCTATGGGTGTCCCCACAGTATTCACCTGAGCCATTCCACCACAGTTATTTTGTGTTCTGCTCAGAATTAGCATTTAATTGGACTAGATGACTGAGAATCATAGAATCATGAGAAGACAGGAGTGCTTCCAGACGGTTGCGATTTCTGGGGGGAATTCAGTCATATACCGGCAAACTAATGAATCACCCCACTCAGAACATTTCAGAGAAATATTCAGCTTTTACCTAGTCATTAGCTGCCATTAAGGAAGTATCTTCCTTATTACTGGATAGGCCAGTAATCTAGTAACAAAAGGTATCAACCCTTTTCTGAACAAATATTAGGTCTCCCTATCCTGGTCTTTTTTTTTTTTTAAGGCTAAACATTTTCCTGCTAAAAAAAAAAAGAAATTAAGAAACAGGTTAACAAATACATGGTTGGTTAAGTCAAAGTACAAGTTGTTTTCCCTTTACTGAATTCAATCCCCTTAAAGAGAAACAGTTAAAAGTTAACCCCTTTTGCAATTTCTGTTCAGACCACCAATGTTAACAATACAGAAATACAAGATTCAGGAGTATCACAATTCTTCAGGCTCCAAACCCTGTTTGCTGCTGACAAAGCACAAAAATCTCAGAGCTCACATGGTTCCTCTAGTACCCATAAGATTATGAGTTTCATTGACATGGTTAGACCAAGGATATGAGAGTCCCACTTTGTGACATCAGAGCTGCATTGTGGAAAGAGGTATTTACATAAGATAGCTCAATTGTCTTCACTCCTTCGGGACAGGAAGTATTCAAAAACATGTTTCTTGCTGTCCTAAAACACTCACAAAATAATTGCTGTCAGTTACACTCCTTTGTGAAGTCACATTTCTGGTGAGTAAATAGTGGGGGAGGAAATAGGCTTTATGCAGTGCTTTAAAAAAAAAGTTAAGGGGCACTCTCATTTTGGCTGCTACCCCTCCACCTCACCCCCTTCCTTCCCCCAACCCCCAGACAAGGGACTTGAGGTGGCGGCAGTGGCAGTGGCAGTGGCGCTGAGAGGACGGGGAGGCCCCTGGCAATGACGATGGCAGAGTTGGCTTGAGCGAGGAGAGACAAGTGTTCACTAGCTGGCTCTAGCCTGGCAAGAGGAAGAGGAGGAGCGCCGTTGCCTCCATCGCAGCCGCCCCAGACTCCCCTCCCTGGGCACCAGCAGGGAGAATGACAGAGCTCCAGTCTGCGCTGCTACTGCGGAGGCAGCTGGCATGTCGGTCCGTTGGTTGGGGCAACACAAAATCTTTAGGGGTACGCATCCCTATGTGTCCCCCCAGAAAAAAGCACTGGCTGTATACCAGATCCTTCTAACCCCTCGATCCAGCTAGCTTCCTGTGTTGAGATGACCATCTGAGTGATGGGCAATTAAGAGAAAGGAAAGGGGGCTCTGTGTGAGATGGCAAATGTATGGGGCGCCCTTCCAACTTAGAGAGAGAGGGACAGCGTCTGAGATTGGAGTTGAAAGGGGCTGTGGTGTGACCTAGAAGTAAAGCAGCAAATTGGAGAGAGCAACTTTGAGAGCAATGCTTGATTCCTGTTTGAATCCAAGGCTGGGGCTTTGGGAGAAACAAGACCTTTTTGGGGTGTTGATGCTGTGAAGCCCTCCCTCGGAGGATCAGGTTGTATATATGTGTGAATAAACCATTTATCATAAAGACACCACAGTCTCCGCTGTGCCTCATTCCCAAAAGGAAACACAGACCCTTGGTAAGCATATGGAACCCCTGGGATCTCACAACGCTTGGAGAGTGGAGTGGTGTACAACAGCATTTAAAATACAGTATTTTAGGCCTTTTAGTGACGAACCTCTGTAAGGCAGCTTCCGTTATAGAAATGTTAAATCACAAACCAGTCACAATCAAATATTATGCATAATCAAACACAATCAAACGTTGAGTCTCTGTGTGTATTACACACACACACACAGAGAGAGAGAGAGAGAGAGAGAGAGAGCTAGGCCTGCAGTCATAACATTTTGCACCAGACCAACCAACAGCTTAAAGATGATACACTGTTCCTAGCACCATGTAACTCATTGCACAGTACAAAATAACAAGATGTAACCCTCTACTCATGTCCATTTGGCTTAAGCCCAACATTTATCTATAGCTATAGGGTGTGTGCATATGTGCAAGGTAGGGTTGCCATCTGTCTGGGGAAACCCGAACATGTCCTCTTTTTTTTGGGGGGGGGGGTTGCTGGCAACATGCCCATCCGGGCAGATTTTTTACATTTTAAAGGAAATGTCTGGTTTTTCAGGGCTTGGGCTCAGGCGGGGCTGCTCTACACACTGAGGCTGCTGCCAACCTGAGCTGGGGAAAGCCGGCGGCTGTAGATTTGCTGTCTGGAAATGCTTTTACTGTATGCTTTTATGTTTTTCTTGCTGTAAACCACCTTGATTTGTTCTTACGATATAGCAGTATACAAATAAAATTAATAAATAGAAAAGAGACTTCCCAACTAGTGGAACTGATGTCTGAGCACCGTCGGGAAGTAAGCATCTCTTAAAGCAGCAGTTCTCAACCTGTGGGTCCCCAGATGATGTTGGACTACAACTCCCATCATCCCTAGCTAGCAAGCCCAGAGCTCAGGGATGATGGGAGTTGTAGTCCAACAGCATCTAGGGACCCACAGGTTGAGAACCACTGTCTTAAATTGTTCTGGAATAACTGCCACGCCAGCTGCTCATCATCACAATACAAGCGTTTGGATCCCTGCAGAAACACATCTCGTTCAGTTCCGCGGAGTACTCGCTCCTTGCCTCACCCTGGGGGGTAGTTCATGGTGATGGATGCAAGGGCTCTTGCAACTGTGGATGAGATGAGGGCTCAGCTGCGAGCCTCTGCTTCTCCTTCGGCCAGGCAAGGCAGAACAAAGCAACGCTGTGAGCCTCTAACTTCCAGCAACTAGTTCAAAGCCAACCATTCATTCGTTCTCACGCTGGAAAGACTCTGGTTGCCAGGAGACAGTGGTGGCCAAGCTGTGGCAACAGTTGGTGGACTAACTGCCACAAAGGCTCTGGCTTACATTCTCTGAACTAGCGCTGAAGCTAATTCCCCTCTTCCCCATATTCTCTCCTGCAAAATTTGATGCTAAACGTTCCCTAGATATTGTGGCAAGTAAGTGGGGGACGTGGTAGAGATGTGTAAAATTAAGCACGGTATGAAGGAAGGAGATAGAGAGAAGGTATTCCTCCCTCATAGTACTAGAACTTGGAGGTGCTCTGCTAAGCTGAATGTTGGATGGTTCATGCCAGGCAAAAGAAAGCACTTACTCGCACAATGCACAGCTAAGCTATGGACTGGCTGGATGTTGAGGAATGATGGGAGGCACCAGCTAGGGAACCCCCAGGGGAAGAAGGCTCCGAGCCAGGAGATGGGTGGTGGGATGACGATGAATGGTCAGAGAGAAAAGAAAGGGACGAGTGGGAGGAGGAGGTGTCGGAAGCTGAAGAGGCAACAGGGTTTAGTGAGCAGGAAGAGTCTGTGGCGGAGAGCAGCCCAGAATCAGAGGCTGGAGAGGAGGGGGACCAGGAGACAGAGATGAGGCTGGCGGCTGAAGAAATCAGGGAGTCTGCCCCTCCTGCTGTAACCAGCTCCTCGCCTCCCTACTCATCTCTCAGAAAACACAGAGAAATGAAGAGGGCTGAGCAAAGAGAGACAAGACAAAGGAGCCTTAGGCTGCTGGGGAAGGAACCTGGGGAGGAGCCTTGCTGAGGCAAGACCTGAGCCGCTGTGCTCACTAGGCCTGACACTCCTGGGCAGATCCTGTTTTGCTCATAAAGGGTTAACTCCAGCTTGCTTGGTGTGATTTACTGCTGGCTTGCTCCTATCAGTTATGCACGTTTTTGACATTTCACTTACTTTGCATAATGCGGTCTGCAGTTTGTAATGTGTTATATAGGACAAGGAGTTGTGCAGGACAAAACTGGAAATCTTGTTCCACTACCCCTGTGGTGTCGTGAGAGTTTAGCAGACATTACCCACATATTATCAAGCATATTTTGCACCTTGATGTATATTCTTAGAAAGATTGATACTATACCCAATAGCACATTCTGGATTGTAGTTTTCTTGTGTTGCTGTAGAATGGTAACCTACACAGAGGCCTGATTATGCATGTATGCTCTTCAACTGATGCTGAAATAATTCCATATCTCATCTGCTAACAGGTTCTTCTACTCTGTATTATTGTACGCTGCTCAGGCTGATATACTTGAGCTGCCAGTTTCGCAACTAGAAGTTGCCTATAGGTGTTAACAGTGAGATAATGCAAATGACAGGTGAAAAGGGAGGGGTTTTTATAGAAAGTATCATTAAGGAGTTTCCCCTGCACATCTGGTTTGCTGACCCTTGAATCTAACGCACTAAGACTGCGTTATCGCATACATTATTACATACAGAATTAAGTCACACAAAACTCAGCTGGAACGTCTGAATAAAGATGACTAAGATTTCTCTGTGGTCTTCTTTGTCCCCTTTGGACTAGCATAAGACAGGGACGTGGGTGGCGCTGTGGTCTAAACCACAGAGCCTAGGGCTTGCTGATCAGAAGGTCGCGGTTTGAATCCCCGCGACGGGGTGAGCTCCCGTTGCTCGGTCCCAGCTCCTGCCCACCTAGCAGTTCGAAAGCATGTCAAAGTGCAAGTAGATAAATAGGTACCACTGTGGCAGGAAGGTAAATGGTGTTTCCGTGTGCTGCTGTGGCTTAGTCATGCTGGCCACATGACCCGGAAGCTGTCTGTGGACAAATGCCGGCTCACTCGACCTGTAGAGCGAGATGAGTGCTGCAACCCCAGAGTCGTCCGCAACTGGACCTTACGGTCAGGGGTATCTTTACCTTTACTATTATGTACTGTGTTGAATAGGATCCAAAATTCAGCAGTCTGATTGGTCCTAGAACAATAGGATTCAGAATGCAGCAGTCTGATTGCTCCTAGAACAATAGGACCAAGAATGCAACAGTCTGATTGGTCCACAGGAGCCACCCAATCCAGGTGGAAGTGAATCCGCAACCTGATTGGCTTACAGGAGAATCCCGGAATTAGCCAATCACGTGGGGCCCATTGTGTAAATAATGTATGCAAAGCAGACACCTGGGGGAACTTCCATTCCTCCTCACCACTATGAGCTGAATAAAGAGCATGAAATCCACTCTCAACTCCGAGTATATTTCATTTACCTTTAAGACAGCGAGGCCAGTTAGTGGCTATAAAAGCAGCCTCTGAGCCAGGCTTTTGTCTTCTCAATAAAGTTCCCCTTTGTGAAAATGGTTCCACTGCCATCCACAAAGAATTGCTGCTCTCAACTGTGTTATAAGAGCTGTAACTTTAAGCATGTATGCTCAAGTTTGCTTTTTCCTTCTCCTTCCTGTTCCTTTTTCCATGTGTCATGTCTTTTTAGACTATAAGACTGAGTGCAGGGACTGTCTAAATACTGATTTCTGCAAGCCGCTTTTTGTCCAAACAATGGGGTATAAATGCTGTAAGTAGACAAATAAGTAGTTGGCAGCAATAATATTAAAAGGGACAGGACACATGTGGCAGATGGTGAGGCTGAGGCAACAAAGAGAGAGGCTCGTCTAAAACTACCTAATAAAAGTGGCTGAGATATTATTTGGATTAGGTACTTCATAGCTCCTAGTCTTAAGCACTATATTATAAATTAAGAATATAGGCACCCCTTGTATTCCGGGCCCACACACGTAAGTGAAATTGCGTAAAGTGGGGAGCACCCTCTAAACACCCTTTAAAGACCCTCTCTGCCACTATTCAATTCATACCACAAATGCTGCCTCCAAAAATATCCACAACTAGAATTGAAGCTCTGGGGCCAGCAGGAGGCTGGAGGATGTACAGGGAAGCAGCTGCCGAGCTACCCACACACCAGCTGTTAAGCGGGGAGGCTGAGCAGCGTAAACAAAGTCCGGCTGTGCCTCTGGTCTCTTTGGGGCTTCCTCCGCCTTCACTGATATCCTCTTTGAGGTCTGGGGCAGATCTCCTTGCAAACAACGAGGACTCTCCAGCTCTCTTGCTCTCGCACCATTTCCAGCTTTGAATCAAATTATTTATTTCCCAGCGCTGTGCATATATGTGGTTGTGCACGTAAGTGTTGCCTGTATAAGAGCCATGCTGGATCCTACCAAAGTCCTACCTAGTTCAGCATTCTGTTCTCACAGTGACCAACCAGATGCCTATGGGAAACCTACGAGCTTTACATCAGTGTTTGCTTTTCTTGTTTAGAGGCTGAGGCACTCCTGTGATATTTGTGTCTCTTCACAAATATGCTGAACTCATTATCTATTCTATCTGTGCCACATCAAAACAGCAATTTTAAAAAATGAAGAGACTTGCACACACCCTTTTCACACTGCAGTTAGAGAATGGGTGAGGCATGTGGATACATGTTTGGGAATAAAACCTCTAAAGTTGCACCTTCAGATGTAGGTTTGTGGCTGCCAGCAATCTCACCCACATATTAAAGAGCGACTCTCCCAGGCTGCAACACGAAATAAGTCGGCAAGCCTGGAAACGTTCACTTGCCAGCAAGGTGCATCAAACTTAGTGGAACATCCAGTGAAAAACGCACACTAGAGTCTGGCTCTATTTATTTCATGCAGCACACACCAGTTGCAAGGGTGAGTTAGGCGCAAGAAGCAACACGCTAAAAAATGGCAACGTAAAGGCCTTTTATTTCAAAAGAAAACAATCAAGACATAAGTCGTTCTGCTAATCTGAGAATATTTATTAGGGGAGTTTATCCTAGTGCTGAACAATTATGTTGAGCAAAATTAATATCCAGACAGGATTTATGGCGACAACTGAAAACAGGTGCGGCATGCACATATAAAATTATCCCATGCTGCCTTCATCCTTCTTGAGTGCTCTGTTGGAGGGAATGTCAGCTCCATTGGTGACGTGGGGTTTTACTAGCATTGAGACATCTGGACTCCCTTGGGAGGTGGTAGACTCTCCTTCCCTGGAGTTTTTTGAGGTTGGATAGTGTCAGGGAACTGACATCGGAGCGAGAGGCGAAGGGGAGGCTCCTAGATGATGCTGGCGAAGGACCCAGCAGCAGGGGGAGAAACAGCTCAGTAGAGGGGGAAACAAATCAGCGCAACACCAGGGATAAAGGGGGGCAGATGGGGGGAATCGGAGAGAGGGCTCCAGGACTCTTCACTGGACCTCAGTGAGGAGGGGACAGGTCCTCCGCTACCCACGCCCTCCCTGCGCAGAAGACTCCCGCGCAGTGAGAGGAGGAGGAGACTGGGTGTCAAACAACTTTTATGTTGGAAGAGGTTCAAGAAACGCCCACTGACGGATTCTGCCAGCGACTGAGGCAGCCACGATGAGAAAGGGCTGTGCAGTCAGAAAGGTTTAACAAGGCAAATTAGCCTAGAGAGGCACCAGTTTACACACAAGTAACTCATACTCACTACAGATAGTCATCTGTTGGGACACGGGTAGCGCTATGGTCTAAACCACTGAGCCTCTTGGGCTTGCTGATCGGAAGGTCAGCAGTTTGAATCCCCGCGGCGGGGTGAGCTCCTGTTGCTCAGTCCCTGCTCCTTCCAACCTAGCAGTTCGAAAGCACGTCAAAGTGCAAGTAGATAAATAGGTACCACTCCGGCGGGAAGGTAAACGGCGTTTGCGTGCACTGCTCTGGTTTCGCCAGAAGCGGCTTAGTCATGCTGGCCACATGACCAGGAAAAATTGTCTGCGAATAAACGTCAGCTGCCTTGGCCACTAAAGCGAGATGAGCGCCGCAACCCCAGAGTCGTTCGTGACTGGACTTCACTGTCAGGGCTCCTTTACCTTTTTAGTCATCTGTCAGGGGTGATTTAGTTGAGATTCCTGCCCTGCAGGGGGTTGGACTAGATGACCCTCAGGATCCCTTCCAATGCTATGATTCTATGATTCAGCATGCTTGCACAGATGAGCTGCTAGC